CGAAAATTAAATTAAAAAGCACACGCCAAAGGACCAGGCCGAAAACAGTTTGCTTTTAAAAAAATAAGAGGAAAACTGCAAATGGGCGGCACGATCTATTTTCGCCGGGCATGTTACTGTGACGATATTTTCGGGGCTTTAAATAAACACCCCCAGGAAAAGTTAAGGTTCACAACGTGTAGAGTCAAGGTTTTAGGTGCGTCAATACGGTATAATTGTGTCGACCATGTAAATCCATTTTAGCTTGTAACTAACTAGAAAGTGAAGAGCAATCTTCGGGTGCCTTCGGTGTAAGCAATCAAAGATATTATAAATACTTATTTTGTTCAATTGCCAAACAATATTTTAAAGCAATATGCAGAGATTTTATAAGATTTTCGTTGTTTCCATTAACAAAACAGAGATTTATCCACACATGTTTCAGTGTCCCATATGGTCTAGTGGCTAGGATATCTGGCTTTCACCCAGAAGGCCCGGGTTCGATTCCCGGTATGGGAAATAAATTTTTGTTATTAAGTTTATTAGTTATTTTCTTTTGACCAACATTAGTTCTGGGGATAGAAGCAATGGGTTATTTAGCGCGAAACTATTAATTGAATTCCGTTTAAATGGGTTTAGAATTGATGTGGGGATTGTGTTTCATGTTTTTCTATAAATTCAAAAAAAAAATCGCAACTGCGAATTTACCATTTAGCAGAGCAAGGTTTCGATCCTCGGACCTCTGGGTTATGGGCCCAGCACGCTTCCACTGCGCCACTCTGCTTGATAAATTCCTGGCAATAGGTTGAATAAGAGACAACAGAAAAAAATTTGACTGCTTATACCCTGTAACTAAACGTTTAAAATAAGGGTGAGAACTTTGCAACGGTATAGAAGTTATTTTTGCTCGGATATATAAAGTTGTGTTCACAATTTATTGTACATTTATAAGTTGTTCAGTTGTTAGCTCACTGCCATCCATTATGCAGTTATTGGTCAACTTCTCAATTAGCATTAATTTTATCTCCTTAATTTTTAATACGGTGGTTTTATTGAAAAGAAAATTCTCAAACAGAAGCTATCGAATGGGAAAATACAAAATATTACCAGCTTGAAAAATAAACCATTTTTGGAATATGTTTCTTACATACGTAAGAATTTAGAGGGTTAAATACTAGTTTTTATGATATTTTTATATTTACCGGGTTATTTCGTCAGCAATTCCTAAGAAGCAGAGTGGCGCAGTGGAAGCGTGCTGGGCCCATAACCCAGAGGTCCGAGGATCGAAACCTTGCTCTGCTAAGTGGTAATTCGCAGGTGCGAATTTTTTTGCAGATTTCACTTTGATTTGCAATATGCATACCAATTTGTATTTGCAACCATACATTCGATTTATGGGTATCCAGCTTGAATATATTAACAAAAATTTAGTCTCTTCTATTTAAAGTTGGTATCTTCATCAATTTTTAAAGATGCGAGTTGATAATTGGAACTGCGTTTCGCGCACTACCGCAGTTTGTGTCACCGGCTCCCGCTCGCGTGGATTATGTATTTACTCGGTGCCGTGGTCGCCACCTTTCTTATCGCGAACTTGCAGCACGCTCCCACACATCTGCTGAGGCTCTGCATCCATTTTTTGCCCACTGGCACAGATACGGCTTTCACAACCACTCACCGCGTGTGACTCTGTTGGTTTTCGCCGTTTCTGTTTGCATTGCTAAGATATGCGATATGGCCGCGAAGCAGGAGTCCAGCATGCTGCACATTAAAGATACTGAAAAGTTTTTCTTAAAAATATTCACACCGGACACTGTGTTCATACAAAAATGTTGCTAAATATGCTCAGCCAGTCATAGAGTTACCAACCTCTCCTGTCAATCAAAATGACATATTTGTCAATAAATGGCAAAAATTTTAATTAATTTTCGCGCCACTTAAAAGCGCGCCATGAAATTGCACAAAACCATTCGGTTTGGGGCTTTTCGGGGCAATGGAAACCAACCGCAAACACTAAATTGCAAATAAATTTGTTTAAATATGCGATGGCAGAGCGCGTCAAGTTTGGTCCAGACCACCGGACGAATGGCCAAAAACTGCGCTAGACTGCGACATTTTCACCTGGGAGAAAGGGTTGCTGGTTTCAGGGGGACCGGACCGGGTTTTTCGGTGTATGTCATAGGTTGGGCTGGTCTGGTAGGTGGTTACCGGTGGTTTGTCCACTGCCTGCTGCACGTGCAGCTGCGACAACGAGACAACAACATGCGCATCAAATTTTAATAGCAAAACCCCCAAAAGTTTCCAGCCACAAAGTCCATTTCCATTCGACTGAAGGGGTTAGGTTGTTCTCCTTGCGGGTTGCTCCCCATCGTTGTTGTTGGCTTTGTGTCGTTTTTGTTGTTGTTGGGTGACATGCTTGATGTACGCTTTTGGTTTTGCCCACGAAGATGTTGCAATGACATTGAATATTGATGAAAATAAATCGAATTTCCGTCAGCCCGACATCCGACGTAGTCGATAGACGGTGAAGGAAAAGAAAAAAATAACTGGACACATTTCCTACGTTTTTCCTCGCTGGTCGACGGGTGCCCAGCTTTTCTATTGAGACAGCAAAAGGGTTCCGACTGAATGGCGCTTGACGCATTCAGCTGGCGAGTGTTAAAATCCCACGTTGTCAGTGTTTTGGGGGTATTTGTGGTTTCTCCGATCTCCGACTTTTAGTCGGAATAAAGGCAAAACAAAAAATATTGGGCCATATTGAACAACAGTGTTAGAGGATAGATTCAGAGGCTTTTTTAACAGATCCTGTTAGATCATTTACAATTTTATTTTATTAACTTTTTTTTTAATTTCCAAACAACATTTTAATCTGAATTTGAATTGAACAATCCAAACAAATGTATGTTCAATAGGCTACAGAGTACAGACTGCAAAGCGTCGAATTAAATTAACAACCATTTTTTTTGGGTAAGCCTTTGAAAAAGTGCAACTTTATCGAACAAAAAACCCACAAGTCGATTTCCATAGGTGATTCGTTTCATTTTTGCCCATTCGGTGGCCAACCCACAATTAAGCCCCCAGTTAACACTTGATTCGTATTTAAAAATTATTGACCAATCCATGGGTACTGATTAAGTTTGTGTTTGTGCTTGTCAAACGATGGCCGATGGCTGCTGTTTGTGGGAGGGGATGCGATTGATTTTTGCCACCACAAGGCAACGTTGGGTATTGGAAATTGCATAAACTCCGTACGAAAGAGATGGGGAAAAACAGAACGAGAGAGAGAGAGGGATGGGCGACCGTGCAGCACATATGAAAATCCAATTTTCCAGTGATTGATCAGAGCGATGAGGGGAACTGAAGAGCTGGCCACACACGTGAAGTGGGGAAAGTTTGTTTGCCGGGCGTATACGCAAAAATAATGTAATTAAAGCAATGTTTGCATAATAAAAATTAATATTTGTTGCAGTTTGTGTCGCCATTTCCTCGCACCGCAAAATGGGTCGGGGGGATGGGGGCTTCGAGGGGTAATGCATTTAGCAGGCCCTTTCTACGAGTGTTTACCTTGGCAGCGAGGATTCGTCGTGTCGCCAGAGTCCTTTGCTCGCTTTATGCGGGCTGTCAAAATCAGACAGTGTGCACACATGCACCCACACCTAGTCGACGTGAAAGGGAATTGGTCCGGGTGTTGTCCACGCTGAAGAGCATCCTTCGCCATCCTCCCGAATCGCACGACTGTTTGTCCAAGTTTCGTTTCACCAAATTATGCCCGAGCATATGAGGGATTTATATCCGCTCGGGGACTCAACTGGACTGACTGCATGCCACTCGACTCTACTCTTCTGTCTGCTGGTTGTCTGGCGCTTCGGCGCTGTAGAATTTATGCAAATATTGAAATAAGTCTTAATTGAATACAAATACTCAATTACATTGCGGCAAATCTATTTTGTGGGTCCGGCACAAACAAACTTTACTGCGGACTGTACGTTGTCAACACTCTTACTTTACAATTTTAATTGTCGAATGTGTTTTCATTCGGAAAATAAAACAACAAAAATAAATAATTGGGAAAATCGAAAAAAATTAATGATGGCCCATGAGGGGATCGAACCCGCGACCTTCGCGTTATTAGCACGACGCTCTAACCAACTGAGCTAATGGGCCTTCGTGACAGTTGACGATTTTTTGCCTCACTTGGAATGCGCGAGGGTAGTTCTCATCTATACCTATTCTAACTATTTTGGGATCAGTTATCTTGTCTACTGATAATAATTTTATATAATTAATCTACATATTTATAGATTTATTTATTATTACACTCCGTATTATGAAAGATAATTTCGTTCTAGTTTGTCAATTCATTGGGTGCCTATAATTAATTTATCACACACGGTAGACGGCATTAAACGTTGTTCTTTAGCGCTGTGGGAGTTAAATGCTGCTCGACATCGCATGCATCATCACAAGCAGCACATTTGACACTTCATTAAAAAGCAACATTACCAAAATCAATTAGAGACATTCCCCCATGAACAGCCAGCGCGTAGACAGCAGGGATACATAACGAAAGTACACAGTTTGGGGAGCGAGTAAGTTTGTTGTTTTTGGCAAACAAATACGCAAACAATTGAGATACATACGTAGTGTATTTGTTGCTACCGGTCTCATTTCCCCTTCCCCCTCGCCGACCGGCGCCGATCCGCAAATTGTTTGAGCACGAGACGAGACTTTGTTTGCATTTTGAATTGCCGCCACCGGGAGTCAGGAGCAGAAGCTATTTGAACAGGAGCACACTTGGAGAAAAACCTATCACTTATAAAAGTCCTATAAGATTTCAATAAAATGTAATTTTTGAAATACTCGTATTTACAGTGCAAGATAAATTAAGTTTACATTTGTTTGTTTACTTAATCTATATTATAGAACATTTTCCCAGTTTTGTAAAAAGTTTTTTCCGTGCATTAGGCGACGCATAGAAAACACCCATCGAGGATTTGTTAAATCGAAAATTAATTAAAAACGTGTTGCCGGGGAACATGGTTTAATCAAATTTTTAGCAAGCCTACAAAGTACATGTTGTCACAACCGATTGACATGCTGAGCTAGTTCTCCGAGTCCTCGGATTTCTGATTGGGCACCGCCTTGTGGAGCCACTTGCGGATGTACTCGCTGGTCTGGAGGCCCACCATTCGGTTGACCACCTTGCCGTTGCTGATGACCACCAAGGATGGAACGGATCCCACGTTGTAGTCCAGGGCCAGCTCTCCGTGCTCATCAATATCGACACGGGCCAATTTCACGCGGCCCCCTTGCTCCGAAACAATGTTCTCCAGCCGAGGGTTAAGAGCCTTGCAAGGACAGCACCAGCTGGGGAGAGGTACATACTAAGGACTGGCTTGTCCTGATGGAATGATTCACCCACCTGGCATGGAAGTCCACCACCACCGGTCGGTCGCTCTTAATCACACGCTGCTCAAAGTCCTTTCTGGTCTCCACATCGAAGATCGGTTGCCTTCCTGTACTGGTCATTCCGCGGTTCGCCTTTAGCAGATTCATCAGGCGCTCTACTCGGTACAATCTTCTATAGCTAGACATATTTGCGCAATCGTACAACCTTTTTTTTAACCGGAAAAAATAATTTTTTACACAAATTTTGATTCGAAAGTTGTGAGTCTGCAGTGTAGAACTGGTTTCTTACTCCTGAAAAAAATAATTGGAATGAAAGCTGAAGCGGAAATCAAAGGCTTCTCGATCGTAAAAAAAATATAAAAAACCTCAAGAAGCTCCAATCCAAACCTGTAAATCAATTTTAATATCTGATTTTAAAAATACATATGTAGATGTAGATTTTTTTTCTATATTTGTTTTTAGGTAAATAAATATATTGCATTCTTACCAATATTATTTATTAGTAGCAAATTGTATTAAAGTACAGCTTAGTACACGTGTCGTTGCAAATATTATTTTCCACAGCAAGACTAATTATATCAATTATTTCTTTTTTCTGTAATCATAATTATAGGTTAAAAAGCATTGAAGTAATTTGTGGCCCAATGCACACTTTCCAACCGCTTTAATATCTTCACAATTTTCCTTAATTTCCTCAAACTCTGCTTTGGTAAGGTCTTTGGAAGTCTCCAATTTAATTTGGCCGTTTACAATCCAACCTTTTGCTTTCATTCGGCAATGATCAAAGCATCTGGTTAGAATTCTACGCTCCACCTTTTTTCGTCCTACTTCTGTTTTAATACAGGTATTAAGTTTCCTTATAAAATCCTAGCGTTGACTTATTAACAAAAAATAAATATTTGAAAAACCATCTACTTACCCCATCAAAGACTTCTGACAGAACCAAAGAAACCAAAAGAAACAAAAGAATCGCAATGAGCAGTGCTTTCATCGTACTGATTTAGCTTGATATCAATAAGTAAAACTATCTGGAGTGGCTCGCTTTTATATGTCTTACATTTGCATGCCTATTTAAAGATTATCCACACCTCGTTAAATTTTATATGGTGTTGTATTGGAATGTTTATTCTATTTTTTATGGCGACTTGCTTTACACATTTTACGAAGTTTAATCAAGTATGCGATTACAAAAGTTTAGAGGTATGCCACTTTGAAATTAGATTCAAGTTATTTGTTTCTTTCTTTTCTTTATTTGCATTTCATTTATTAATATTTCTCGATCTGAGCGCGGTTCTGGTAGTAGCACTTGTACAGTTGGAAGCTGGTATCGCAGTTGTCGGCGCCCTGGATGGAATCGCACTTGGCTTGAACCTCCTTGACCTTGGCTTCGCCGGCAATGGGACCCAGTTTGGCCAAGACCACGTCGGGCTTGACCTGGCCATTGGCCACCAGACCGGTCTGCTCCAGGAAGCAGTTGGCGTAGCACTTGACCTTGGGATCGCTGTCCTCGAAGTTTCCTGACCGCAAAGCAAGAGCCTGCCCCCTGGTGATTCCCTCTTGAGAGGCACAGGCCCGGGCCTTCTGCCTAAGAGCAGAGATTTGGGTCTCCGGGATCCTCTGTTGCATTACCGAAAACCCAAGGAATACATTTATACGTAAAAGTTAAATTCGAAACTATCATCTTACCGCTGCAGATGCCAAGGACAAAACAGCAAAGGCTGCGAAAACAATGAATACTTTCATGATGTTAATCGAGAGCTGTTTGGAATCTCTTGCAATTGAAACTGATGGCTTGCAATCGCTTGCAGCCAGCATTTATACAATTGAAGATGATGGACTTTAGCCCAGAATCCGATTACCATATAAAGCAAATGCTTGCCATCTTCTCACTGAAGTTCAAGTTGAGAAACAACCGCGAAATGCTGGCTTGCGGTTTTTTGGTTGGTGTCATGCTCGCACGAGTATTTCTTTCCGACTTTCATTAAGCCAAGATTGCGCTTCCGAAGGTTTGCAGTTTATTAATAATTTTCGATGTGCTTTAAAATGTCCTTAGTCAACCAGCTTCCAGCTATGCCAAACACACACACATTTGGGTCAAACTAGATCCCGAAAAACTGATAACATTCACTCGTCAGCCTGTCCATATTTACTTGGGCCAAATGACTGATGACCCGCCCAGGCTCAGTTTGTTGTCTAAACATTTTTATGATTCAGGGTTAGAGATAGGATTCTTCCTTGGCCGGGTCTTTACATAATCCCCACTGCTTACACAGGCATCAAGGCGTTTTAGCAATTAGTTTCTGTTTCTGCGAGCATTCAATGTGAAGATAAGTAGCCCAGAGTTTTCACAGGCCTGATAGCCTTCTTTGGGGCTTTGATGGATGATTGACAAGCAAGTGACAAGAGGTCCAGTGTGTGAGCAAAATGTATGGCTAATGCTGGAAATAAATGGGTTAATGGGTATGCAAGGAACGCTTTCGTTATGTCATCAGTAAATGATCATTGCCCATGTGAAGTCACTGGAAAACAATGAGCCCCAAGCTTTAATTAAAGCCTCAGAAACAAAGTTAAAATACATATTTGTGATTAACATTTACACTTGTTTTTATTAACTAACCTAGCCACTAATTAAGTGCACAAAATTATTAAATTTGACATATTTAAAATGCAATTCTCACATTTGGCAGCAACCACACACCATTAGATTCTAAATAGCTGTCTGAAAAAAGGAAACGAGATGGAGGATCGCATCTGCAGCAAGCACAAGGACTCACTTTTATGTGTTATCGTTTCTAATTTGTTTCAAATTAAATGAGTTTTAAACATTTTCAAAGCCAAATACAATCATAAAGCGTAAAATATACTCCCAACAACGCGAGTGTGGATGTGTTTTTCGGATGGTTGGACCAAAGGATCTGGATGTTGTCGTTGTTTTTTTGGTGGGTGGTGGTGCGGGTCTCCTGCAAATGTAATTAAAAAACTTTTAAACCGCATCAACATAAATGTATGGCGCTTAAAATTCTGTGCATTTGACAATTTTCGGTTGGCAAAAAGTTGACATTTTGTTCTCCTGTGTTTGTGGGCAAGAGTGTGTGAGTGTGTGTGTGTGTGTGTGTGCAGAATAACCGCCAAAACATGTCAGACTCATCCAGTTCTCCCTTTTTCAAACCCATCAAGCGTTAGCGGTGGCCATTTGTGTTTGAGTTAAATGAAAAGCTTTAAAAGTTATTAGCGTTCATAAATAAATGTCAGTGGAAGGCATTTATTGATGACGGCCGGCGCCCATTTAATGTGTTTATCATTTTTACGAGCCACTCTTTTTGGCAATTTCATTTATTTTAATTGAAGCCCCGACCCTCGGACCTACTGCATCCCTTTTTGGGGCCATAATGAATAGGAAGACTTTCAATTTAATTGCATTTAAATCGCCGGCCAACACCTTAATAGACCATTAAGACTTGCCCCAAACCCGAAGCCATTTCCCCGAAAAGGTTTAGTTGTGTAATATGTGCAGGTAATAAACATTTGCAACCGGAATGCCATTCTAAGCATTCCAAGTGATAACGCCAAATTGCTTCCCCATTAATTTTACACTCGACATCATTTTTCGGTGTGAAATTTAATCAATTCATTATTGAGGAATGCCATAGTGCGAAATGTTTAAGCGGTGTGTGGAATGTATCTACATCTTTGTGACGTCACCCCAGAATAACTTTTTCCGACTCCCAGCCCCAGGCTCCATAATTTTCCATTAGCTTTATTATATACTCATTTGGAAGAATGTCTTATATCATTGTTATTAGTAAATCTTATGGCTCAGTTTATTGCCTCCTCCATGACATGTGGGAGGATTTGGAATAGAATCATCAGTATCAGAAACTCTGGACAATTCCTTTGGGGTCCCTCGCCTTTGGGGGCAAGTTCGTTGAACTCGCCCCAAACTTTTGGGGGATAGTTTCTAGCAGAAAAAACCTCGCAGAACTTGAAAAACAGCTAAGGGTGGTTCTCATCTTTGGAAAACCATTTAAGATTATTTTTACGCCTGTAATGATTGCCCTGCAGGGCAAATACACTGCTACATGTAGTATAACAAAGTCACGGAAATAATTACATCCCTTAGATTGCTTGAAGTTCATTGAATGGTAATTACCACAAATACAAAATTATAGTTAAATAGTTGCATAAATTGCACTCGAGCACATATTAGTTTAATATTTCTATTGCATCACAGTTTGCTTGTGGAAATTTTATTTGCGTCAAAAGTTGATTTAATCTATTTAATAAAATATAGGTACAGAATCAAGCAGAAAGCGTTTGGAATTTAATTGGTGCTGTCGAACTGGCTGTGGAAACAGCTGAGCCGAACACTCAGTGCAAATGAAAGTTTCCGCACAGTCATTTCACGGAAAGAGCACTTTTTAATTATTTTAATGACTGGCTGATGTATTTGCATATGGGAGAGCACGTGAGGAAAACTTTGTGCACGTGGGCAAATAATCAACTCTTTTGTTGCAGTTCCAAAATTTTAGCAGACCTGCTCTCGGCCAAGCTTTTCTTTGGCTTTTCGCCCGGTTGAGTAGTGGGTGCGGTGCTCTTTGCCACTAATTATTTTAACAGCATGCAAGAGGTATCCGCCCTCCTGCCAAAATAATTTTCTTGCCCCCCCTGGAATCTGCTTCCATTTCCCAGGCGAGCTAAGTAAAAGAAAGCTCAGTTTCCTTGGTATTTTCAGCCAGAGAAGAGTCCGTAATCCGCATAGCTTATCAGAAATTCCGGACATAACTCAAAACAGAAACGCTGCCCAGCCAGTTGGGAGGCAAATTAATGGCTGGATGCGCATTGTTTCGGCCCCATCTGCCCCAAGGCGTTGCAACACTTTCTGATTGCATTAGATGCTTACAATAATTTTCGGGGCGTCGCCGCTCGGAATGGGAACGTAAATGGAATATTTTATGCAATTTATTTTGATCAATTTGCACGTCGCAATGGCAGCTTCCTCTAAGGGCGCCTAAATATTCTCCGGGTATTGTGGATGCAATCGTGCGTGCCACGGAATGGAAATTTCCAAATAAAAGCCACAGGCTTAGCTTTATTATTCGGCAAAAGGAAAATTTAGAAACAATAATTGTGAAGAAATATTTTTGGTTTTTTTCTCTACTTTATAATAAAATTTGCTAAACAAATGCAAATTGCAAATTCCTTATCAAAATGATGACCCTTTTTTCTTTATTAAAAGAAATTATATAATCGAATTAATCGTGGAAATTCCTAACTACAAAATGCATTATAAAGAAAAATATTAAAACGATTTCCTACTCCGCTTTTGAGGCTTACATTTTTAATGTATCCACGAGCGCTAAATGGAAAAGGGACCAACCATGCGTGGGATAAGTTCTTTCAACTTTTTCTCCGGATTCCAGCTTGGCGTTAGTGGAATGTGTATATTAAACCCATTTGCAGCCCACCTCATTACACACTAAAAAAAGCAATCGAGCATCAAATTACAAAGAAAATAAAATGCAAATAGGTTTTTCCGTTCTTTTTCAGGTTGTTCTTGTTCTCCTTTTTTTCCGAAGAGGGTCGCCTCTGACCCATCGAGTTTCATCTGAATCTGAATCGCATCCCTCGGACGGAGTTGGGAGTTCCGAGCTCCGAGTTCCAATTTCATGCAGCTGACCACGGACCCTGTCGGCCCTGTAATTGTAATTGCCGGGCTGGATTGGAGTGGATTAAACAATTTCCACATTTAACATGGCGCGTCTTTAACCTCTGCCACAATAAATTTTTCCGCTCTTTCCCTGGCGTCCAAAAGTCGTTGTTGCTTTGGCCCCCCGGTTTGGGGCTTAATTTTGGTGCCGGCGATAAGAATTTTTAGCGACGTTGTCATTTGGGGCTTTGGCTTTTACGAGGCGGCACAAAGGACGCATGTCCTTGTTGTGCGTCTAATTAGATGCTTTGCCTAATTAGTCGGTTTTATGTGAGACTCTTTATGCCCCTGGATTACCTTTTCGCCTGCAGTTTGCTGCCGAGTCAAAAGTCTTGGTGTCGTGGATAAGCTGCCTCGTCGATATGTGGCATACAGATTACGGCGAGCGGTGCCAAGCTGAGAATGTTATAAACTTTATCGTTTATTAAAAATTCCAAGCGCACAGGAAAATATCCACAGCGCCTTGACAATAATGCGAACGAAAGCAGCGCGTTTGCTGCTGATTTTCGCAGCTTGAGATTTTCCATTTTGCCATCATCGGGCTTTGGGCGTCGGCATCCCCTCAGTCGGGGTTTTTTTTTTTCCAATTTCTTACAGAACGAGCACTGCATTCCTTCACCTGGACGTCTTTGATGCGCCGTATGACAGAATGGAGGAGCAGGAGCAACAGTTCTCCCGGAGTTCCATATGAACTCCGCATCCGTATCCGCAACCCAGCCACTGCTGGCCCCTCAACCGAATTGAACTTGTCACAAAAGAATTCATTTTGCAGAGCTCGGAATTTTCCGGCTGTTTGTCGGTGTTTCGAGGGGGTTAAGCGAAAGGGGGGTGGGGGTTTGGAAAATGTGCGTTGAAAAGCTTTGTAAGCTTTGCTTGACTCTTGCCCTCGTCCCTATTTTTTCCCCCTTTTGTGTTTCGCACACTGTCCCTTATCCAACGCTCCATCGGTTCTGGGTTCGTTAACTGGAATTCAATAAATATTACTAAAACACTCGCATACGCATTCGCCTTTTTCTTGCGTTTTTATTGGGAATGGGAGCAGCAGAATGAGACAACAGCAGATGCCAATGGGAAAAAAGGGCCAGAGCAGACATTTTCACATAATTTCTCCTCCTTTGTGATCCATTTTTAGGGCCAACTCCCAACTCCCATCATTCCGAAGTCCCCGGCTGAGTACATTTTGGCTTATTTTATGACGCGTTTTGTTACCAAAACGAAAATTTTTGGTAATACCAAGACATTTAATTGCCTAATTGTTTTGTTTTTGGCATTTTATTGCAGGCGGCCTGGTTTTTATGGAGAAGCGAACCGCGCACGCCACTTCTTTTTATGACTTAATTACTTAAATGCGTTTTATTTTGCATGCGGCCATAATCATAAACAAATTATAGAAGTGGAAATTACGATATCTTTTCCAGTTTTTATGCGAGCTCTGGGAAAAGATTATCCAACGGATAAAAATTTATACTTGTATGTGTATCGCCCCAGTTTACATTAAAATTATATAATAGTAAACTATATAAGTGAACTTATTTTTCATTAAGTATTTCAACAAACATTTAATGCTGGGCTTTTGATTTTTAGTTCTCATTATAAACACACCCAGCAAATACAAACGAGTGCACAATGTTTGCACAAGTTTTCTGCCCCCATTTCATCTTTTCATAAGCAAATAGTAGTCCCCCTCCAACTGGTCTCATTATAATTTAAATTAACTGAATTTGCTTTATTTGATTTAGCTGGTTTAGTGTTTCACTGCCTTTCCGGCCCATTGAGAATTTTCTGCTCCGATTGTGCAAAAGCCAAGGACGCCGGCAGAAGGCTTTCTGAATTTATTAGCCGCGCTGGGGTTCTGACCCAAAAGGGTGCCTATCCCGTCCTATTTGGCTCTGGCTTTGGTTTCCTTTGGGCCATCTCTTTTTATTTTCTGAAATTAATGCGGCAAACACTAATTAATTGCGCAGGTGTTGCAGCTGTTCTGTAGCTCGCGTTGTTGTTGCTTGCGGTGTTGTTATTGCATGGGATAAGCCTAATTGAATTTCTGTAGCTTTTCGCTAGGCTTGCGGATTCAGGAGCGAAGGATAATGGGGATGGGAGATCCTATCTCTCCATTGGTTATAATTAATTACAAAGCTGCCATTATACGGCATCGGTTGCATTTATTATCTTTAAATTATTGATTTTTATCAGTGGCTAATAAAGCATAACATTACTGATGGGATTGCAGGTTGTATTTTTTATTTAAAGCTATGTACAAATGTTTTAAATTAAACAAAAAATTATCAGTTGGCTGTGGATTTTTTAATTATCCTGCAGAGAATTTTGAGGACTTTGCATATCCCAAAACCTTGACCGTAATCAAATTCACGCCTTGTACTTGTTTAATTGGTTTTCTTTTTAATTTCTCATAGTTAATAAATTGACTTTTATGACCGGTCATAAGAAGCTCGTAAAATTTGCATATGACTGTTAACAGAGCATTTCGGCTTTAAGTCGGAGTCGGAGTTGGGAGTCCTTCAACGGTTGACGGTTGGCATTATTATTATGTCAACGTAATATTGTCGTCAAATAGTTTTTCGCGTGACATTTGCATTTCAGTTCGGTCGAGTTGAGCCCTCGGGTCCGATGACATTTCATTAGCCGTCGCCAGTTCTTCGGGCACATAATAACGTGTGCCATTGTTTTTCATTGTCGTTTTATGTGCTGTTTATATTTTTATAGCATGCCATATAGTATTTAATATTTATATTATATATGAGCCACATGCGACGCTCCCTCCCGTCCTATCATGTCTGCGATAAAACAGTTTTATTCCCTTCTCCCGACAGCAACTTTTAGGGACAGCGAACTTTTTTCCCAAGGTAAAAAGGCTCCCTCTCCAGCTCCGACTCCAACTCCATCTCCTTCAACTGAAATCAAACTACTTGAGGAGTCACCCGTTGCTTCGTGTTTGCAGTTATTATTGTCTATAAATCGTTGGGAGGACCCCGATAGGAGCACTGGCAATATACACGATGACATTATGAATTTATTACTATTTAAATATTTTACTTCTGTTTTGGCCCTGGCAGGCGACGATGGGCCGCAATAATCGTTCTGACATTCTGTTTTGCTTGGCGTGCGTAACTATTTACGAGTTTGCTCCGGCAAGTTTTGTCTCCGCAGTCGGAGGCCCAGGCACCGGTGCATAGTTTGAGTAGGTCATGAATTATCGATGCTGTCAGCAATAAATATTGATAAAATATATGATCCAAAGTTTGGGGCACGGCACGTAGGCATCAACTTTGGTAACTGCTGTCTATTACCATAATTCGGGCAGTTAGGCCACTTAAACGGTTCCGCTTAAAACCCATGCATAAACGTACCTACATCGGCAAATCACCCGAATGTCACTTTAATTATTAATCAGCCAGACAGATCTGTGCCAGAAATTAATCAGCAAACCAGTTCAGTTTCATCGCTTGGACTTGAGATCGTTAGACTCGTTTGAGTTTTTAGACTTTGATACCGGCACTTGATTTCAAACTTTCAGCAAAAAACAAAAAGAAAACAAAACAATGGAAAAAAGGTTAGAACAGGTTTGATGTATCAAAACGATATAAAATAAATTCAACAACTAAATCGTTTGTAGTACAAAAAATATATCACAAATAATTTGCAAGAAATTTTAATGATGCGACTAGTTTTAATTTACCTAAGTTTTTATTGATTATCTTTATTTCGAGTATTGGAAGTTCAAAGTACAAAGTACACGAGACAAATTAGGTTTTATCGAGTTACCTGTTCTCTTGATGTATTTTTAATAATGGCTTAAACTAATTTATTTTGTTTTCTAAGAACCTTTCTATCGCTTTTATTATTTTTATCTTGCTGTAGTCCTCGAAAACTGCCATCTCATGCTTTGACCGCACTTTTTTTAACACCTCTATAAAAAACCTTTGTAAAGTCGTGATTCAAGTTTAAGGTTTGGCAGTTACGAGAATTGCTAAACCAAATCGCCAATGTTAACGCTTCGCTGAGCACTTCGACCCTTGGAAAGTACAAAACTTTTTAATCGCTGGAAAATCTAAAATAACAATTAGCACTTACGTTATGGAAATCAAATTATTTCAACCTTATAATGAGCCCGAGTCTGCGGCATTAAGGCCAATTATCGAAACAATGGGATCGCAATGAACTTGCTTCATTTACTGAGCCCACTATATGGTGAACTTTGAGTCGAAGTGGGGCAAAAAGTGAGTCAGAGTCGAATTACCAACGAGATTGGAGAGGGGGGAGGGCCTGGACCAGAAAACAAAACACCGAGAACCATTAAAAAGACGATTTAAATAAACTAACCGATATGAAGCCGTGTGTATACTTAATTGCGTATACGCTGTGATCAACGGAGTAGAGCGAATACAAAATGCGATAATCAAAACAAAACTCTAGCGAAGCTGCAATCAAAATCGTATAAAAGCCGGGTGTTAACAGAATAAAGCAAACAGTTCCGATATCAAAGGGTCCAAAACAACATCTCCACCATGAAGTTTCTGATTGTCTTGACCGCTATTTTGGCCATGTCGGCTGCTGTAAGTTAAATCAATTGGGTGAAGTTCCCATATCTCATTTAGAAATACATTTTATAGGAGCTCCAGCTGTCCGATGAGCAGAAGGCGGTGGTCCATGCCAATGGAGCCCTTTGTGCCCAGCAGGAGGGAATCACCAAGGACCAAGCGCTCGCCCTGCGAAATGGAAAATTCGATGACACCGATGCCAAGGTCAAGTGCTTCGCCAACTGCTTCCTGGAAAAGGCCGGATTCCTGATCGACGGAAAGGTGCAGCCCGATGTCGTCCTGGCCAAGTTGGGTCCGCTGGCTGGCGAGGACAAAGTGAAGGCCGTTCAGGCCAAGTGCGACTCCATCACGGGATCCGATAAGTGCGATACCGCCTATCAGCTCTTCCAGTGCTACCACAACAACCGCGCCCAAATCTAAGCGCACAACTGCGAGTCTATAATGTGATATTACCTGTCTGTGAATTGTTACTAACCCTGTTTTAATTAATCACAAGCAATGAGAATACAATGTTAAGAAATGTATATCTTGAAAATCCCCATTTAATTCGGTTTATTGTTTTTTGTGGGATTTAATATTTGATTATATTTAACTATAAGTCCTTACATATTTCAGTTGTTCATAAATGTTTTAAATATTTTTTTCAAGTATTCACTGAATATTGATTAAGCAAAGGAGTCGTAACTTTTGTTCCACCAATTCGATCCAGTTTACCCCTCTAAAACCCTAAAACCTTCCAAGAACTCCTGAGTCAAAGAACTTTCGCAACTTTGACAACCCCTCAGTATCTCAGAGGACATTAAAAGTGAAACTCTTAAACATAATTACTTATGCATATTCGACTTGTCAATGGATGCTCCTCCGTATGACCCATTTGCGTGGTGGCCACGCACCCATTTGCATAACAGTGGGCCGTCATTAAGGCCCAATGTCAGACCGTCGTCAGGGGCTTAAGTCCTTGGCCAGAGCGCCGATCCCAGAGGCATTTGCCCGCTCATGTTCGGCATAAATATTGATGAGCGACGGCAAACTTATTCGCACAAAGACCTGGATCCTGTATCCAGAATCCTGGCGTGAGTGCGTGTGGGCCGAGCAAATGAATTGGACACGGGGAGTCGTGTTTTTAAAAGCCCAAATCCAATTAACAAATCATTAAACATTCATTGAGCACGTGTCGCAATTGCATTTACCAGTTACGGCTGAACATCAGGGAAAAGGTGGAACATCAGGGACAATTGCTTCTGCTTCGGCTTTGGCTTTGGGGACTTGGAGCTCAGCCAGAGTGGACTTGGCGTCCATAATTCATTTTGTCACTTCCTGCGGACTGCTGGCCGGTCTGGCTGTCATGTCACTTCCATTTAGCATCCGTTTCAGTTGCAGTTGTCTACACAAGAGAGCCTTGCCAACTGATGCGTTTACTAATGTCTATTAAAAAGGCAGCCCAATCGCCCGGCTGCCACCCCCGCTCAATGCCACTAATGCATTTAAGTAGACAGCCATGGCGGCTTGTCAAAGAAACCAACACGCGTGAGATGGAGGCACATTGATGCCCTTTGTCTTGGCCGTCTTGTTTGACTTGTCTCGCTCCCGTTAGTTGGCTTTCAATGGCGGCCAAGGACCGAGGATGTGGCTGGGGTTGATTCCCGATGTCCTGACTTCGGTGGGTCGGTGGGGGGTTAGCCTGCGGTTCTCACATTAACGTAATTTAATTTTATAAAAACTACGCTGCGGGGTGGCTGCCACTGTCTTGTTGAATGGTCCGATGTCTTTCGTGTGGAGTTTCTTTGATCTTGAAGACCAATATGTGATGTAGCTGGGGATGTTGCGGTCGTGTTCCTGATTATCAACGCAGGACTGTTATTAAGTCCGTCAATTAGAGCAGGGCTAAAGAAAGTTGGAGTTGAAGTAAACCAGTCGCTGTGGTTGAAACTAATGTGATTGAATTGGTTCGCAATAGCGCTGAACAAACAACTACAGTGAATTCAATAGAAATTCTTTCATGGCAATTCACAGAAATTTTGTAAAAGGCTACAACGCATTTTATTATTTTACAATATCGATAGTAAATACCAAATACCTCCAAATTACCCCTTGTATAATCTAATCCAGATTAAAAGCATCTTCGAAATCGTTCTATAAAAGCCCTCATTAATCGCTAAAACAAATTAGTTAATAACTACTATAATTATTTTAATTCATACTTAGTAAAAATATACAAAATAATTACTTTCCTAGTTTTTAAACACCTTTATGGAACGGCACTCCAATGATCATATACCAAATTAAGCTTGAAATTTTTTTGCAATGCCTTTTTTTGCGTAATTATAGAGGCCATTAAACGCGTCCAACATTTATTTCAGTCGAGGGTTTTCTGTGCCGATGCTAATTTAAATTCCCACCTAAAAATGCTTTTGGCAATGCACTGATGCGTGTCACATTATTTGCTCTGTATCTGAAAATTTTAAACTGATGAGCCCATCCAGTCAGCCAGAAAAATTATTTCCCGATCGATTTGGACAACAATTAAAAAGTAATTAAAAGGAGATGGGATCTGTAGTACACTCCATATAAAAGACGAGTGCATAACCGCGACAGATCCTATAGTTTAAAAGGTTTTTTAGTTAAACTGTATATATATTTGAACTATAGCTTTGATGTATCTTCAAGCCAATTTTCTGTCCTTATTTCTCCTGACTCTCAGTGATCTTCTGCCAGTGGCATGGGTAAAGTTTTTCATTTTATTCATTTCAAACTCCGGTAAAAAAAAACGCGTTCAATTTAATTTAAAATATTCTTCGATATTTAAAAATAAAAAGAACCCTCTTTCCTTAAAAACTCTGTGTCTTATGAGCGACAAAATAAAAAACTGATTTAAATTTATATTCGAAGCAGGAACAAATTGTCCTACTAGTTGTTTAAAAATATAAATAAAATCATTAAAAAATTACCCTCTTAGAGTCGTTCGCTGACTGTCTCGCTGAACATGTCCATGACCCGAACCCTGGTCCCAGATCCGCCAAATGGAACCGAGACCAAGCTCAGCCAGGAAATGCTGAGGAGTTGCATGCGGAAAACCGAGATCTCGATGTCCCAGCTGAAGCTCTTCCACATGAGCCTGATGAACACGGACTACAACAGCGAGAATGACGTGGCTCCACCGCCGGTTCAATCCATTGGCGATGTGAACAACTTGGGCGATCTGGACTCACAGATGTCATTCCTCGACCTGAAGCACAATGAGCCGCTGCAGTGCTTTGTGAGCTGTCTTTACGAGACTCTGGACCTGGACAGGTACAATGTCCTTTTGGAGGAGGCTTTCAAGAACCAGGTGCAGACGATCATCCAGCACGAGAAGGCCGAGATCAAGGAGTGCAGTGACCTGCAGGGGAAAACCCGCTGCGAGGCGGCCTACAAGTTGCATCTGTGCTACAATCACCTAAAAACTTTGGAAGCGGAGCAGCGAATCCGTGAGATCCTTGAGAAAACCGAGGCGGATGGCGAAGGATTTGGACCGGATGGCAATGACTTCATCGATGGAATTCAGCACTCCGGCGAAGCGGTGACCACCAAGGCGGAGTAAATAATTATATACCTCTGTTATACATATTTTATCGGTGTCTATTTAATCGAAAACCCATAAATGAATCCAATGTGTAGAGACAAAAAAAATAAACTATCCTCTTGTGTATTTTTGGGGACTCCAAACACAATTAATAAAATGCCTTCACTGTTATTATTAGTTTACATATTTTAAAAGAGGCTTTGTCATATAAAATTGAAAATTAAATAGATTGGCTTTAGGCTCAAACTTTTTCAATCATTTTTCCAAATTACCATAGCATAGTTTTTGGCTGATGGCTAGGCACAGATTACGTTACGCAATTTACGTAATATGTGCAGATCCCTAGGTAAAAATATAACAAAATAAATATCATAACTCACTGACCAAAATGATTAGCTGAGGTGGATGATTTAACGCCATAAAGTTGGAACATGTAAACCACCAATTGGTTTAACCAATTGAAATACTTTTTCAGTTTTAAATTGAATAATTATAATAATTGAAATATAATCAAAATAACAACTTAGTTGACAGAATTAACGCTGGAACATAACAATGTCACGAGTATTTAAGCCGCAATGAATCGAGCAGAATTCAGTTGGTCAGTGAAAACAGCTTTGCAAAGATGAAATTTTTGGTGGTGGTATTCCTCATTTTCGCTGTCAGCGAAATGACGGAGGTAAGTTGATGGAATTTGCATTAAGGATGAACATGATCCTTTTTTTGTAATCCTATAAAGGGTCAGAGCGCTGCTGACTTGGCAGCCTACAAGCAAATGCAACAGGCCTGCATCAAGGAGCTGAATATTCCCGCCAACGATGCCAATTTGCTGACCACCGATAAAGAGGTGGCCAATCCCTCGGAGGCGGTGAAGTGCTACCATAGTTGTGTGTACAAGAAATTAGGACTCATTGGATCCGATGGAAAGCCCGATACCAATAAGATTGTTCAGATTGCTCAGCTCCGTTTCAGCAGTGTGCCAGTTGACAAGCTGAAGGCTCTTCTTAATAGTTGTGGTACCACTACATCAGCTACAACCTGCGACTTTGTCTTCAACTACGAGAAGTGTGTTGTCAAGGGAATGAGTGCATAAAGGAAGCGATATCCTTCCAATCAGCACCCCGTTTAAAAAATAAAGTTATTTCAAGTGTTCAACGCACTCAATGGTTAATTGTCTGGCTGGGGGTATCCTGCATTTAATTATGCAAATTGAAAACGCCGAATGAACTGACACACGCATGAAAATGGATTAAAAGCGGTTTACGTGAAACAGGGCCTGAAATCCCCAATTAAGCTGCGGCAAATTTTGGCTCTCAACCTGCTGATGTTTACAAAATTACTTATTTGTAAGCCCGTTGGAGTAATCGTTTTTTTAACACAAAAAAAATAATATTTCATTAAAAATGCTTTGAATTAATACCCCAAAGTAATATAAATAATCTAATTTTGTTCATGCAGTTTTCCGGAATTTAAGCTTCAAAAATGTTAAATGGCTTATACATTTTAAATGAAGTTTCAATTAAAACACAATAAGGTTTCATCTGACAAAGCATATATTAAAATCCAGCATACAAGTTTTTAAGTTAATCTTCACATTTCTTTATAAATTAATCACAATTTGCCAAACTTCAGCTTCCGAATGCTCTTAAGCCTTAACTTCGTGGACGGGCTTGAAGCCCTCGAAGCATTCGTGCAGCTTCACGGCGGTCTCGCACTTGTTCTCGCCCTTGATGGATCGGCACTTGGCCAGGGCCTCCTTGGTCTTCTCCTCGCCGATGAAGGCGCCCAGCTTCTCCAGGACAACGGACTCCTGCAGCTCTCCGTCCTTCAGGGTTCCGACCTTCTCGAAGAAGCAGTTGGCGAAGCACTTGATGTTCTCGGTGGGGTTCTTGAAGTCCTTGGCCTTGACCTTGGCCTTCTCCTCCTCGGTCAACTTCAGCTCAGCTGCACACTGCTCGCCGTGCTGCTTGGCCAAAGCCTTCTGCTCCTCGTTCAGTTCGATGGGCTAAAATAAATATTTACAGAGATTTATTACTTTAAAAACTTTGTAAGAAAATTTCTATCTGGTTTGTCAACTCAATTTCTTATTAAATAAATATTTTAAGAGTATTGAGCCAAAGGTTCTTAATTAAAACCTTTTAATAGCTATATTAAATGTTTACAATAATTAATAATTATTCGATTTTAAACATTTTGGAATCCTTTTGGACTCCTTGGATCTTTTGAACTCACCGAGGCAACAGCCAGAGCCACAAACAGAGCACTCAAAGCGATCACAAAGTAGGTGTTCATGTTGAGAATAACTATGACTTGCTAGAACGTTTGGAGGAGTTCTGATGCCGGTTTGAAATGTGATCGCTGCTTTTATACCCTCATTCGCGGCCAATAAAATCCGGTTTCTCTTTATGCCCCCGGGCAGTGATCCATCTGAGCCCAGCTGATGTCTTTGGTTTTGTTTTGTTTTGGCTTATGTTTTGTTTTGCACTCTCCCATTTCCCTTGATCTAGACCAAAAAAAAAAATTCCCTATTTTTTTTGGCATCTTGGGGTGTACTTTGGACTATTTTTGGCCTGCGGCCAGGTAGACAATCCGAAGCTATGGCCGCAATGAAAGCATGGTTCATTAAACCGCCTTCTCCGGCCGGCGAAATCGAATCAATTATACAAATAGAACGCAGACGTGGTACAGACAGGGACGCCTCAAGTGGTCTCGAGATCGGAGGTCGCTCGACTTACAATCGCAGACGGACTTCTTCGAGTCGGAGTTGGAGTTTGTGGCTGCTCACTCATTATCGCGGCACTCTATCAAAAACTTTCCACTGCTCCCCACTCCAGGTGGCAGAATCTCAATCCCAAAACCAAGCTAAAGAACCAACGACAACGCTTCATTCGGATTCTGATTCAGAAGATATATATCTGGGCGGAGGTGTGGCGCGTATTGAAAGTTGAGAAGCGCAAGGAGACAGACGACGACGGCAAAGTTTTTTCATTTGAATCCTATTATTTCAGCGTAGTTGTAATCTTATTATCCACGAGATGACAGCAAAATGACATTTAGAAAATTTCACGCTGTGTGAAATGTACAGAAAGAAAATACGGGAATGCAGGAAAGTCAGCCAAGCAGTGCGTGTGGTGGGCGGTGGGCGTTGGGTGGTTTTTTGTGGGTGGGTGGTGATAGAATCGAGCCGGAGTCGGAGTCGCAGTCGGTTGGAGCCAAAGTCGTGGCCGGATCCGGAGTTTCTGATTGGAACTGCGTACTGTGGCCGCACAAAGTGTGGAAGGGAGGGACGGGGGGTGGGGTCCTGGAAAAACCTTCGTCTACTTCTTTGAGTCGGGCGTGTTTTTCACAAGTTTTCCCACTGACTGCTGCTGTCGCTGCCTTCCTTTTAATTTCAATTCTGACATTTGTTTGTCTGCTGTCAAAATAAAGTAGCTTTGGCGCAAAAGAAATAAACCATAAGATTGCGATTGAAAATTTTCCAACCCACACACACACACACACACACAGTCAGAAAAACAGCCACCCCCTGACCACCGACCGCCTGAAACTTTTCGCTCTGACGCAATAATAATAATAAACTAAAGCTTGTTTGACTTCTCCGCAAATGCTTTGAAATCCTTGTGTGGTAATCTTAATTCAATTTGCTTGTGGTGGGGACAGTCGACTTGGCTGATAAACTCTGGCGTTACACATGCAAAGGACGAACCTCGAAATTTAATCTGAAAACTTTATCATAATAATGATTTTAGGGAGAGTGCATGATAAAAGCATTCTTTGAATGTTCACAGGTGGAGGAATTGTTTTTTTGTTTATTTTTCACTTTTTCCTACAAAGATTTAATTCCTGAAATAAACTGCAAAAGAAATAAAGTAAAATATTTGAAACAGCAGTTTGGATACTTTGAAATCATAAAATATTTTTTGACAGCAACTCCTCCATTTTACAAAAATATTAAAACTTTTCTCTTCGAAAATGGTCTGTCAGTTATTTATACATTTTTTTATACATTTTTATGGAAATATAATTAATTTTTCCGAGTTTCTATATTATTCTGTTGAATGTTTCCGAAGTCATTTACCAAGTCAAAGTGTAGTATTTGTTAAAGCTTATTTCTAATGAACATAGGGATGGCTTTCCCTATAGAGCACAAAGCAAACCCATGAAGAGCATAATCAGTCTGCGAAGTCCCCCTCCAAAGCCGCTCCCCTTCAGCTAGAAATTAAGTACAATTTTCATTTTAAATTAAGCTGCCACGGCATCCCCGCAGAGCAGATCCTGCTCAGCTTTCGACGTCATTAATCACCGCAGAAGCAACAACATGCTGGCCAAAGAGCATTTGTCAGGGACTTTTGGGTTACTTTCTTCGATGGGTGGGGGTACACCATTTTCTAATCGCCCCCATGCAAAAAAAAAACAACACAGAGTTGGAAAAAAGTTGCTCCCAAGAATCAGCCCGTGTACACATGTCAGTCGAAGGGGGAGGGGAAAATCCCCCCAACTATGAAAACTCCAGCCTGACGAAGGCCCACCTGTCTGAGTTTTATTTCTGTGAGAAAAATGGTCGCTAAATTTGCGTGAAAAGGCAAATAATTTGAAATTCCCAGGGGTTCTAAATAAGTAAATTTAAATTGCATTTGTATGCGTTCAAAATTTGTGCTCCTCCTTTCTACTGAGGGCTGAAAGGCAGGCGGTTTTTGGATTGTGTGTTTTGGCCACAGCAAGTTTTTTGTTGCCACCGTTGCCGTTATAAATTTGCGTGTCAAAAGCGACGAGGTGAAGGTTTTTCCGCTTTTTCTGATGTTTCGCATATGCGGAAGGAAGCTTTCCTCACTCCCTACCCTCCCTTACCCCCCATCACTCCCCCACTTTGCTGCGTGTCTATGTGTTTGGCCAAATGTTAATGTCCTTATCAGCGCTTCAGCATTTTTACATGTGTCCGCATTTGAAATATGCGGCAGTGGCAAATGTTTTTCTGGCACTTTGCATGCACCCAAATGAAGGAGGCAACCGGACTGGGGGATTTTCTTTTTGCCGCTCCTGTTGCCGCTTCCGTTGCAGTTGATGTCAAGTGTCAAGTGTCGGACAGTTGAAGTTATTTATTATAACGACAATTACGCCAAACGCAGGCCAACAGCTCACGTCAGAGGGTTCTGCGGGTTCCCTACGGCCATAATTACATTTCCCACGACTCCGGCGAATGGAAATTAGAAAATGCCGAAAAGCGGAAACGGAAGTGAAGCAACTTCGCTTCGGTCTGCAATGTGTTCTTTGTTATTGGCCCTGCCACGCCCCCACACACACACCTACACTCTCACACACACGCCAAGTCCTTTTATCGGAGCTCTGAATCCATCGTCTCAATCGAAATCACCCTATCCCCTCGGAATCGTTGAAATTTGCTAATGTAATGATGCTTAAAAGTGTTTCAAAGTATTTCTTTGCCTTGTTTATTTTTATTTAAATGCCAGCATGTGTGGGCTGTGTGAGGGGGCGTTTGATTGAATTGAAAATGCTTTGCCAAAAAATTTCCATTCGCCTTCGATGGCTGTCTGTTCCCGTCTACAAAGCCCGCCTCCCTTTAGCTCGTTTCGTATTCAAGGGTTAAGGCACGTTGCGAATAATTTGCTAAATGGCTTAAAGTATGTGACTGGTCGAATTGAAATGCTCGCCAGCCGCAAAAACATTAACAGTCTGACTGGACTTTGAGTTCGATTTCGGCTAAAACTCTATCTACGGTTTTTGGGGGAAGTTTGCATTGCACTAATGTTGTTTGCGTACTTTGATTGCTCACGATAAAATTAAATGTACATTAGCTACTCAAATGAATAATACGTTTTTGAAAGGGAATCCCAATTTGAGCTACTCGACTTGTCACGACCAGAAAGTAATTCGAGTGGGTTATTTAAAAGCATTCTCCCCAATTAATAGTGACGGCCATATCTTATCATCTTTCAAGTGCAAAGTTCGGGTTCAGTGTAATATTTGGGTACCCTTTCATTTTTTTATTATCTAATTAGGTTCCAAACGTTTAAACAAGATTAATAAGTACAAACAATGAGAACTGCGTTTATAGTAGAGGTAAAATTAAATTGTTCTTGAAATGAGTAACATTCATCGCTAGATTAAATAAAAATCTTGAATTCTTTCTCAAATACCCGTAAATCTTAAATTCTATGGTTGCGCAACTGGTTAGTCAGAATTATCGCAGTGAAATGCCATCTGCTGGCAGTTGCATTCAACCAGCTTTAGCGCCACTTGAACTATTCATTTTGAGCCACTCGAGCATGTCGATACACACACTTGTGGCCACAACCTCGGCTTCCAAGGACCCTCTCCTTTGGGTAAGTTCAATGCCATAAGTCGCTGTCTCCGACGGGGCTTTCTTTTTTACAGTGTTTTTGTGGCTCTAATTCCATGTGTTCTGTGGGCATATTTAACGAGCGCCTGCTGTGGCACTTCAGCCACTATAATATGCCAAATTAAAACTTTAACTAGCGCGCCGAGAGTCCTACAGCGTCAGCATAAAGAGCAAGTGCAGCAGCAGTACAGCCAGCGACAGACTGTCATCATTATCATTAACAGACACACACACACACCAGGACTCACTTTCGCACCTTATCCTGCGCTTAATACACCGAGAGAAAAATGAGAAAATTTATTTCAGTAAAAATGGTCAAACGTAATTGAGAATAATAATAATAATAAAAATATAATAATTTTTACAGTATACTTTTAGTCTGCATTTAAAGAAGTTTGAAAACTTAAAAATTTCCTCAGCATACTTTTTGGGCACCTTTATAAAAGATTTGAAACCTCTTGACATTTTTTGTCTTTATTTCAAGAGTAAGAAATAAGAATTCTTAGATTTAATAAGTATCTTTCATCATTATTTTATCATACTTAGTTTTTAAAATTTTTTAAATTTTAAGTCTAATGTTTGGTATCATTAAAGACTTATAAACTGCTATTTTTTCCAGTGCTTCTTTGGTGGTGTTATTGTCGCTGTAGTTGGCACTGAAGTGGCCGCCATGAAACAGTCGCCCAAAAGTGACAGCGTCGGTGGAAAAGTGGGGGAAAGCTTCACGATGAGGTGCAGCTTCCGTTGCAGTTTGTTTTTCCGGCTCCTCGCAGACGGCTTAGTGGCACAAGCATCAGAATGTGGACGAGTATGTGTTTTTTTTGTATGTGTGTGTTTGTGTGTGTGTGTTTGTGTGCAAGTGCATCCGATGTGAGTGCCGCATAAAAAACAAAACGAAGGCGTTAATCTTTCCAACAAACCTAGTCCGTCTACATAACTTTGCTTGCACTTTGGCCTAACATAATTTATGCACTGCAACTAGGCGGAAACTATGCGAAAGGGGGCGTGGCAGCCGCCTTGTAGCATACGTAATTACACACTTCGGGATAATGCCAGGGCTTTAGTGGCAGCCACTTTGCATCATTGTGAATGTGAAGCACAGGAAATGAAGCAGGAAAGGCAAAAAACAATCAAGAATACTGAATAAATAAAGCCAGGAAATTGTATACAAGAGCCGACAAGAGGCATTATCCCTGTGTCTCCATGGAAAACCATTCAGGTGTTGAGAAACTAAAGTCTGTCAATTGAATGTTAAGATGGCTCTGAAACGTAACTACTTTTTGAGATAAAATGTTGCAGGGTCTTACAGTTTTTGAATTATTTGCCATTTGGAGTTTTATGCTTAGAATAGGTAACAAACAAATTGAATAAAATATTGATAGAAATATATAACGCACTTTATATTCTGTGCATCAATCATTTAAAATACATTTTTAAGGCGGTTAAACATAAATCAAAACATTAGTTATTGATTGTTGACTTTGTATGCCCAACTTTAGAGGTTTGATTGACAACAAATCTTTATTAGTAGAGATAGCTACATCTTATCAGCACTTAACAAAACCGTTTTTGGACTCAACTAGTCGAAACAATAAAATTTCGAGGGTTCTACATTTTACGACTTTCCTTGCAGCAGAACAATCAAATTTTTCTACTATTGACATCCAAACCCTTGAGCTTTGTTTGAAGCACTAACTAAACCATAGAATTGGCTCTCCGATTTTCCGAATTTCACTCAATATAGCAACGCATGCGCAGCGTAGTACGGGATCTGAACGGTATGAAGAAAAGTGGCGCCAGTGTGCCCGGAAAATCTCACTTAATTTATTCTCTGAACTCTCAGCTTTGGCCATATCCTCTCTTTTTAAGCCTCTTACTTTGGCCAGCTGATGGCCCGAAGTTACTGCTAACATCGCCTGAAAGCGTGCTTCGGTTTTTCCTTTCAGGTTTTCCCTTGACTGATTTTCCGTGCTCCTCGTGAAAATGCCTTGGGTTGAGTTGAGTTTTGGGTTCCGCATTTCGGGGTTGGGGGATTTTTCGGGGTTGGGTGACCGGGAGCAGCGACTCTTTGTTGCTTTTGTTGCCACTCTGCTGCCGCTTCTGCTGCTCCTGCTGCTCCTGCTGCTTTCAATTCAATTTTTCGCCAGCTGTTGTGCTTAATTTGAACTTTAAGCATTTTCCTTGTTGTTGTTTGGGTATTTCCGGCTTTAATGCGGCGCCCATTTCTGCGGCTGGGCGACAACAGCTCAATGCGAATGAAGAGTGAAGAGTGAGCAGCCGATTTACCAGCATTGAGCAGTCCTTTGTGGGTCAACCAGTCGGCCTTTTAACCGCTAATGAAGACTTATTTCGCAAACGGAGCGACGGCAATGCACTTATTTATGGTTAGGCCAGAGTATTTCCCATCCGAAATATGGACCGGTTGACAGTATAAATAATGTGTTCCTTTGCCAGAATTTATGGCACTTGTATGTCTTTTGGTCTTCGGCATCCACTTGGCTGCTATAAATTAGAGAGCCGACCAGTCCAACCTGAAATGCGAAGTGCGTGTGTGTGGCTCCAGGATCTCCACCCCCCTTCCACCCACTCCCCCTCCCACTCAGGCACACACACTCGTATATACACACACACACATGCCATTCCAGACACGCAACAAAACACACAGATACGATTAGTATTGGAAAGCAACCGCCGTGTGGCAGCGGCTTTTGGGGTTTTAAAGCGTTTTGAGGTGACACATAATGATTAGCCAGCCATTAATTGCTTAGCACTCGAGGCACTCGATTACACTAATTAGTCGGCTTATTAACCCAAAATAGACGCAGCTTAGTGAATTCCTTTGGCCAAATGATTGTATTTATTCCATCCGAAATCCTTAAAACTACTTTGCTAAATTCCGTGTTAAATTCTTATGAAATTGTGCAGCACAGGCAACATGGTCTTGGACCATGGTGAGGTGGTCCATGGTGATGTGGTGGTCCATGGTGCTGTGGGCCTCCATGGTGGGGTCCACCATGATGAGGTGGCCCACCATGTCCATGTCCTCCGGGTCCTCCAGGTCCTCCGTGTGGTGGTGGCATTTTTCAAATATTCTTTTGTACTTCGATCAACGTGCGAATGGATCCAACTCTTATAGGCAACTAAATCCCCATTGGCAGTGAAAATCTAATCAAGACTCCGCTTATAAAGATAGCACCTATCTAATCTCTTTTGTATAACTTACTAATCGATAGACTGGTTTGTTGGCACAAACATTGGCATATTATCATGGCCATGGCGATGAGTAAGGCCTTGTAAATGCCTGGAGAAGAGTTAGTCATCGGAAAAAACATGAGGAAAACCCCTCTGAGGTACCCCAAAAAGATAAGCATCTGAGCAATTTTATTTTAAAGCTAATCTATGCGGAGGTGTGCCCAATTTTATGAAGGTTTCGTGAAAAAACGATAAGATAAAGCTCTTGAAATAACCAAAAACTACTTGGAACTTTACTTTCAACCTTTTTTTTAATCTTACCATAAAACTTGAATAGTTAACAACGCGAGAAGTAAAAGCTTTACAAGGCTTTGATAAAGAATACTATTTTTATTAGAATTAATAGTTGGCAAGTTTGGCAAAAAAAATAGATAAGATTAAGCAAACAAACAATTCAAAATTTTGCTGAATTCCGGGATTTATAGAGGGCACCAAATCGATCACCATTATTCTACAGAATTCCAGATAAAAGTTTTTCAAATGTTCTTGGAATATTTGGCTAATAAGTTTTCACTAGAATTGATACTCAAATTGTACTTTATTTACTGCCTTCCAATTTTAGTGATACTCCATTTACTGCCATTCCGATTCCAACTTTCCATCGTACTGAATTTGTCAAATTGCCCACCAGATACATTGGTATACTGCAGAAGCCTCCATGCAAGTGGAGCAGTTTGATTTTAATTCGTGATTAAGCCACTCGTGGCCATGTAACTATTTACTTTCCTCATGACATGACCCAGAAAGGCATTGCGAAAATTCTCCAGCCAAGTGCAGGCCACTTTGCAAAAGAAAACGGAAGGCGAAAGAGCAATGGTTTGGCTTTTTGAATTCAATTAATTTTATCTGCATCAGTTTTCCTTTATAATCGCATCAGAGGGCGGCTCACATGCGAAACGGAAAAGGCAAAGGACGTTTCCCGAAAAAGGACCGCAGCTCGTAAAATGTATAAAGTCATTGCGAAAGCCAATTTGTATATCAGCGTTGGCGGCTGGGGCCCGGCGATTATCAAACTGCGAAACTTACTTAAAATGCCCTCAAAAAGAAAGGGGAGTTGGGTTGCCTGTTGGGTGGTTGGTTGGGTGGGTGGGTGAGTGGTTGGTGGGTTGAGAATTGGGCCCGCTTTCATGGTAACAATTACATTTCACAGATTTTCGTTTTGGGGTCGCGTGTGCCGTTGCATGTTGTTGGTGCGGTCGCATTCGCGTCCGCTTTTCGCGTCCTTTATTTCGGGCTTAAAGGGGCTTATATTATCGCCGGTTGGCCAAAAGGGAAAACCGGCGGCAAGCGAGTTTCCACTCAGCTTTCGGCTGATGGGCGACGTCTAAATATGAGAATGTTGTGTGAAAATGTTTAAAATTCACGCGAGCCTCTCCGAGCGCAAATGCTTAGCACGCCATAAGTGTCAGGCAGTCAGGATTGCCTGTGGTTTTCCCAGTGTATTTTCCACTGCCTCTATGCATGTGTGTGTGTGTGTGTGTGTGTGTGTGTGTTAGTGTTAGTGATTGTGTGGGTTTTTGCCCTGGCCAAGGAGTGGCCACTTTTGCATACCTCCCCTGAAAATGGCGTGGCGGGCGCTAAGAAAGGAAGTAAATAGTGGAAAAGGCATAAATAATAGCAAATAATACGGCGACAATGCGCACAAATTTGCCGCTAAAGTGTAGTCATTGTCGGCTCCTTCGTGGCGCAAATGAAATGAAAAAAAAAATAGAAAAAGGAAAAGTAGAAAGAGTCCTGTGCGTGAGCTAAGCCACAGGACCTGCCTTAGCTTTTTGCATGATTTCGCTGTTTAAATTTATTACACATTAGATTTATGATCGCGTTGAGTTGCCCCTACACTCCCCCTACTCCCCCTTACTCCCCCTTACTCCCTCTTTACACCCACCCACCCAACACTTATCACTGCCCATTGTGGTGGCTTTAATTTCATTGTTACAACTTCTATTTGAACTGGGTGTGAAGCATAATTTATAGGTGGCCGTGTGGTGTGTGTGCGAGTTTTTAAGTGATTTCTTTCGCTCGGCTGCCACTGGGCATGCACAATTATTGGGTGGCCTGTGCCACTTCTGTCACTCGCCTTGCGGTTGCTTTTCCACAGCGGTTTTCCCTTGGTATTCCCCCGGTTTTCCCCTGGTTTTTCCCCCAGTTTTTTCCATTTAATCACAGGTTTTGGATAGCCTTGCGTGGCTTTTAAGCGCTTATTAGAAGTGTGACAGAATTCGAAGTTGAAGAGGAAACGGAGACGCCCATCCACTTGCCACTTCTATTTGCCACACACGAACGACCACTGTAATAATATGGAACAACTATAAGTTTTGCCTCGATATACAAATAGTTGGATGAACAAAGCTGTAAATAGTTGAAAACTTATATCAAAATACGAGAAATTGTACAAACATAAACATACAATTTTTTTAATCACCTCACCATTGATTTTACTTTCTTGCTTACTCTATACTTCTCTACTCTATACTGCTCACTTGTATTTTAACCTTTGTTAAATTTATTGTACTTTTAAGTTTTAATAAAATTTTATCAGAAATTTCCACTTAAACAGAATCCAGAAAGTGAAACTTTTACCAAGAAGGTTTTGTTAAAGGCGATCGTCAATACAAGAGGCCATCATGACTTCGATTGTGGAAGTGCCTAAATCAAATTTGGACGAGCCGTTGCCGCCATGGATGAAGATAGATTGGTCCGATGAGGTCCTCCACGATATTTACCGTGACTGGGGAGTCTACTACTCACGTCGCCGTCGGGAGAACTTCGCGTTGCATTATTTGAACAAGGCCCTGGCACTGGAGCCCTTGGATCATATGACCTTGTATAAGCGATGCCAGAGCAAAAGAAAGGCTGCTCAAATGCTGGGCGCTTTGGCCGACAGTCGAGATGCCGCCAGTGAGTATCATCACCAAACTTGGTTTATTATAAATAAATATTGGAATATTGGAATATTCTTTGAATTTTTACAGAGTTGGCCCTTAAGGTGGATGGCGAGGAGAAGGCCATAATAAACCTTGATATTTGTGACGTGCTATACGAGTTGAACCAGTTCGAAAACAGCAAGGCCGAAATGCACAATAATTTGCGAGTCTTTATTGGTAACAAGAGAAAGAGTTTCGAGCAACGTCAGTTGGTGGTGAGTATTTTATAAAAGATACCATATTATTGTTTCTAGTATTTAACAAAAACCTACTTCATCGATTTTTAATCCATCTTCTTAGGTGGATGGGGTGATAAAAGATGTAACTGGCGAGGCCATGTCGGAGTTCTTCACAAAGAACCTAAAGACGGTCAATATCGTACATGAACTGATCAGGGAGAAGGAAAGGATCGACAACCGACCTTTGTGGAAGGTTCTGAAGGAGCAGGGCAAGTGCGATGTGCAGAGTATCCCGGAGGTTCAGGAGGAGATGCTTTCTCCCATGGAGATTGCTCGCAGGAAGCGCGCCTTCAATATCTTCCACCAGTCATACATCAATGACTCCTGGATCGATGTGCTCTTCATGAAGATGCTCTGCAAGAATCCCACCCTTTTGCTGCCTCAGTGCAAGGAGTCTACCTATTTTCTCCACAATCTGTCTCAGAAGCAATACGACATCGTTCGCAAGTTTATGGTTAGCTAGGATCAACCGGGAGTTTTCCACTATCTAATCCTATTCCTGGATTTTCCCCCTCTTTGCAGAAAATGTTGCAGTCCAGGTGTCCTCTATATCTGGTCAACTACCTGAAGTATCGCAATAAAGCGATGTCGGACAGATATCGGGAGGCTTACCTGTTCAGAGTACAGTACCAGACTCATCGAAACATGAACCAGGCTCTGAAACAGATTCGAAAACTTCGCAAGGGCAAGAAGGTGCAGGTGAGTCAGAAGACATACCTGTAATACACCATACCATCATAAATTTTAAAAAATATTTTAAATTACTAATCCCTAGCAACTGGCCAAGTTCGTTGAGGAACTAATGGGCAGCTATGTGGTTCTAAAAACGGCTCGTGTGATGTGCTGGAAGTTCGAGTTCCTAAACGAAGTGTACAACACGATGGCTTTGGCTCTGGCCGAACAACTCCGAGTGCCAAAGAACTTCACGGCTCTGGGAAGCAATGCCATTCTCAGGTTGCTGCGTTTGCCAGTGGAAAGAGTGAAGGATTTCGTGACACTGACATTTGGAGATCGACAACCAGAGCCTGAGGGTAACGATGCTGCAACAATAAGGGCAAAGTACGAATGAGGTAGTCCCATAGTCAATATAAAATTCTAATTTATTATTACTCTTCCCAGGAAGCTCACCGCTCGCCTTGAGCATCGAATGATATTTGCAAAGTACTCAATCGAAAAGTGTTACTTGTTGCACCAGATCTCTCAAGCGTATTTGGATCAAGGACGTCATTCTGAGTGTGCTTTTAATGCTCGCAAGGCTATAAAAGGTAAACTTTTTGTAGATTACAAATAATATATATATTGTATGGTTAATGTATTATTTCTAATATTGATTTTTTAATACATAGAAAGCAAGAACTGCAATAGCTTCCTTTGGAAGTTTTTAAGCGTTGTGCAGATAGTCAAGGCCAATGCCATTCTGCACAAGTTGGAGCAGACCAGGGAGGCTCTGGAGGATGCCCTGCCCGTCGCCCATGCTCTCAAAGCTCCGGAGTTGGTACACTTTATCGAGATCTGCTTGGCGTGCAACACGGAGGATTCGATCAACAAGCGGGCCACCCTAATGCAGTCGCGGCGGGAGAGCAAGGCCGAATCTGTGGCCACCCACTCGTTGGTCAGCGCCCAGGAAAACGAGGGGAGCGGCCCAGAGGAAGCAGTGACTGCACCGGTACCAGAATAAATTTTAATTCATTATTTTAAGTTTCTTTTGTTTAACAAATGTTCTGGTGTAAATTTAAAGCCAAAATATAAGTATCTCAAAAACAGTATTATTTTAGCTCTTAAATATCAGTATTTTATTTGGTTTACAATTAGTTTTTAGCCGAAAGATAGCTGTATGCAAATTTCCCACCATGATTTAAGGTTTCTTGTGCCCTAAGCAATTTTTCTTTGACCCATGTGTGCGCATTAAGTTAAGTGATTTTCCTTATTATTCTGCACTTAACATTTCCATTTAAACTAAAGTTTATCCCACGTAAAGTTCGTAATGCATTCGCTATCTTCATGGCCAGCAATAAAATGGCGACGTGTGATTAAAACTTTTATTTTGTCCCACATTTTAAGAAAAGCGAGGCGCGCGAGACACACAAACGACGAATACCTGGAGAAAGGTGTCGTAAAAATTCTATCAACTCGATTAAATTATAACAAGTGGATTTTCATGTTTTTGTGCCGCATTTATGTGTTTTTATTGTGCTAATTTTATGCCAGTCCTGGTGTGGTGAACACCTCAAGGAGCAGCTCCTTGGGCAATTTCGGCCGAGAGCCGGCCCACACAAACGCACACACATACACACACTCATACACACACTCGACACACACACACACACGTGTGTGCAGATAGGCACCTGGCACCTGCAATAATACTTGGCACACATTTAGTGGCAGCATTTAGTGGCACACTGCGGTCTCGCAGCCAACGACGAAGTTCATTCTTGGGACATTTCCACTCTGGCTTTCCTTCTGCCGCCACACTTGCCAAAGTTTTTCGGCCTTCGCCCCCCGCCCCCATCATCCACTTGCCACCTTTAACCACCCACCACCCAACTGCTTGCCACCTGGTTCGGTGGCCTCGCTCGCCGGGCTTTTGTCTTATCAAAGTTTTTGGCGCGCATGTGTTTATGCCACAAATGGCACTTTTGCGGCAGCGCATTTTATATTTTACTGCCACTTTTCGCCATTTTGCTTTATCATTTTTATATGTATTGTGTATATATTATATGTGCGTGTATTTATATAGAAACAGAGCTGATAGGCTTGGTCCTGACCTCAGCTTAACCAGCCATTGATCTTTGGCCAACGCGGCGTATACTCTATTTGTCACCTTCTCGAAAAACTCCAGTGACTCTTGTTAACATTTTTTGTAGATTTTAACAATTTAATAAATTAATTTTTATTTTCTGTTTCTGTGCAGTTTTTATATGTTATTTTATCCTGCGAAGCTCCCGTTTATCTGCGAAAAACTGATATTTTCCCGTTTAAAACAATCTCCCACTAATAAATCTACTGAAACCCCATTAACCCCTTAGTTATGTTCTCCCAGTCGGAGGAAAGTAACGACTCAATTAGTCGCCTGCTTATATAGAGTAGAGGAGTTCAAATTGCCGCCTAGTTCGTTTTTATTATCCTCGGGGAGGAGCAGGAGCTCCGGTGAAAGGTATGCAGGCCAACTAATGACCCCGTATTTATATGACAGGGGAAAGTTTATAAATATTTATGGGCTGTGCTGTTGCTTCAGCTTCGAGCTGCGAATGTTTTTGTTATTGTTGTTGCTTACTTTCATCAAGTTAAAACTCATTTGCTTATTTTAAAATTCCGAGCAGGCGTAGTTTCATTTTTGACACCCGGCATTCGCCAGTTTCCCAAACCGATGTGCCCCATCCATTCCGTTTTAGGGATCTGCCGCACGTTGTTGCCATTGTCACGCACACACGTACTATATTTTTTACGCGCATATCATATTACACCCTCCCGAAGAACACACACACACACACACACATACACGCAGGGACATTCCCCTGGCTTAAAGGACCCAACCCCTTTCCCAAAACGGGGATGCTTCTGGGATCCATCGGGGTTTTTCGGGGCCCCGTCGAAGTAAATAGAATCACGTACACTAATTATCATCGCCATTGCACGAAGGGCGCTCAAAAATATATATTTTTATTAATTTCTGAAAGGTAACGCCCCTCCGAAACCCAACCACCTCGCATCCTGAATCTGCGGTGTTGGGTGAAATTTTTAATTGAGATCCCCGTTTTATGATAGCAACGAGGAACTATTCGCCCGAAATTGATGGGGCTGCCGATGCTGACGGGGGCCACTTGGATGGCTGGTTTCGAATGCAAAGTGCGTTCTAGGATATAGTTCTTAGTGCTCAGATAAGGTGGCATACATAATTAGCTGCCCCATTCGGCATTATGCGGCATTAGCGTGTTCAAGTTTCCCCCTGATAGTTTGTGTAATGTGACTCATTCAATTGATATAGTCATGGGGAAACGAGTGCAGCGGAATTGGGTGTAATTAAAGTACGAATTCTACTCCACGTAAATGGTAAATAAACATTAATCTAGAGTGCAAATGTTAGCTAACTTATAAAGTTTTCTAAATACAAAGTAAAAGTTGTTGTTTAGCTTTACATTTAACCCATTCAAAGTGCTCTTTTTATGATAGTTTGTAGATTTATAAAAAAAAATGCAATGACGTAGCTTCAGGTAGATTGCAAGTGAGATAAACTATAGATAAGATTTTATCTAACAAACAAGATAAAAATAATCAGTGGATTTCTATGGTTTTCATTGTTATGAAGAAATTACCCTGTTGATATAAACTGCAATACTTCCTTACAAATTTTACAATGAAACCATCTAATAAATTACCATCGATTTTTCGGGCCCTTATCGTAATGCTGGTAAGACATTCAAGGTACGACGACTGCGATTCGCTGGGTACTTCACACAAATCGCTCTACACTGATAAGGTTTCCAGTGTGGCATTTATCTATAGATAAGAATGTAGCGTAATAGGCAGAGATTGGCGAGAATATAATTTCAAAATCCATCCGTTATGACCAGTGCCAAACAAAACGCGAGCGGTGCAACAAGTCGTCTTAATCACAGAAAAACCCAAGTAACTAACAATCAGAATGGATCACCGAACTCGCGTTGTGGAGGTGGTGCAAGTGGCGCCCCAGCCGGCAACCACGGTGATCGTTCAACCACCTCCACCGCCGCCGCCGCCAAAGGATAATAGCTGCTGCTGCTGTCCTTGCTGCCCCTGTTGCTGTGGATGTGGCGATTGCTGTTGCTGCTGCACCATCATGTGAAGAAACAAAGGAGAATCAAAGGACCTCGGATCCCTTAATACGTTACGTTAAATTAACTTTCTATGTCTATGACGACCACACAATTCACACAGTTTTTTCGTGCAATAAAATTTTACGATTCGTTATAAATAACACTGTGTTGTGCTTCACACTCGACTCCCCTTTTGCGGGGGGCCCGCTGGTAACATATTGTCTTACATAAATCTCAATGCCAAAGGACCACATAATAATAAAAAGCCAAATTTAATAACACGCCACAAAAATTTGTAGTTTTATGGCGCCCGAGGAGAGGGACAATCCTTTTTGGCTGCAAATGCTCACCACATCATTTCAAAGTTAGTTCACATTCCGAGTTATTATTTATATGTTTCTCAATTTGCCAATAAAAGCGGAAAATGTGTCAAGAGTGCTGCCAACTTCGCTTCCATGGGCCTGCTGCTCTCATTTGATAAAGGATTTTATGACTCTTGGCTCTTGAATTGCAACCGCAGCGTCAGAGTCCTCGCCCCAAATATTTTGAAGAGGGTCCCCAATTGGGATGTTGTGTGTGGGGGAGTGCCACTGCGACGAGTGCGAGTGCGAGTACGAGTGCTTTTTCTAGTGTTGGCCTGCTCATTTAACATAATTTCTGGCTAGCGCTCTTCTTCGCCAAGCGTTTATCTAAGGCCCAAACAATATTACTCATACGCAACGTGATACGTCAGCCGGAAAACTGTGGAGCAGATATCTAAGTGAACTGAGTAAACGTAGTGAAAAATTAAAACACACAAACCAGTAAGAACACTATCTAAGCAGAATTAGATTTTTATTAAAACCTGTTTTTCTAGGTTTTTACTCATTTGTTGTCGAAAAACTGGCATAACTTATTCGATTTACAAAAATGGAAATACCTGTATTGCGGAAGTCGTATTTATCAAAAATTGGCGCGAAACTCGCGAACACAAAATAACAATCAGTTAAATTATTAAACTATTTATAAATAAATTTACAAAACATTTTTAAATTTATTACCTCTTTCCCGCAAGGATGGAAAGTAATAGTTTTCTGGCTGAATTTTGTCAAATAACCCTTTCTGCAAAGAGAAACTGGGTGTGTTTGTTCATTAATATCCAAAATTGCCCCACTGTATCTGATTTTTTTCAATGTTATTGGCGTGTACACAAATTCGTAATCAGGGCGGCTCATTGATCAAATGCTTACCGGCTTTAGATAATAATGAGTAAGATATTTCCACCAAACTGTCAGCCATTTGCGTTCGATGTTTCAGTTAAAGGCGCGTTACCGAGCGGCGTTCACTCAGTCGAGGAGTTTAGACCAGTTACTAGTCACTAACTAGCGATTCTAGTTAATTGAAATTAAGGAAGTAGGATGTACAACCCAGGCTACCAGGTGGACGTGATCGATCCGTATTATCAGACCCCCGTGGAGGTTATAAACGTAGTGCAACCTCCTCCACCCGTGGAGGTCATAATGCCGTCACCCATGTACAACCAACCGGTGGTGGTGGTGGAGCAGCCCTCCTACAACCAGCCAGGACCTCCGCCAGGACCAAGTGACGCCGAGTGCTGCATGCTGCTGGGAGCCTGTTGTGTAATGGAGGAGTGCGGCTTGTGTGTCATATCCTAAAGTTGTGCAATCGTGGAATACTTGATATAAATAAGAACTATGTAAAACCAAACGCTAAATATAGACTGAATTTAAGGATGACTAAACGGAGTGGTGATTCATGTTGTTTAAAAAAAGTTTTTCTGATTCTAAAGTTTTGAAAAATGTTAGAAGGAATCTTAACAGTGATTAGTTATTGTATCGTGTTAGTTTTTCTAAAAAAGTTGTATTTATTTATTTTACATTTAAATACAATAATGATATCATGCTGACAACAGTTTCCCGAATTATCGATAAAATACAAACAGCATAAAATCCGTTGTCTACTGATAACAGCCCTTTGATATTACAAATTACCGAACTTGCGCCCAATTGTAGTGCGTTTTCTGATTAAATGGGCTGGTGAAATGTTTTTCGAAAGTACCTTCCCTGCTGAACCTCACCATAAATATCAATAACCATAGATTTTAATTTCCTCTATCGTCAACGAGCAGACTGATAGATACGCTTTTAGCAAGCGGGGTTTCTTTCCTGTTTCCCACAGTGTTTTCTTCTTGTTGTTTTTTTGTTTTTTGGAACTGTCAAAGGAAATTTGCTGTGTTCGTATGGACACATTCATCCCTCTCTTCAGAGGGCCACGCCCAAGCCCATTTTCTTGGGTTTCCTTTTAATAAATATAAAGCGTTAATTTGCTGCATAATTGCGCCCTGCCACACCCAGGACTCGGGAGACAGGACTCGGGACTCAGGAAGGACCGACCCTTCGCGTTCCAGTTAAGTAGCGCAGCCTCGCACTCCATCAGCTCAACTCATCAGAACTCGGAACTCAGAACTCAGAAACCGGCTGAAACGGCGAAACATTGTCTATCCCCCCAACTGGGCTCCCTTTTCATGTCTTCAATGACAGTTATTTCATTTTTCTTGTTGATGTCTTTCCCTGCACTCATTAAATCAAGTTAAAAAGGCATATAGCACGCAGTTGCTGCTGATGTTGCTTGTTGCCATTGCCAAGCCATTGCCGTTTCCGTTGTAAGCCAAGCTGTTGAGTTGTTCTGGCCCCAACACTCTGTTGTTCTTGTGGCTGTCTTGGCGCAGTAAACAACAAACGACGACGACGACAAACAGCAAACAGCAAACAACAAACAACCAACGACAAAGACGCAGCCACGAAATTTCAAATAACATCTCGCAGAACTCCAGAAAGGAAACAATAAAGCCGATGCGAAGAAAGCGAAACTCCTCGAGTCGTTTGAGTCTCGACTTTAATTATAATAACTTGGGTACGGCATCGTCGTGTTTTTTGACATCCTGGCTGACTTTAATGGCTCTACCGCAAATGGGAAAACCGAAAAACACCTGACAAGCAGCTACTTTCAGTTCGCCGAATGAAGTTACGGCTCACATTCACCTCTAATATTGCTAAATGGTTCAAAAAATAGCTGCAGCTACTAAAAGTAATTTGGTGTCGGGAAAGATAGCTTTTTGTAAATGTTTCCCAGGGGAAATGGCTGAGTCACCTGTCTGATATAAACTCTATATTAACTTGCATGGTTGAGATGGCAAAAGCAAGTAAAGGCTGGATTGTTTTTCAGAACTTACTCTTCACATTTTGTGCTACAAAAAATACAAAGGATTTATTGGTCCTTGGGGAACGTATAGTCTTCTCAAGAATATACAAAGTGCAATATCTCAATGCTTTAAAATATTAAAAAGTTAAGGTTCTCCCTTAAAAGTATTATCCGGATTCAATTTAAGTTCAATTGTAACTTAGAAAACCCTATCATTTACAGCTCTTCAATTAAACATTTTGATTGATTACCACCAACCGATATGATATAGATTTGCCCGACTTTTCAAAGCCTCTTAGAGTCAACCCTCGAGTTGCGCTGCAAAAAACTTGTAATAATGGAGTACAACTGGCAATGTAATGCATATTTCGTGTTTGCCACGCAATGAGGACAAACCAAAACCCATCCTGTTGGCCAGTCACCCACCCAGAATTACACCCACCCACGGCGTCCCTTTTCAACCACCCCAATTGGTGGTGTGTAGTATATCTTCTACTTATAGTTGAGCTTGTTGCATTTCTTGCAAGTAATTTTGTTATGAGTTTTTACTGTTTCGGGGCAGTAATCCTTATAAATGAAGCAGCAAATTTGATGCTGCGTGCAACGTGCCCTCGAAGGATCGCCTTCTAGTTGATTCCCCCCTATTTACCACAGTTAGTTGACTTAATGCATTCGCCTTCGTCTCGTGCTAATACACGTTAATATCCTCTGAGCTATGAAACTTCGCTCATTTGTCAGGATTTAGGGCAAGAAGGCCGGCCAGAAAGGAAGTCGCTGGACACGGGAAATTGCAATTGTATGCCATTGTGTTTGTTGCCTTTGGCTTTTGGCAATGATGATTTATTGGGAAGGCACGTGAGACCGCATCGGGGGGTGGCGGATAGTGGGCGGTTTGTTGCGCTCTGGCTCATTAACTTCCAACTAACTGGCTCATTAAAAATTAATCCGTCATGGGACCCCCGTATCGATGGCCCACTGTAAGCCCAGCTTGTTAGCGTCAGATCGGCTTAAAAACGCTTGAGAATAGGGGAAAAATATCTATTAAGCTCTACTTTGAAATCAATCTGAAGATTGTCTGGTTACTTGGGGATTTCTCTTTTTGGCAGGAATTAACACATACTGTTCTTAATTATCCTTTTTAATTACTGAACATCGAAAGATTAGAAAAGAAAGCGGTCATTAAAATTAAAAGGAGGTTGGGAGGTGTTTCTTTACAAATCGGATAGGAAAATGCAGTAATTTACTTATTATACTTAATTCACGTTATCCTTTTTCAATGCATACAAGGTTCCATAATTTAAGATCCTGCTACATTATGCAGTATAATAGGCCCTTATCCATTTGTATAAAGTAAATAGAAGGTCAGATGGTGGACCTCTTACATCTCTTGCCAACCGAAACACATTTCATCTGAAAAGAAAACACTTCGTAAAATGGAAAGGACCTGAATGCCAGCATTTGGCCACGCATTAAGACACTCAACCCAGTTGCATTTTTAACCGTTTGTTGGTGGGTCCTTTGTGGGACATCACCTGGTCTGAAAGGGAGCAGGAAGAGGGCGAGGGGAGGGAATGGGAATGGGAATGGGCACTGACCCGCCAAGTACCGTTCGACTCCTTACTGCCGTCCGTCTCGCTTCCACTCATTCATTTTGCATCGTGTCAAGTGCAAAATGTGCAACGCAGGAGACAAAGCAACCGCATTCTGCAACCTTCCCTCTCACCGCTCTCTACCCTTCTCCCTCTCGCTTTTTCTGTTCCTCTTAAAATAACGGCACTCGCATTGTGTCAGGCGAAATAACGGTAAAGGACTAAGGCGAAAAGCACAACACGAACAATAACTTCTGTGTGACACATTTGGCAATGCGTTTTTAAACTGGCGAAAACAAAACGAATGTGGCAGCCGCAAAACAGAATAGAGCAGTGGAAAAGTCAGCGGCAAGTGGCAAAAAGTTTTAGCCTTTTATTTTTCGTTGAGGTTTTTTCCTTCTTTTTTTTTAATCTTTTTTTTTGCATCTTGTCCTCGGCACTGAATTGCACTTAAAGTCAGCACCAGTTAAAAACTTTTGGTAAAAACTAAAATAAGAAGAGGAAGCCATGGGAAAACTATTGCATAGAGTGCGAAAGAAACAATTGAAAACTTTATTGCTTTTGCCTTTTTCACTTTTTCACTTTTGTTCGCAAGTATGTTGCGTCACACGGAAAAGCCGTTGACAAAAACCCGAATGTGATCAGCTGCTTAGGCGAAAGGGAGACGGCGAGTGGCATTTAGCTGTTGGCCAAAAAGAGAGCACACTAGCTCGAAAGTTTTAGAGCTTTTTATTAATTTTATAACTGTGCTGCGGAAGCGGAAGAAGGACGAAGGACTTGAAAGGATGCAGACGAGCGAGGGCAAAAGGGCGCCGGGGGAGGGGGAACGGAAAAACTCTCAGCAGCTGCGGTCAACTGGGGAACTGCCCACTAATTGGCCTTGTGAAAATATTTGCTACGCTTATGAAAACAGTTGACCGCCGGCAGCCCCACGACCCTTGAAACAGAAATGACACCCACAAAGGACGAGTGGCCCCAAAACAGTAACACTCACACATGTGCATAAATAGGCGACACATGCACACACACCACCATAAGGCGAAGGTTTATGGGGGAAAAAACTGTGAACAAAAATCACTGTAAAAAATTCTATACTTAAAATTAAAATTCTCGAATCAGATTATTTAGCAAAATAAATAGCTTAAAAGAATTTATATTCTTAACTGAGAAACGTAAATATCTTTCCATAAATACAAGTTATGCTAATGTAGATATTAAGGAACACACTTTTCGGAATTTACGCATGAACATAATTAGAGTGCCGGCCATGTAGCCACTCGCAGGCTCACACTCCGGCGAAAACGGGTCCTGGGTAAGCCAGTCCAATCACAGACACATGCCGGGCCAGCCGCAGGACCCTGCCACTCCCCCCGTGACCTCTCCCCTTGACCGGCCAACACCGCAATTTTTGTCAACTGAACTAATTAATTAATTGTGGGCGGCCAGCGTGGCCTTTCAGTCGAGACCGAAGCGAAACGGACCGAGGCGACCCCGCCCACTGCCCTCCGCCCACTTGCTAACTGACCGGCAACTAATTTTTATATTTATGAGGCCGGGGGACTTTGGCCTACTGCGTCATAAACTGTGGCGCTTTGTTTACTATTGTTGCTGTTTTGTATGCATGTGTGTGTGCGTGTGTATGTGAGTGTTGTCTGTGTGCCCCGCAGCATCCCCCTTGAACCCACCGCCCACTTTCGCCCATTTAGGGGACATTTTATCCTTGCCGCAGACTCCATGCCGTTTGGCCAACATAAACTTGCATGTTCAAATTTTTAGTATCTTTGTGTGATTTCATGCGTTAAAGCAGAATTTTTATTTGCTACCCGTAAAGACAAACAGTTTCAGGACATTCAGGATATGGGAAGGAAATCGGATTTGGGGGTTGGGCCATCTCGTTTAATTTTCATGTCGCGTTGAAAGTTTCATACAAGTATTTATGGCATATAAATGAAATATTTGCGACGAGGGTGAAATTGGGCAATGTTTGCTAATGAAGGAGTTCGATTCGGTTTTAAATGGTTAATTGGTCTGAGGATTTCGTGATGAAGGAGGGTTTTCCTTCGAGAGTGGGATGTTCGTTGAATACTAAGAGTCTGTCTGTTTCCATTATCAGATTGGGTGTTCTTATTGTTTCTTAAATTAGATTGTATAATTAAAATAGCTGGGATTGAAGTAGGGTTTGGTTTGATTTTGCAGCTTTTTAAGATATACATATATTCTTTTGTTTGTTGCCTGATTCAAATGGACAATGCTGTTGAATTGATTATATTTTTCTCCGGTTTAATAATACTTATTAATACGAAATGTATTTATTTTTTTGTGAACTGTACATTTTTTATAAGGAAAACATTGTAAGCTACATTTTATAATTTTTGTTCACCAATTTCACGCATATTTGTTATGATAATCTAAAATTGGTATGCCTACTGATTATTTACTCATTTATTTTCTGCATTTATATGACTAACATTATATTTTATTTCGCCCTTTGGCGATGACACGATGGCACGTCTTATGTCTCTCCCAATCTTAACATTTTATTATACACATTCGATTTTGGATGCTGATGAGGATTCTGCCGCCGCTTTGGTCGTGGCGCTATTAATGCATATTAAATGCAATTTTTTAAGAGGGCCATTCGATGAAGTTATTCGGCTTGCTGCCTTTAATGGCAAATATAAACATGGAAAGCTCGCCAAATACGCATGCGACAGGAATTTTAAATCATTGAATGCGAAATGACAAAACATTTTCATTTTCATACAAATTGCGGAATTTGGCAGGAGATCTCTTTCCTATTCCCAACGCCAATCCGATTCCAGCATTGTTTCGCTTTTTGCGGTGGTGCGATGTCGTCGATATAAAGCTGTTCATAAATTTGCGGCGCCTGCAAATATGCAACGGAAATTGCCAAAGCCACACGACTCTTCAATAATATCCATCTAACCCCCGAAAAACTCCAGCTGGAGCCGAGATGTGTTTTTTTTATAAGCAACTCGTGGCGGGGAACTTTTGCTGCGGGGGAGGATTAGTTGGGCGATGTTCAACGCTCGTCGTCCTTGTCAATGCATTTCGTCTTTTGATAATATCAAAAACTCATTTGCCGTGGCCACTTTCAGGAGCAATCACTCCACTTTCTACAGTCTTGCACTGAGAAAAAGAAATTTTATCTTATGTGTCTAGGGTATTAAAATATTGGTTTGAAATCAAAAGAAATTATATGCATATTTCAACATTAAAGCCATTTACTGGACATTCAGATAATAACTATGAAGCAAACAAATACAGCAATTTGATTTCCTTTTTGTTTATCTCAGTGTATTAGCCGGGAGCGCTTAGCAAGGGTCCCAGGTCCAGATGATTTATTATGGTCTATTTCCATCCTCTCCCGCTGCATGCGTCATCAATTTTTAGAGATAGATTTGCATGGCCATCGCCAAGGGCCATTAGGCGAAGCTTGTAGATACTTTGTACGCTTCCGTTTCCCCTGCTCTTGTGGCAGATGCAACATGCAACCGCAAACATTTAATAAAAACACGAGCTGACCATAAATAATTTGCTCTTTGCCCGCATCTATTTCCTAAACAATTCAAATATTGCGCGCAAATATTAATTAAAAGCCACCAGCTAGTGAATGTATCTCACGGATACACAACCACTGCAACAACCACTTAATAAACGCGCTTAACATAAATTAAAATGTATCTGCCCATTTCCCCCCTCCAGGCTAAAAACAAAGTATTGTTAGTCGAAAACAAAAAATATGCAACAATTGAATAGAATAGTTTTGTATCATTGTTTTTGTTTACTATGATGCTGCTGCAGGAATAATGAAATGAAAAATGTGCGACCGCTTGGAAAATTAATTGTAATGCATTAAAAGTGCAATAGTGAAATAATCCAGTACTGCCAACAAAGCATTTAATTTGTAAAAATTACGACCAACAGAAATAGAAAAGTTCAACGTTACACATGGTTAGAAATTCGGACGAATGGCCACCCACATATCTTCGTGGGTTACTCATTTCATTCAATGTTTCTGCAAATATTACTCATACGCAGTTGGTAATCCGAAGGGAGTTGACTCATGCAGAGTAAACTTATCTATATTGTGAAAAGGTAAAGGAACCCCAATTTGGGAAACCCGCGTCCCATAAATAAAAGCACAATAAATTGTTTGTTTTGTATCAAAAACTAATTGATTTATTTGCCTCTTGTTAAAAACAATGCAAATCGAATATTTGGTTTACAAAATAATACTTTGAGTTCAAGTTGATGGTTTCGCAGGCGGCTTGTTTAACAACCTGTCATTACAACGCACTGAAATCACCTCAAGTTAGCTCGCTTAAAACTGATGGGATGTATCTGTGGGATGCAGTATGAGACATTTTCTAATTGAAGTGCGAGATTCGACTGATTGAAGATGAGCTAGCAAACTAGATGAATAGAGTTTATGTTTAGCCTAATAGAATCGTAGGATGAAGGCCTGACTAGAACTAGTTCCTTTTAATTTATATATGTATATATATTTATGTATATAATGCATTTCGTACTGATCGGTAAGCGTTTGTAGAGTGCAGCCGCGTGCTCTTGGCGAAGCGATTGCATCTTTGGCTTTGTGCAGTGTTTACGTTCATGGTTTTTGGCTACAAAAATACTCTTTACATACTGGCACATACACAATGTATAATGGGGCCCCAAAATGGACCAAGCATTAGCCATGCACTTCGGGTGAGTGATTGTGTATGTATATGTATAAATATAATTTGGTTAATCTCATAATAAAGCCACTTAGCGGCACCGTTCACCAGCGGTTCGTGTAGAACTGGTTGATGCCAAGCACATGCTTCTCCTCATGGTACTTTTGCAGGATATGTGTGATGACCGAGGTTGTGTCGTTGTCGCCACGCCACACGCGTATCGCATGCTCGTTCTCCAGGACGCCCAAAAAGGCTAATAAAATATATGAAGTTACTTCTGCTTTGAGGAATATTTTGTTTTACTACCTACCTAGAAAAGTCTTGGGGTTGCTGAGGGTCATCTGGACTTGTGGCATTTCCAGGATTACCTTTAGGATGGGCGAATCGGGCGCCAATCCTTCGCGCAGCTCAATAACGCTGCCCGAGCGATTGTCGCACAACCATTCGCAGGCAGAGGCCTTGTTGTTGCCGGTCTTTTTCAGCGCCGCCAGCACTGCTGTTTCCTCGAATCCCATTTCAGTAAGTGATTCCACAATCTCATCGCTGGGCGGTGAATCCCGATGACTGTAGATCCGCACAATCTCAATCAGGGCGGCGGTGTTCTCAATCGCTTCCTTTAACAAAATAAAATTTAGTCGAGCAATTAACGATGATCAAATTATAGTTACATTGTTTGTAATAATCGTAGAGGGCGAGATGGAAGATAAACTGTGCTGCATATTCATGGCAGGAGGCTCCTGCGAGTTATCCTCGTTTTGGTTCTGCATCAGCCACTCCATCGTGGTCGAATAGATGCCATTGTTGGCCTTCAAGGCAAACGCAGCCAGCTCCCGTTTGAAGCCCATGTCCACGAGACACTGAAGTGTATCCGCCTGTTGATTACGACGGTTAATCAAGCGCTGCTTTAACATGGCTATCAGACGCGGAGCATAGGGACCAGCACCTATAACCGCTGCCGAGGCCTGAGCCAGGGATATCAGCACTTTGCGCACATCGTATTGTATCTAAAACAGAGGATTACGATTATTAAGAGATACATAATAGAAAAAGCTGCTCACGTTTGATTGCTGAAAGATCTCATTAATGTCGATGGTGGGCAACTGATTGCTATTGACGGGTACATAGCGCGTGGCGCTTTCCACCAGCTGTTCATTGGGGCCGGGAACCTCGCGAATCCGCGTCACAGTCTGCAGCAGAGTGTTGCGTCGCGGCGACAGAATAAACGTCTCGTTATTGCGCACCTTTAGCTGAGCCAACGTGTCCGTCTCATTCAGCTCGCCGCCAAAGTATTCCGCGCGGTAGAGCCGATATCGCGGGTTTAAATGACGCACATCCGGTGCAAACAACTGGATGGAGTCGGGATCGTCACTCAGCTCGAGGATTACTTCGCTTTTAAGCTCATTGAGGCGCTTGTTGACGTCCGTCTTGAAGACCAGTACCCGGGAACTGGGGCAGATCACCCGCACTATGATGGATTCGCCCGGCTTGTTGGCATCGTCTGCCTCGGCAGATAAATTGCTTTGCCGATTGGATTGTGATGATTTTCTAAGGAATAAGAAACATTACCGTATGGACTAAAAGATAGCTTTTGGGCGGTACGAACTTAAGAAACAAGCTGCGCAATTTTTGCATAGTTTGTTTTGGGTGGGATGTGCGTACAAATCCAACGGAGAATTTCGAATAAAAAAGAATATATTTGGCATAAGCACTTGTAAATACTCGAGCATATTCGAATTGCCTGTCAACTTACGCATGGGCCTGCTGCTGTTGGGTTGGCGTGGGCGAGTCCTGGTGCTCCGCCTGCTGCTCTGACCGCTCCTCCCGCCGCTGCAGTTGCAGTTCCAGGTGCATTCGGCGACGGCGGGCGGGCGATGGAGTTCTAAGGACGCAACCGCCGCCTCCCACGAGTGGGCGGGAATTTTGTGGGATCAGCCCACCGCCATCCGTCTGCGTTTCGGACTCCGCCGTGTGGACATTGAGCGAGGAGGCTCCGCTAAGACTGAGGCTCTCCGCATCGCTGGCATCCGTCCGCTGGCTGTGACTGTGGCTACTGCTCCGGGGACTTTCGGCGCCGCTCCTTTTGCTGCGCGCTAACCACTTTGCCCTCTTCTCGTTGAACTTTTCGCGCATCCAGGGTATCATCTTGGGTCTGCAGCTAGGTTCTCAACGCCTGCGTTACATTTTGAGGCGCTTTTCGCTGGGTGTTTTGCATTTTTCTCGCAAATAAACAGAATCGATGCAAAATTGCTAAAAACCCAAGTCGATAACAAACAGCTGTTCGGAGAGTTGCCAGATTGCTCTTACTAGCCGGCTCAGATCTATCGAGAATTCTAGTATTTAATTGCTTGGCGCGAAAATTAAGTATTATATACCAAAAATACTTTACATGTAAAAATTTATTTTAGATAGGGCTTAGTGCATTTTCTAATTGTTGGATTTATTCTGTTTTTCAAGTTTGAAAACAAAAAGAAGTCACACGAGAGTAAATTTCTTTTGCGATAGTGGCGCTATCGGGCGATGAGGCCAAGTACTTACCGGATTGCCCTCGTAAGTTCAGGTACAAAACTTTAAGTAGAAATTTGACGAACACAAGGTGTAATGTTGTACCATCTGTCGAAACCTTCAGAATAACAGATGGTCAGATTAGCCCGAACCCCTAATCCTTTTTGGTAGAGTCGATGAGGTCTGATCATTATAAGCCTAATTACCAAGAAGATAACCAAAAGTTTATGAGGACCATAATGACAATTTAATTAGAATGTTTGTGATTCGAAATTTGTTTGTAAGTTGTTCTCAAAAAAAAAAACTCCTTATTCTGTTCTCAAAAGGGTAATAGATGGTAGAACCACTACTTCGAAGTGCCGATTATATGAAAATTGGAAGTTTTTATATCAGAGTAAATTTAAGAACAGAATGGGACCTTATGTTACACTTAATATTATATAGCAATATTCTTCATGTACGGCTATTAGTTCTTCAAAATATTAGTAATTAAATAAAAGAAATCATGTGCTTTTTAATTGGATTTTTGAGCATTCACAAAGAAGCATTGCATCGCGACACGCAGCGATACCATCTCTAGCTAAAGATACTTGGCCATCTCTATGCGCCGAGAGCACCGATACCGATTAGCGAAAGCATTCAATCGATTGCCACACATTTTAATTATTGCTAGAACGCGCAAATTCGTGGCTAAAAGTGAACAAAATATGATTGCCGCCCACTAAACGCCCCGCGTTGATCCCGCAGTGTTATCAGTAAACCCCCATCGCCTACAACGGCTTACAAGTGGGCGAAAAGTGTTTGTGTTTGCGTTTTGGCAACTGGCATATGCATATCGGTGTGTGCGTGTGCGTCAGTTTCAGCAGAGCTCGTCACGTAGCATAAAACGCGAGAGTTTCTTGTTCATAAAGTGTGAGGGAGGGGGTGAACGGTAGCGGGAACAGAAGAAAATGTGAAGAGTGTCGCTAAAACGACGAGCGAAAGAAGAAAAAAGAGCGACACCAAAAAGAAGCCGGAGCAACAACAACACATGAATGGGATACACTCTCCTGCCAAAAATTCTAACAAACATACATATGCACTCACGAATGCAACGGACGGACAACACGACACCCACACACGAACCTCAAGTTTTGTTTGAAGCAGCAGAACCAACAACAACAATAGGTGGACAAGAATCAGAAGACGCAGCGCAGGTAAGCAAAAACAAGCGATAAAAACTTTTCCCCGTGTGTATGTATGCGGTGCGTGCTTCGGACGCATTGGTGTGGGTGTGCGTGAGCGCGTGAGTGCGTGCCTGCCTGTGTGTGTGTGGGTGAGCGAGAGTACCGTTTACCTGCGGGGGCGGGGGCAGGCAAATATTCGATTTGAATTCGCTTTCTTTGTTTATGTTTGTCATTGTCACAATTATTCTACTTTTGTGCACACGCCGAGCAACAACTACCCCTCCCGCTGTTCAACCGCGATATTTGCTAATTGTTTTACGCATTTGTTTATGCCCAAAGACGAACGGAACGTCAGTGTGACCATTCGCGAAGCGAGATTCATTGTTATGTTTTTCGTATATAACGGCAGTGGCTGAAATATCTTATCGTACATTACATATTGCATTTATTCAGCGCAAAAGTAAATTGTCATTGTCAATTAACTGTTTGGCTACACAGTAAAAATAAGGTACGTTTGAGTATTATAAACTGATGGTAAATACAGTGAACACTCAGATAGCTTCTCTCAAGTGATGAATGTGTATCTAACAAATTGCATGACACACAGAAAACTGTATATTCAAATACTAAGTGGTGAAATTTTGTCATCAGTGTTATAAATCTAGAATTCCCAATTATCACTGCATAAGACATAAAAATTTCGCAATCTTTCTAAAAAATTAATCACTCAAAAAACCCAAATTTCGATGCAAACTATGTACTATCATAAAAATATTGTAATAAACAACAAAAATCTTATTGAAGTTATTCAAAGTGATTTACTTACATATTATTTCTTATTTTCCAGCATTTTATTAAGCGCCGCATCTAAAACTGAGCCATAAGAGGAAGTGTCGCATATTAATGATTCCATTTTGTCTTCTTGGAGAGCAAACTTAAGTATATTAACACATACTTTTTAAGCCTAGATAGGTGAGTAAATCAACATAAAACGAAAACCGCTAGATTGGCTAACACCCCTTTAAACTTTTGTTCACAGGACCTAACTTTAAGCTCAAACGAAGGCAGACAGCATGTGGAATTCCGAACCAACACATCGCCAGCAGCACCACCATCAGCACAATGGCAACTCTACCTCGGGCGGACCGCCCGCCAAGCAGCTGGGCATGACCTCGGCCATTAGCCTGGCCGAGCCCCGGCCGGAGGATCTACAGCGGACGGATGAGCTGCGCGGCTCTTTGGAGCCGTACAACGTCTTCGAGAGCCAAGACGAGCTGAACCACCGCATGGAGATCCTGGCCAAGCTCAACACACTGGTCAAACAGTGGGTCAAAGAGATCTCCGTGAGCAAGAACATGCCGGAGTCGGCCGCCGAGAAGCTGGGCGGCAAGATCTACACATTCGGCTCGTACCGCTTGGGTGTCCATCACAAGGGCGCCGATATTGACGCCCTCTGTGTTGCTCCTCGCAACATCGAGCGCACCGACTACTTTCAGAGCTTCTTCGAGGTGCTCAAGAAGCAGCCAGAGGTCACCGAATGCCGCTCCGTGGAGGAGGCCTTTGTGCCGGTCATCAAAATGAACTTTGATGGCATTGAAATCGATTTGCTGTTTGCGCGTCTGTCTCTTAAAGAGATACCCGATGACTTCGATCTGCGGGATGATAATCTGCTGAGAAATCTAGACCACCGCTCGGTGCGCAGCCTCAACGGTTGCCGAGTGACGGACGAGATCCTGGCGTTGGTGCCCAACATTGAAAACTTTCGCCTGGCCTTGCGCACCATCAAATTGTGGGCAAAGAGTAAGTTCAACATAGTTTGGTCTTTTGGAAAAAGAATCTTATTTACCAAATATATTTCCTTTTAGAACACGGAATCTACTCAAATTCTTTGGGTTATTTCGGCGGTGTCACCTGGGCCATGCTGGTGGCCAGGACCTGTCAGCTGTACCCAAATGCTGCAGCCGCAACACTGGTGCACAAGTTCTTCTTGGTTTTCTCGCGCTGGAAGTGGCCCAATCCTGTGCTGCTTAAGCACCCCGACAACGTTAATCTAAGATTTCAAGTAAGCAAGAATTAACCTTAAACCCTGGACGTTTTTACTAATATTTATCCTTTTTATTTTAAGGTCTGGGATCCGCGTGTCAATGCCTCGGATCGCTATCATTTGATGCCCATCATTACGCCCGCGTATCCACAACAGAATTCCACATTCAATGTGTCCGAATCCACCAAGAAGGTCATATTGACCGAGTTCAATCGCGGCATGAACATCACGGATGAGATCATGCTCGGTCGCATTCCGTGGGAGCGTTTGTTCGAGGCGCCCAGCTTCTTCTACAGATACCGTCACTTTATTGTGTTGTTAGTCAACTCGCAGACGGCCGACGATCATTTAGAGTGGTGCGGTTTGGTGGAGTCAAAGGTGCGTCTACTGATTGGAAACCTGGAGCGGAATCCCCACATTGCTCTGGCCCACGTCAATCCCAAGTGTTTTGATTTTAAGAAGGGCCAGAGTGCCAACAACTCGCAGAACAACAGTGGAAATGAAGACGATCTGAAGCAGTCGCAAGGTAACCAATCTGCGGTGACTTCGGCGCCCTTCTGCTCCATGTGGTTCATTGGTTTGGAGTTTGAGCGTTCGGAGAACCTCAACGTGGACCTCACCGAGAGCATACAGAACTTTACGGAGCACGTGATGATGCATGGTGTAAGTAGCTTTAAAAACAACACACTCAAAAATAGTTGTTAATTTATTTTGTTATCTGCAGGTGAACATCAAAATGCTCAAGGAGGGTATGACCATTGATGCCCGCCACGTAAAACGCAAGCAGTTGTCGCTCTACTTAGACTCCGATTTCCTTAAGCGCGAACGCAAGTCTATGGAGAGCCACAACAATTTTAACAACACGCTACTGGCCAACCGGAAGCGGCTTTCCACGGAACTGGCACAATCGCAAGACCCACTGCCGCCAGGCCAGCAGCCCTCGAGTGGCAATCGCGGTCGTGAAAGCGGTGCCAAGATTCACAGACTCAGCGAATCGGTAAGTGGCTATAACTATTCATTATAGAATATCCTATTAATATTATTCCTTTTTTTTGTATAGCTGACAGAAGAGAACTCCAATGCCTCCAGCGATATGGGGGCAGGAACGCCCACCACGCCAACGGCGGCGCAAATGAGTGCGCCCAACTTTAAGAGCTCGGGCAAAAATGGCTCCGAGATGGACGTAGTCGAGCAGGAGCCGCCGCAGCCGCACAACAACGGCAGCAACAATGGCAGCACCAACAGCAACACAACCACAACGGAGGTGGCATGTTCGTGACAACCGCCAACGCTACATCCGCATCCGCCGCACCAGCAGCCTCCGCCCCCGCCGCCACAGCCCCCAGCTCACCATCATCATCATCAGAAGTTCCGAAAGAACAACAATGCGGCTGCGGCGGCCGCCTCGAACAGCATTTTCAACCAGCGCTCGATTCTGCATGCCGCTTCCAGTTTAACGGCTGCTCTAAGCATTACCGGGCACAAGCGCAAGCAGACGGCGACATCAACAACCACGATCAGCAGCGGCAACATTGCTCACAGCAATTACCACCTCAACAGTAGCAACAACAACAACAACAACAATGGGGCCGGCGGCGGAGGCGGCGGCCACTACAACAAAACATACTACATTGATGATGATGATGAGGACAACAACCAACAACATTTGACACTTAACAACCAAACACAACAGCAACAAAAAGCGGTTAGAGCAGCAGCCACATCGACGACCTCGGCAACCTCGGTCCCTGTAGCTGCAAATGCCGCACCACCGGCACCGACAATTTCTTGTAAGTTGCCTAAATGTTTTTCCTCGTCCTCGTACTCTCGTCCATTTTCTCAAACTTCCTTTGACACGAGACTGTTTCTGTACTCTTAAGTTGCCTATCTACTTACTATTACGTATATTCTTTAACCAGTATTTCCGCTAGCGCGGAAGCAATCTTACAAAAAAACATACTTTAATTTACAAAATTTTTTAAATCAAATTTACAAGCCCGAGACTAAGCTCAATAAACAATGATGAAAATAAACTTTTTAAAAAAGAAAAAAAGACAAAACATTTTGGTATTTTTATTTTCCAAATTATTTACAGTGACATATTTTTGGGTGAAAGTTTTACTTTAAGCTCTGTTTGGGACGACCTCGAAAATGCGTTTGCTAAATAAATAAATATGAACCCTGTACATTTTTTTTTTATTTTTTGGCTGAAGATATGATTAAACATAAAAATTCGGTTGGGAATATATAAATTGTTTCTGTTTTGGCCAGACATAGGTTTTATAATGCATCGAATCTTTAAATCTATTTTGTACGCACTTATCGGAAAGATGCTGAGGCTTGGTTTCTGCATTTCTTAATAAGGCAGAGGCTTATTCATGCAAACATTAAATATTAAACAAAAAAAAAAAACTGATTAAATAAAAAAAGGGGATAAAGGACCTGCCCTTAAAATAGTATCTCAATATTTTAAGGATATCGTTTCTTTACTCGTAATTCGTTACAGAATGTTTATTTGTGGTTTTTACGATATTAAATACTAACCCCTTTAATTATTTTATTTGTCTTTCCAGTGTAAAAAGCTCTAAAACATACCATTTAAGGATTAGTTATCATAGTTTTTCTCTTCCCATTGATTTCTCGGCAAAGATGCCCAAACAAACATGAAGCCCACAATATTTTATAAAAAACGGTGAGTTCAGTAATAGAATAGATTTTTGAACAATCAAATATCTAATTTGGCTTTGCAATTGCAGGTTTCTATCATACACCTTATATTAAATTATGTTAAACATTATTCTTTTAACAAACGTACTTTGCCCAAGTTAAAATTGGCACTCGGACATCAACAATCGCCGCTTTGAGAAGAAAACATCATGACATGAGCGGCCTTTTAGCGGCAGAGAAAGCATTTCTCTAACATTTGTCCTAATAATATTGTTGTACATCTTTTTTACTTCCCCACAGCTGGTTTGAGGAGTGCGTAGAAGAGAGAAGTGTGGAGAGGATGAGGATGAGGAGGAAGATGGATGTTGGAGGGGTGAGAGCGGCGGACGGACAAGATCCTGGAGAAGATCTGCTGCGAGAACTACTTACAAACTAAGAAGATTTCTTTTATAATTTCCCATTTTCTTGTTTTCAATATTTGTTTTCTTCTTCTTCTAGTTGTACAACGCTGAAAATTTGAAACAATTATGTTCGTTTTTCTAAGAAATGATATCTGAAAAAAGGTAATAACAGAAAACATATAAATGAAATGAAGATATTGATTTAATTTTACCAAATAAACAAGAAAAAAGCAAAGCGAAAGCTAAAAAATACCAAAGTGTCAATGTTTTATTTATTTGGGGAAAAGGAAAAAAAAAATAAAAATATTTAAAATTGGCACTAATTACGCCAATTAATGTTTAATTACTTTCATAAGATTTAAGACAGATTATGAGACATTTTTGAATGTTTAATCGGGACTTTGAAGGCAGATATTAATGCTTTATATGGCCAATAATAAATGTTAATAACGACCAGTAAACTCGTTATCGGTTAGCAAATACATTTATTAAAATAACTTGAATTTACAAAAGCTAAATGCAGAAAGTGGAATTTACATTTTAATGGAAATTTTTAATGTTTACGATGATGATCTAGGGGTCTCATTGATTTCACATTATTACAAATTTGTAGGACTTCTCGTTGAATTGAAAGTTACTTGCAGGTGATCCTAGTTGGCCGCAAGTTGGATGCGTGGATACTTCGGGATGTAGTACTCCATGAGTTGGTTACGACGAATGGCGCATTCCTGATACTGTTGCCAATCGGAGTAGTTCACCGTGTGGCACTGCTCCGAGTTGGCGCTCTCGTAAATTTCGCGGCGAAGGCCGAAAAAGAAGGGGCGAATCTTCTTTTTCCGGCTATAGACATGGCGTATTATCCACTTCTCGACCTTGATATCGTTGTAGATAGTCGATTTGTTCACGCAGACAGATGTCAGGTTATCAACTTTTGGATAGTAGTTCTGAATGGGATGGGGATTGATCGACATTCGCGGCGCCTGGTCTTTTCCGAATCGGGTATCAAGGAATCGATGGCCGAAGGTGACTCCCCAAGGATTGTAGACCTTTTCGCCGAATTTATTGGTTTGAAAATTTGGAATTCTTACGGTCAGTTCTTTTTTGGTATCGTTTCCTCCTCCTCCGGCCTCACCACCTCCATCCCCAGCTTCTTCACCATTTTCCTCCTCTCCATCTGGAGCAGGAAAGAGTCGAATACCGTATTTAGTGATTTTCTTAGGCCGAAATGTGGATTTTTTAGTCGTGGAAGTGGGAGGCGCTTTGGTTTCATTGTAGACAGGCTTGCGGTGATAGTCGTTTTGTAGTTTCTTTCCGAAGACCCTAAAGCCCTCGAACTTGGGTGGTTTTTCATGAAAATCAATCGAGGAATGATTTAGATTAATCTGCCGGGGCGCTCTCTCTGCCGAAACATTGTCCGGCGTTCCAAGGGAAAGTGACTTTGGATCGGGTTGAGCCAGTGGCAAGGCAACGATTCCCTGCACCCACAAAATCTGAAAGGAATTACTTCAAAGAACATCAAATTGAGGTAAAAAGAAAAACCACTCACGATTATAAATGTTACTGCTAGTAGGACGCCTTCAAGGACTTCATAGCTATGCATCGTTTTCCGTGTGGTGATTAATCTGGCTTACATAGGTTCTAAGCAATATAATTTTTTGATGGTGTTAATCTTACCTTATCGTTTAGTGTACTTCAACTATTGGAATGTTAAAAAAATGTGTGGCCCGAAAAGAGTCACAGTGAAGTGAAAATCAAAGAAACTTTGATTAGTAATGAAACTAATCACTGTTGATGTTAAGAGTATTTCAGATTTATTTATCATACAGTGTAAAAATATGTAAAATTTAGCAACGAGTAAAGTCCTCGAAAGGCACCATAAAGTTGGTTAGTTACAATTTCAACAAGTGTTGGTTTTAGAGCGACACTCATCAAGGTTGATCGTGTCCTAACTGAAGTAGCCTTTGCCTTTGGTACAGTTGCCACAAAAATAGCTTAGGGTAGTGGAAACTTCTTGACTGATCCTGCATGATACCTACGTGATTCGTGGGACGACACGGGGAACACACTTCACACTAACTACCAAACTAACCCGACGGTGATCTGCGATCCCAAGTCTTTTTGGGCCTGGCCTAATTGCAATTCGGCGAAAATTATGCGCGACACAGCTGCGCGTTTTTCCCCGAAACCGAGTAGCATTAATCCGTTTATGGCCACGGATTAAGTTGCAAAATTTTCACGAAGGACGCCGCGGTCCGGGACGCGAATTCGCGGAACCACCCAGATAATTTCAGGTAAAAACACCCCGCCACCCACAGGTAAGCCATTATGGTCTAGAAAATCGGGTATAAAAGATCTAGCCTGAGGCAGTAAGATCATCAGTTACCAACGCATTCTCAGTGTGTGAAGATCAAAGAGTGAACAAATACTAGAAGCTCCGAAAAGCAATTATACGACAAACCTTGTTCGGTTTTGCCAATTTCCTAGCAGCACTGGGTAAAGTTTGTCCTATAATCTCGAGAAGACGACCAGTAAAGTGTTAACTACCAAAAGGTCCCGATCCTGGGATGCATCTTGTGCAGTTATGTTTATCTCTCATCACTGGGCAAAGTGTGTCTCAAGATCCTGACCACATCATCGAATCTTCAAACAAACCAATAATCCAACAAGTGAACTTAAGGCTCATCAGTTTTAAAATTAAATGGCGATTGTCGGTATAGTCGCTTTTACAAACATTTCCTTTCAAGCGAAGTGACTAGACCGAACACTCGTGCTATAATTTTAAAATATTCAACAGACAAGGTGAAGTTACCAGTGAAAAACGGTTGCAATTAGTTTCTTTGGTCGTCCAGCCTTAGGTGACTTCTCTGATCATAAAGCTAGACAACCATTGAAGTTCGTTGTGGCATTCGCAGCACTACAATAAAGTTTAGTGATTCCTAAAGTACACGGGCCATTCGCTAAAAGGAACGATCGTTGTGATATGCGTTATTTAGTTACATATCACAGTGATTTTCCTTTATAACGCATGTCGTTGTCCAAAGCTCATCAAAGGAAAAAACATACTTAAAGTTACAATTTTAGTGATGAATCACAGCCTTTAAAGTAGAGGGAATAGTTGCTGTGCTGTAAGTTATTTATCAAAAATCTATATCACAGTGGCTGTTCTTTTTGTACCTAAAGTGCCAAACATCAATGTTTTTGTTTTTTCTTTTCGTTCGTATCTGACAAACATCCATTCCGTTTTTAACCCTAGGGAACTTCTGCTGCTGATATATTATCGAAAACTCGTATATCACAGTGGCTGTTCTTTTTGGTTGCACGGTTAAGTCCAGCGATTTGTCATCTGCGGCACGCATTCGTGTCTCCTCAATGTGAAAATTGAAAATTGTTCAAAAAGAAGGGAACGGTTGCTGATGATGTAGTTTGAAATTCTCACCATTTATATCACAGTGGCTGTTCTTTTTTGTTTGGCAATCGATCTGCGTTCAGTGGTTTTCCAGGACACGAAATAGAAAATATCCTTTTGCAGCATACTCCTGATTGGACAAAATTCCTCTTGGCTTGAACTTTGGGAGGAGACTGATGAGAAGGTGGCGTCTTAGCTTGCGAACCAATTCGTTATCTGTCTGAACTTCTATCAATAAATAATGGTTACCTTTCAATAAACTCGGTGCTTTTAATATGGGAAACTATTTGGGGTCGGGTTGACTATTGCTTGGTTCGATGCAATGAAATGCATCTTTATTAAAAAGGAATTTTCTTTAAAGCATATTCAAAAGTTTTAGGAGTCTTCCAAACTTAAAATAAATTAAGTATTTCCCACAACAACTTGGGAACAGTTAATGCATTTTTGTAATACTTCCCATTTATCTTGCCCGCATTTGTTTTCCCTTATTGATAGTTTTCCTTTTTTCTTGCCCTTGCAAAGACACGCATATAAATCACGAATGGTTTCCTTATGCATTTTAAATAGATTTCCATACTGTGGCTACAATCATGAGCCAGGAAGTGTCATGGTAATGTGTGGACTCCACTTTTGAAAACTTTCTCTGCCGGACCGGCCTGCCACCCATTTCATTCCAGGTGAAGGAGCACCTGACTCGCATTCAGAATTTCACGGGTGTGCGGAATGGCCAAAAGTTGGCCAGGACGCGGACGAGGACCTGGCTAAAACCAACTCTCGCCCGAGGCGTGGCCAGTTTGCTGCTGGCCAAATGCAAAACAAGCAAACTGTGAAATCCTATTTTGCATTGACAGGGCTATGGCGTCCCCATGCCATAATGTCCGTAATGGCTGCCAATGGCCAGCAGCCATTGTTGCATTGTGGCCAAGGACGCTGCTGTCTTTGCCAATGTTTCTGTTGCTGTTGCCGACTTTGGCCGGCTGCGTGTGGCTAGCTAAATCCTCCATCTCGACCGGAAGTGGGGATACGCAGAAGGAAGAGGAAACCGAGTGGCGGAAATGCGATTAAAATGTTCCAGCATGAAAACATACAATACAGTCAATGCTCACTTCCGCTTTTGAGGGGAAAACAAAGAATAATGTTTTTGAAACTAATTCCCCAGGCGAACAATTCAAACTGAAAAATTACCATTTTCGCAAATGCAAAAAACTATATATTGGAGGATAACTTTTGTAGCATTTTTCATAAATACATTTTAAATTCGTTTTCCCAAAAAAAAAAAGTGGAAAAAGCTAAAATAAAAAAGTGGTATTGAATCAACGTTTCTGATTATTTTAAAAATTCGAATGGGATATTTGAAAGTAAGTTGAGGATAGCCGCTAGTATATAAGGTATTTAAGATCAGTAACGGAAGTGTAATCATATAATTTTCTTTAAAAGTTCAGGTTTTTCTACTAATCTTTCCACTAATCTATCTTCGCATTCAGTCGATACAGGTAATTTTCCACGCGAATCTTCTGGCGCAGGACCTTTCGAGATTCCCGCTCTATAGTGGCAGTGGTTCCGTCGTGATTGTGGAAGAACCCGCAGTATCGGGCGGGCACGAACTGCTTGATCTTCTGCTGCCGACTGTACCGCTCCGTGACCTGCAGGTTGCACTTCTTGATCGCCGCCACCTCGGCGTGCATGCACACTCGGCACATGTCCGCATCACTGCTAAAGTTGTGGAAATAATCGCCCACCGGCTTTTTGCCACACACGGAGCACTTGGCGTTGTTGTGGGGACTGCAGAATACCGCCACCGAAGGCCAGATGAGGCGCTTGCAACCGAAAGCCATCTCCACATCCCATTGCGGATATTTCAGGTGGTGCGTGTACGTGGAGGGTCTGAAAAACAATGCATACATATACATTTTCATGCCACTAAAACAAGAGATGTTGTTGTCTCATAGTTTTGTAATAGTTTTCACATTTGCTGGGTGCACCACAGAAATCTTAGGAGCTTCTAAGTCTCGTGACTAAATTGTATCAAATTAAGGAAAAATATGAAATGGTTGCTGAACACTTACCCAGGCGTTACCCATTTTTGTTCGCGAACAATTTGCTTGTTAAATGTAAAGTAGTATTGAGTTCCTGGAAAGTCGGTGGCATAGGATCCAATGGGAGGATAACCAAGTTCTCGGTAAGGGGGTAAGCGTGGCATCTTGTTGGCCAAGGCTGAAAATCCAGCTTTTGAGGGATACTGTTAATGGGTCAAAATATTAATAATAAATTGTGTTGAGACCAACCTTTGCTAAAAAATATCATTAGTTTAATTGGTTAACATTAAAAATTTCAATTTTCAAAATCTTACAATGAGAATTATTTTGTTTCGTACAGAAAATATCGCACTCACATTAAATCCAATTGATGAGGGAATATCATAGGCATTTGGACCGACTGACGGCAGCTTTTTGGTATAGCTATCCCGAACGAAAGTTCCGCTGGAGTCCCTGCGGATTTTCCTGAGGAAACCGACCGTTGGCCAAACTGGCGGATTGACCACATACTCGAAACCTGCAAGAAGCGAGTTCTAGAAGATTAGTGACACTTAAAACCAGCTACCCTGGAACCTAGATCGTTGCATCGTTCTATAACAAGTCGCGTTTCGGAGCGCTGGCGACGCAGTTTTTCGCGCTCCTGGGCATTTAGCCTGTGGGCACGCATCTTGGATGAAAGTCGGAGAAAGACTGGAGGTTATACCGAAATTCGCGGACTGTCGAACCGTGACCGCCACCGCAGCACACGCATCGCAGCACGCACGGAGTCCTTTAATGGAATACTGGAATATCCCCCCATCGATGATGATATAAAATCAATATGTCTGAACAGTCGACGGTACGCCGCGGAATCAGTGTACGATGTTTTGATTTCATTTGGCACACGTCTAGACGACTTTCCTCGCTTCATATTTTTTCAATGTTTCTATTTTTCCGCCGTCTAATTTCTGTTGTTTGGGCTGACAGACTGAACTTTGACCTAGTTGCGCCCATTTAGTTCGGCTTTAATAGCTTCAAGGGGCCAGAGGAAATGGAGCAAAAAGTGGTTTGTCATTGGTGTCGATAACAAAGGTGGTGGAAAATTGTTTTGCGGGGCATGTCGGCCTTTTCGAAAACAATAAAGGAACATTCCGTATGGAATAACTGATCAAAAGATTGAGTTCCTTTCCTTGAATCCTAACTCTTATTAAACATTTAACACGTTAGGAAAACTTAACTTTTCTAAGCAATGTCTTAAAACTTGGCAACAAAGTAGCTTTTCCCAAATTAAAATTTCTACAAAATATTGTTGTGCAAATAAAACTTTGTAGTTCAAACTCAGCAATCTCGTCAAAACTTTTTAACACGAGTAATTCCCAAAAAAGTTAAACTTCCCTTTTAATATCGTTGGAATAAATTGTATTCACTTACCCTCCATCGAGGAAAATGTTTTTAATAACAGACAAAGCTACAAAGGGCAGCAATTTAAATTTGGTTACAAACCGTATCTAAAGCAAACTGAATGTAGTTAACAACTGATCGGAAAATGAAGTCAAGTGAATATATTTGACATATTAGTGCCTGCCAGAGTTTCAAACTATTTCCCAAATACCTGGCCAAACATTAAGACAAATGGCTAAGGAATGTTTGCAACGGAAAAAGTTCAAAAGGCCGCCTTTTCACAGGATATGTACACGCAAGGACTCGAAGCCAGACGATTGCTTTTCAACAATTTTCCGAGCGTTTTCGCCAACGGCTTCCTGGGCCAAAACGACGAAATGACTGCATGCCATTAATGCCAGTTAACCCCGACGTTGTCATCAGCGTCAGCTGCAGCCACCACGGCTTGGCTTTAGGATTTTTTGCCAGGACCTTTAGGTCCTCGCCGACTTTCCCACATTTCCACCTGCCGGATGGCGCACACGCACATGAATGCTAATGTGGCAGTGGCACCACGCACAAATGCACAACCGCACTGCAACCGCAGGAGAATCCCAGGCACACATCCTCCAGGATGTAGACAGTGGTTAAAGTCACTCCTGCGAAGGATATAGGTACTTAATGGTTCCGTCAGATAACCGCAAAAATATTAAAGGTAGATCTTCATTCAATTTTCAAGACTTGTCCACCCCTTATTTAAAAAAGATTTTTTATAAAAGTGAGTACAATTGAAATGTGTGTATTTTTTATTACGATCGTTTACATAACTTTAATCTTAGGAAATTATCTTTTGAATATTAAAACTAAAAATCTTTTTATTATCACCAAGATTAAAAATGTAAATACTTGCGTTACGATTAGCAACATTTTGCTTTACAGTTAAAATATATGTTATACAAAACAAACGTTTTCATAACTAATTTACTATGTTTATCGTAGCTCTAAGGATTTTATTTGTAACTATTTATTTTCATTTTTGCTCTCTGTGCACTATTCACGTCGGGAAGCTCTTAATTCTTGCAAATAAAATGATTGTGCAACATATGTTTGGGTCGTGGGTCTATTATAACTTAACGTTGGGGGCTGCCAGGTGGCACGGAGGGCTGGGCGCATCTCAAGTGGCGGTGCACTTCCGCCCGGAGTCCTGGAGCACGCCACATTGTTGCCGCAAAATTGTAACGCAATTACACCGAAATTGCGCATTATTTAAGTGTTTTGGCTGCGCTCGAAATTCGAAGGCGACGTGCGAAATGTTAATGAAAAGAGCGCTGGCTGTACATCGACTGTTCCGATGGGCAGGTTAATTATGTCAACAATTAGACTGCTTGTGCACTCGAGTCTTGCAAACTGGCAAATGGAGTTGAATTCATTCATTTGCCGTAAGCCATGCCGCAAAACAGGGCCAGTTGTTGCTGCTCGGCAAACAAAACAATCCCATTGCTGCTGGAGGCGTGTCCTTGCTTTTTTGGCCAGCCAAGTGGCATGTCCTACACAGGCAATTACAGCAACAATGCCTGCTGGCAGCCATCGAGTGAAATGCAAATAAAAATGCAGCTCCAGTTTGTGGCTTTTCCATTTTGCATGGCACGCAGGAGGCTGAAAAGAAGTGCCGGCAAACGTGCCATTCGCAGGCGAAAGCTCAGAAACTTCTCAGAAAGACAACTTGCACAAAGAGAGAAAATGTACAGAAACTTAAAAAGTTTTTTCATTGGCAAGAAACTAAAAGCTTTCGAAAGAGGATGTTTCAAAAACTTGAATATTTTTCTCTCAGTTCTCCACCAAATTAAAATAGTTTCTGCTTAAGTTAAATGGAATCTTATATTCTCTTTAAAATATTAGCCAAATAAATTATTAATAATATTATTATTGAACAATTATTTTTCCTAAATGTATTTTCTGCATGCGACCGGAAGTGAGAGCATCCTGCTTTACCTCCTGTCTTCTGCGCAAACCCAAAATAGACTCACCATAAAAACAGAACCTGGCCGGACCAACAATGGTAGCGCCGAAAACAAAACAGTTTAAGTCCATTGCGGAGCGGAAGTGCCGCTTATTACGCAGGATGTGGTTAACCGGAAATGAAACGAAACAAGCCAAGTGCGACAAGCCTTTCGGCTTTTTGTTTATGGCCCGTATGCGTGACTTGTCCTCTTTCACTCTCTTTCCCTCTGAAGTGCATCAAAAACTAATTACACCCCAACCTTTCTGTTCATTCTACATTTCTTCGGGCCACTCAAATTGGTGGCTCAGCCGGGCATCCTTTGTTGGCCATCGCAATCAGCAAAATACCAGGCCAATAACCAACAGCCAGCTCAAAAACAGCCAACAAACAGAGGCGCCGATTGCCAGGACGATGGCGAAATCAAATTACAAGATGCCCTGACATTTTCCACCCACCGATTCCCTTTCGCCATTGCCATCGCTGCTGCCATTGCTGCCACCGCCAACGCCTCGACCACGCCCCCAATCCGACATCAGCCCCCCTCATTATCCGCCCCGTTGACCTAAATTCAATGCGTTTGCAATTTGTGCGGCAATGCGGCCGGGTTAATCATGCTAATAAACACCAACGTTGCACTTGCAGTTGTCGCTTTTCGCTGCCGCTGTTGCTCCTGTTTCCATTTCGCAACGACCAAGGATGATATTTTCCAGAGCCTCCCCGATTAAGCAATACCCAGTATTTTCCATTTACTACATGTTTTCCTAGTCATTAAGTTAACTATAAAGCATACAGTAGAAGTACAAGTCAAAAAGGAGTGTGCAACTTTATTTACTGTAGATTGGATTTCGATTTCTTGAAATTCAACAAATAGGTTATAGAATTTGGATAGAAAAATAAGCAAAAAATTTAGAAGTAATAGATCTTCAATACTTAGAAATTAATAATGTTCAAATTGTATGCAAATATATGCGACCCTTTTTCCCATTTGATAAACATTGCTATTAAAAGTCTTCGAAGAAGATGATGCTAATTCTTTATAACAATATAATATATTTTAATGAGCACTTGGGATTATAAGATCCATTAGTATTGGCGTTATTACGATATTCCCCTGTACTCAACGATTACCGGGTATGGAAAGCACTTCCAGCTTAGAGGCAGCGGAATAAGGATGTTGGTCCTGGCAAAAGCCACTGTCGATACAGGACCCAATGTTCGTACGTTCGTTGCTTTTTGCGGTGGCCGCGCGGCATTTGCCATTCAAGTGGGGCGATTGCGTTGCGGGGAAGCTGCGGTCGAAGGGAGCCAGGCTGGAAATCATACAAAATTGCAATGATTATGCACGCGCCTAGTTGGCAGTCAATTGTGGTCAGGTCCTCATTTGGATGTGGCCCAAAGTGGCCCTTTATTGGTGCTAGATGGTGGGTGGTTTCTGCCAGTTTATGGTAATCAGAACACGCCGAAGCAGCTGCTCTCTGGTTAGCCGATTTTTTACAGCTTCAACAGGGTTTTTCAATTTAAATGGAAAAAACCCCAATTCAATTGTATAAGATCGGTTAAAACTTAAACAAAATCAATCTATCTATTAATTGTAATTATAACTCTGTGAGGCAACTGAATATATGAAAAGATATCTGATTTGGTTTCAAGACCAATTTCCTTAGCTAAATTATATATGATCTATTCAATGTATCATGCATGATGTGCTGAGTCACCGTAAATCCCAGGCACATTATCTAATGATTTACTGGAATCGTTGCTCTTGGCCTCAGTGAAACGAGAGTGAAACTTTCTTGACACTGCAAAATGCATAAGCCGTGGGGTCAAAGGGTGGAGAACACGGGACAGGTGCACACACGCTGTCAGCACAAGGAGGCGTTCGCATGGGAAGGGGAATCCTCGGTAGCCGTCTCATCATTTCAGCTGTCACATTAAAAATGCATAAATGTTGCTGAAATGCAATCCAAGAAATGCAACTGGCCGTAGTACGTGCAAAAATGGGGAAAGGGCGAGGTGCCTTATACAACCAATCAAAGTGCTTCAAGGATGCGAGGAGGTTGAGTGTGAAAGGGAAAACAGGCAGCGAGGAGGTGGAGCATACAATTTGTAACCTGCCTGCCATTTTGTGGGGGAAATATGGCAAGTACACTAAGAACAAATAAAGGGGAAAATCATAGAAAATAACTTTATTATTTTCATAAAATTGTGGCATATAAATAACCTACAAATGATTTGTGGCCAGTAACTAGTAAAAACAGTAAAAATATTTAAAGGTATTTATAAAGTTACACTACTAGCTTTAATTTCAGTTTTCGATAATTTTAATTAAAAGTGAAACATATTTTTAAAATACAAAATTTAAGTTTATAAAGACATACAAATACGAATTATGTTCAAGTATATAAAACGGTTAACAGAGTTGTTTTTCTTGGCAATTTTTGATATACATGGCATATGCATGCTTCTGTTTCCAAATTCAGAATTTATGATGTTCCCCAGGACAGAAAAACTTCCGAATCTAGATCTAAGAACCCTAAATTAGAGTTTTTCCCCGGTGCAAGTGCCTTGGGGCCTTCGGCCTTGTCTTTGCCTTTACCTTTGCCTTCTCTGATGTTGCCTACGTTGCAGGTGCGAGTTTTGGGATTGGAAACGGAGTGGTTGTGGATGTGGACGTGGACGTGGATGTGGATGGGGATATGGGAATGTGGATATGGGGATGTGGGGATGTGTGGAGGTGGGAATGGGAATATGTTCCTGGCTGCGGATGTGTGTCTGTGGGGCCTGGGCCTGTTTCTCTGCTGATTGTCGTACTGTTGATCTGTGTTTTCACTTAGATATTGGCCCGGGGGCTGGGCGATAACGGTACGTGTGTGCTACCATCGATACAGGAAGTTTGTTTGTGGCCAACTTGCTGAGTGGGCAGGAGCCATGGGCGGGGATTGGGCATGATTTGGTGGAAGGAAGAAGAGAAAGGGGGCACTACGAACTGGCATTATGGAAAGAGGAACGTATGCCATGCGGATTGCCTGTGGAAAGTTCTGCTGAAGGCTGGCCCAAAAGTGCACAGCAGACAGACTGGCAGGAAGGCTTTCGTTATCCAGTAAGCAATCGTTTCAAATTGAATTTTCTATTTACCCAGTCGTCGATATGCTTCGAATTGCCCATCTACTGACTCTCCGTTCCTTCTTTCGATTTGCTTCGTGAAGTTCTCCAGACAAAAGTTAAGCCAAATGAGTTGCGCTCAAATATGGATGTTCCGCCCCTTAGGCAGATTGAAGTTTTTCACAATATGGAACACCTAACCGTCTATAAACGGTTGCACGATTAGCGCCTAGCTAGAGAATTGAGTTCCAATTGGAGTTTCAAACTCCAGTTTTAAACTTTTAAAGATTGGTAGTACAAAAAAATGCGTGAACATAAGCAGAAAATATTTCGAAAGAATTTAAAGTCCGATTTTGGTTATTGTTTCCATTCTTTAATTCTGGTTATCATATAGAAACTTTCTAACAAAGCATATTAGTGTAAATGTGACATAGAATCTTATATTTGTTTGATATTGAATTTAAATATATTAAATATATATTATACTAGCAGACCCGGCTACGCGTTGCTGTAGCTAAAGTTATTGTAATATTATATTGAAGTATACAATTAAAGAAGAACTGTAGGTAAGGCAAATAGTCTTAAGTCTCTAACAGTAATATTTATTATTAAACTATATATACTTTCAATTTCAATTTAATTTAGTACTAATTGGTGCACAATATTTTTGGTTAACCTGTCTTTTGCTAACACAAATAGATTTGACGGTTTTCCAACACGTGAACATGCAACATATAATTGTCCATGAGAAAAGCACGGACTTTCTAAATCCAAACCACAAATGGACATTGTTTGGCCTTGAGACTTATTTATCGTCATGGCAAAAGCTAAACGAATTGGAAACTGTAGCCGTTTGAAAGGTATTGTAGAATCCGACGGTATTATTGGAATACGTGGCAACAGGACCACTTTTCCTTTAAACTTCCCAGCTAAAATGGTTGCTTCGAGAATATTTCCGGTGATCTTTTTGATGATTAAACGTGTACCGTTGCATAATTGAGGTGGATTCAAATTACGTAGCAGAATAATCGGGGAACCAATCTTCAATTGAAGATTGAAAATATAAAAATATTAAAAAAAGTAACCACCTACTATTGCATTCTGTTCGCCTGGTACTTCAAAATGAGGTTTGGTTGAATATGTTGGTATTGGCGGAACGAATTCGAAGGGAGAAATTGGAAAATCCACTTTTAGGTACCAGGCGAACATAATCCATTATAGACAAATAATTAGCAATAAAATAAAATTGCGACTATAATTAAAGATCTAAGCTATCCTATCTCTCAAGTTGGACCAGACTGCTCATGGTATGCCAATTTAATTTAACATCGGTTTAGTAGTTTAGGAGTCCATCGCGGACAAACATCGTGACAGGAGATTTATATATATAAGATTATTAAATATGTTGTTGTGTTACTCTGACATTTTTATAATAGTTCCAAGCAATTTCGGTCACAAGACAGAGGCTGGATATCAGCAAAAACAGCAGGTACAGACATAGCAAGATATGAAAATCCTTCAGAGTCAACCTCCTAAACGGTTGATAGGCATCCGTCATCTGAACCATGATACCAGCATCAACCGCCTCCCAGACGCTTCGTAGACGCCAATAATTCAAAAAGCCCATCTCTCCTGAAAGGAGGGTATACTTCTCAAAGTTGCGGTTGAACGGCGAATTGCTTTGCACGGGAAAGTGCAGGAACTGCCTTTTGGTGCAGAGCTTCGAGGCCACTCGAAATGGTGGCCGATACATTCGCTGCTGCATAATCATAACCACAACCCAGGCTTCCGAGGAAATGCAGTAGGCGTAGCTGCTGTTCATGCTGACCAAGTGCTTCACTATCATCGTCCTGTTGACCATCAGGAGGCGTGGCTTCAGCGCCTCCGGGAGTAGACCGGGGGTGAAATACATTTCCACCTCTGATTCTGTCAACATAAGTTGCAGTTTCGAATTCAGAAAATCCTCAGCGGTTTCGATCTGCCTTCCAGGCACCTAGAAGTTGGTAATATAATATATAAGTTTTTAATGGCCTATATAAATGTATATTTCGTATATTATTCTTAATATGAAATATATTAATACCTGCTTCTAACTTGAATATTATTTCATTAAAGCTCATACGGATTTGTTTAAACATTTTAGTTATAATGGTTATTACAGAAAACAATTGAACAAATACCTACAAATGTATTTAATAGCTTATACATCTAATGGATAGTGAGTCCCAAGAATTTCTATTTTATTTATATTGAATTGTTTTTTGTGATTAGCATACCTGTGAAGTAAAAACCGATGACAGATTACATGTGCGCGCTGTCCACAGGACGAAACAGGAGAGGAGCACAGCCACGTGGATGTATTTGTACGACTCAGTCAGCCGGCGGAATTGAAAGGTCGGCAGCGATTGCAGGAATATGGCCGTCAGGGTGAGCTGGAAGCCACGCCTCCACCGCCCACGCGCCAGCTGCCAGGATAGGGTCATCGCCAGGAGGAGGAACAGGAAAAAAACACCGTTCACACGGGCGGCCATCCGCATGAATTGCTCCGCCGGCGGCAACCGCTGCCAGGGAACCATAACACAAGTGCTGGTCATTCCCAGCGGAAAACTGCCGGCCGTCAGCGATGAGTTTGGTTGCATGGATGAGTACGGATGCACACCGATCTCGACCTCGCCGCGGGCGGCGGCCAGCATTAGGTGCTCATGGTAGTTGTACCTGTCCACTCCGACGACGGGTTCCAGGCGGAGACGACCCCCTCTTTGCGTAACATAGGCGGATAATAGAAGCCCCATGACCCCGGATAGTTGACCATTTGGTAACTGGAAATTAGAAAATACAATTTCTTAGAAGTCGTCATACCTCCATCCCCATAAAAAGACTGAGGTATTCTTATATACCTTAAGCACAAATGGAGGATCCTGAAAGTAAGGCACTCGAAATTCATAGCCTTTGAAATCCATCATTATATCCTCGTATTGATATCCGGTGCGGGTTAGATTTTTGATGGTGAGCTTTGGAAACGGTGTATAGGTGTACAGCTGACTGAATACATTACCAGAAAAATTGCTGTGAAGGATTTTTTGAATGGTTAGAAATACGTTGGTGAACCGATGCTGCCAGCACCAGGCGAAAAAGATTTTCAGTTGCTTTCTTGTAGGCTGCGTATTTATTTCAATGTGCTGATTTATGAAGAGCATCGGAGCTTGATGCAAACCAACTAGGCCTTCGGTTAAAACATCGAAAATTTGATCCTCGTCGGGTTCAACACTCGTAATGCCAACGAAAATCATAGTTTTATAGCCCAGTAAATGTCGCAAAGTGATTTTCCGGCGAGCTCCCCAAACAACAATTGGTACATTAAACTCCTCCGTTAAAATTCGTTCAATGGACCTGGTTAAAATCAATTGCGGTGACGGAAGTTTCCGAGCTATAGAGTATGTAGCTATAGTATCGATTGGATTTTTAGCGATTATTTGTCGCGACAAATTATATAAGTAATCCGTTTTATAGATTACACCCTCGAGGGCGTGCATAGGCATGCCAAACACCCCGGAAATTAAAAAAAATCCGTAGACGAAACACAAGTCGACGAGCATTTTTATAGGACTAAGCTCTAGGGAAATGTTAGATCGCCTTCGAAGTTTGTATCCTTTAAGAGTTTGTTATCTATTCTGAGATATCTTAGTTAAAGCTTTTTAGGGACAAAGATGTTGCAAGTCATCGATTGTAAAAGGGGTTAAGACCTTTAGTTTCCGGCTGCAATTATGAGCTCTCAATACTCGAATGAGTTGGCAAAAAATTCCAGACCTATTGCCAGACCTATAAAATAACTAGTAAACCCAGCGAACTCCGTTCCGCCACCAGATGGCGATAGTTTAGGTAAAACTTCGTTTGGTGTTTAAAAGAGAAAGAAAATTTTTTTTTGTTTTATATATGAAAAGGAAAAATTTTATTTCGATACCATTAAAACTTTGGCCATTTCCGAGTGTTTTGCAATATTACACTTTGGTTCCTCAATAATTTGAAGATTTAACGGTAATTTTAATGCTGAATGAGCCGTTTGGCATCCTTCTAACAATATGGCTGCTATTCCCAAAGAAGCAACTGCAACAGCTATGTTGGATCTCGCCCGAACAGTTGCTAAAGCTAATGACATGAGGAATGTCTTGTCAGTACCACCAGGGGCATCTAGGAAATATAAACCACCATTTTCTTCATCGATTGCCTTCATTAAAGTATTATAAACTTTCTTCTGTTGGGAATTCAACAGGGGTACATTCGCTTGAACTAATAAATTTAATTCCTGGTGATCATATTCACGTTCCCGTTCTAATTCTCGATTAAATGCCTCATTCATTTCACGATTTGGCGCTGGCATTCTAACCTGATTAATATATTACCGCACATGAGGTAACACATATATTATCTTCGATCAAGAGTAAAACCCGATAATGTATCTCCTCATTCATCAAATTGTTCACAATCAGGATGGCGACTTCGTCTCTTGTTGGAGCATTAAATGTCCTTTCGTGTGTTCCAGATGGTCGTTTATCTGCTTTTATGACAACTTTATAGTCATCATTTGGCATGCGCTCTAAAGCACTCTTAAACAACCTGACCATCGCATGATGTTCATGAAGCAGACACTGCATGTCTTGAAGAATTGCTCGCTTCATCCCTTCATTGATCGCTAGACGTCGATCAAGTTGTTCTTCCATGTTGCCCATGAAATATATTTGTAAAAATTTTTTTTGTGTATCTTCGAAAGGTAGTAATGATCCAATTCGATGGTGAATCTGCCCTTGTATCTAAGATAAAGTAAGTTATTCTTTAACTATATTCTATGTAATAAAAACAAAAAAAAAACCTTAAATGTCGGATTAAATCCTCGTTCTTCGATAATATCTGCCCCAAATGACGTCATTTGGAAACAACCATTGTATTTTCGGGTATTTGCAAGAAAGTGGCGTGATTCTTGTGTTTCACCACAAAGCAACGAATACAATGGCTCAGGTGGCGGAGTCAACAATGGCAATTTAACTTTACCATTAAAGCAGCATAATCCAGGCGTTTCTCCGGAAAACTTCAGTGCACCGCAATACTCGCAAACAACGTCCATTTGCCCAATGCAAACGCTAGGATGCAAGCTGTAATCAGTGATGCAATCGTATTGAAACGCTGCTCGATTCAAATCAGCACTTGATAAATTTCTTCTGCGTCGCAAATGATCTATTTCTTGACCTCTGTTGTAAGCTCGACGATTCTGCATTGTCAACCGAGCCGTATTACGGATTGCCTCTCTTTGCTCTGCTGATTGAGAAGCACGAAGTCGACCCATACTAACGCGGTTCTGTTCACGTTCAATGTTTTGTTCTTCTTCAGACCTTCCATTTGCAGTATTTCGTAGTCTTCTTGCATTACGGCTTTGTCGGGAAAGATTCGATCGTCTTGGTCGCGGCATTATTAATTAAACTTCCCTTCACTTCAATTCACAAAAAGCACGAAAAACTTCACTTCACTTCAATTCACCAAAATCACAAATAACTTCAATTCACTTCAAAAAAATTGAGTTAAAATGCTATGGTAGTGTGCTTGTCAGTGTGATGAGGTAATAACTCAGTTTATATGCGATTTTTGGTATGTCGAACGGAATAAAAAGTACCCTAAGTCCTATTCCGGGCTCTAAGCTACCTTCCTACCAATTTTCAGCCAAATCTGTTCAGCCGTTCTTAAGTTATAAGTGGTGTAACTAACACAACTTGCTTTTATATATATAGATTAGAAAATTAAATTAAAAATTTAAATAACACAAAAAATACTTGTTATGCTAAAGAAGTATTCAAATATTGATGAAATCATAAGGAATATGAGGAATGTATAAACCTAGAAACCATTTCTAATAACTACGTCCTCAATTGGCTTCAAACCAAATCAATAAAAGCTTTAAAAGTTTAACGGCTTTGACAAGCTCCTATTTAAAACTAATAACATTTCATTGAAATTGTGGCACTTATTTTAACGGGTTAGAACAATTATCCCGTCCAAATATAATTTCCCCTGTTGACACCAGGCAATCCTGGCTGCCATCTTCTCGGCATTCGTCACTCACCTCTGCTAACTGAACCTCGGGATGATTGATGCTCAAGTTGATTGATGTCTCTTTGCGGCGGAATAAACCTTACTTTACGGCAAGTCTGCTGAAAGTTTCGACGGAGACGCTGGGACTCATGGCCCCCAAAAAGTATTATTAATATCAGATGGCAGTGTCGCTCAATTTAAAATATTACTAGCAAACACATTCCATGAACTTGAGTAATTTTTTACAAACAACTTTTGGAATTACTTAATCGCAAAGTTCTGGCAGAGAAATGTTTGCCAAAAGAAAATATGGAGCGAAAAGGTAGGCGGCACATAAATTGTGTTTATTATGAAGGCTGGAGCATACTTTTGTGCGCAATTTAAAGTGCAAATAAGAAGAGCAAACGGGGAATTTCCAACCCGCTGTCAACCCCCCCGTTTTCCCTGGCCTCCCTTACGCATTTCATTAAAGCGCAATGAAGACATTTTCCGGGGAGTGTGTGTTAGTGGGGGAAAGTTGGCGGGGGGAAAGCTGTTAAAAAATATTTGAAACACTTGAATGTTTCCCAACTGACACTAGGCCGTGGGGCTCACATCTTCGCGGCCCTTTGAGCTGCCCCATAAAGAACAATAAATATTATTTATGTGCCCTGTGATAAGGATACGCACACATTCCTTCGCGGCTGCAGTTCGCGTTTACTCGCCTGTCGTACGAATTTCTCCATATCTAATCGTCGGCATTCCCGGCATGTACACGGTAAAAATTTATTGCAACGATTGGATAAATTTATAACATTTTTCAGAAAATTTTTATTTGCAATTTTGAAAATGGGGGACATTATGAAAAACCTCAAAAAATCGACCCAAAAATCGAAACCATTTAGACAAGTTATGAGTTTTCAAGTGATGTCCATTTTTCGAATTTTTGACAGGGGTTACATCATAAAAATGTGAAAAAAATTATAAAGCATCGACCAAAAAATCAAAAATAAACTAATGATGCAGTTGCTTAGATATTTTATGAACAAATTCAACAAGGTATATCACCTTCAAATCAAATAAAAATTATAAATGTTATTGCTTTGTAAGTGCTGGGATTTGGCTTTGAATATTTTTATACCTTTTAAGTCTTACTGTTCATGATTTTTTGTTCAACAAAAAACTGTGACTGTTTGTATCAAATAATACATTAAAATATTTTCAGACTGTATAGTCAATTTATATTTAACTACTATTGGTTTAGTGTATTTCCCTTAAACTTGTGAAAACTCTTTGTGGTAGTACATCGAGTACCCGCTAGGTGGCTGCCTATATAGTTGGCCTAATGAACGCACACACAAAGAGGGCTTAAACGAGCCTTTGAGCCCACCATTTTAAACACCTGCGTCACATAAAATGAAGTCACACCTATGCACACGTGTTGGTGTGTATGTGCCTTTGTGTGTTTGCCTGATAAATACGGGCCAAAAACAGCAGAGAGACCGACGTGTTTATTTTAATAATGTTAACCTAATTAAGTGATTAATATGCAAAATGTGCGCAGAGATTAAAACGATGAGCGCACTGTGTTTAATTATCGAATTAATTTTTTTCATTTTGCCACCTGGCTGGGTTGAAATGCTCGCCGACATTTTGAGGCCAAAGTGCATATACACAATATCGTTGACAACCACGGATAGACCATTTTTTGTTTGCCTTTATATTTGAGCTTTAGATATAACACAAAATTAAACCTGAAATGTTCTAGGTTCGCTGACAGGAAAATTTTAGCCTTTGACATTGACAAGCATTTAATTACCTAAAAGATTTCAAGAGGATATATAATATGCTTCTTCAAGTATTCATTTTATTTTCACGCTATGCTAGAATTTTGTTTTCATTTACATATATTTTCCAAAACATTTCCATCCCACATTATTTTTAATAAAACGCATATATATGCAAAACACAATTTACGGCATATTTTAGTTAGCTTAAGTAAATATCTTTCTTAAAATAAGCCATAAAAACCAATTTCTGAGATTGTGTAATTTATTTCCGTAGTAAATATATAAAATATGAATGTGGGAAAGCCTGATTTATATCAATGGGCTTGGCCACATATCAATTTTGTTGAAAGTGAACATCTACAGGCCATTTAGTGAGTTTGATCTTCATCACTATTGAATTTGTATCCCAATCATTTAAATTATATGCGGGTTGGTTAGTGGCTATTTGCACATTTAATAAAAGTTCTTTTCGCAGAGAGCATTATTATACATGACTGCTATTTGTCTAGCCAACTTAAATATTTATGTGGGCATAGACAAAATTAGACAATTGATTGTAACATGAGTTTTAAATTCATAGTGGTGAATGCAGGTGAATCGCTTATGACGAAAAAAGTTAAATTTGCATCTCCACAAGTGAACAGCTGCAACATCTGCGTTTACAGACCATTTCACTCATCCACTTGAGAATCCGATTTACCAAACTGGGCACAAAAGCCTGACAATTATTTGCGAAGACGGCTCTGCCAAAAAGTGGGAAAGGCAGAAGTTTTTAGCATAAGCCTTTGCCTCGGAATCTTACGACACTAAAAGCTACTCAACGTTTGCCTTCTTTTTTCTGCTCTCAAGCAGCTAATTGATGAAAGCTGCAAATGGCCGTGTAACGACAGTAAAAAATGGCAGAAAAAGGGAAAACTCACACGAAACATTTCCTTGCGTCTCTTATAAAGTGCAAAATTAAAGGTGCTGCTAAACGGTAAGCATTTGTTCAGGGAAAGGCGAAGGTCCTTGGTCTGGGATGGCTTTGGAAATTAGAATTAATATTTTTCCGCTGAGTTTACACAATTTCAAGTTGGCTGGCGCGAAAAATGCATGCTCTGGTCAACATCCTACGAACGCTGTTGTTGCCACGGCTGCGTGTTTAGCACCCCTTTAATACTCTTTCAAAATGTGTTTACCTTTTAATATAAGCTTGAACCTCTTTGAATAAAAAGATAAATATGAAAAATGTTACTTTAATATTAAGAAGGTTCCTTTTTTTTTTTAAATTTTAAAATAAAACATTAAGTAAATATTCAAATATCGGTTGAGTTTTAAACAGTATATCATGCTTAATCTTTAAAAATATATTTTGCTGGATACAAATTTAAGAATTTAAGTATTTCATTCCTACAATTTCTGTAGTTTCAATTTATGGGACAGGGTGCTTAAATCTTCGGTCTGAGAAAGCACACTTTCTCCCCTGTTGTGAGTGTGTTTGTGTGTGCAGGTGAGAAGGAAAGGAGACCATCTTGTGCTGAGCCAGCGTGCTGCAGTGGTGCATTCGTGGCAGCTCCAGATGCAGCTGCTGCAGCACTGATAATAAATTCATGATGAAGTGTAATTTATACACTTCATATGCGGCCAGCTTCTTTCTACCCTTTCTCGTCCTTTCTTTTTTATTTCATTTTTTTTTGTGCTGAGCTTGACAGAGGTCTGACCCAAAGGCGAAAAAGTTTTCTCAAGGCTTGCCAGCCATGCATTAAACCTTGAAATGTTTGCGGCTCAGAATACGCTAAAAAACTAATTACAAATGCCGCACAGCGTCGAAGGAAAGCGGAAAAGCGGCGGCCAGCTGGCTGAAATTTCATTTCAAATTAATCTAATTTTTTGAGGCCATATTTTTTCCTTTGCGCTTCGGGTCTGAGAATTCCGTCTAATGAGAAATGCTGATTCTGCACTCTGCATGACGTTGCATACAAATTAGGGACCAGGATGGTCGAGAAGTGGTCTTGGCATATGAAATGGCTTGCATAATTGCATAATTAGTGGTTAGGTGTTATGTAAATGGTGCCGGGGCGTTGATTGGCTACGCACAAGAAACTGACCTCCTAATTACTCAATGGAAGCTAATTGGAAAGGCAGGACTCGCTGGACTCGATACCTGGACTAATTAATGACTTTTCGATGAACATTAAGTGGCCTGGCTAGATGAACCACGAATTATTATTTGAATGTGGCTGGGATATCTGGGGGAACATAAATCTGCATCTTCATAGTGTGTCTACACCGACAATCACTTTATTATGTGTATTCATGGGTAGCATTTAAGTGCGATTTAAATGGTTAAATATTCTGGCACGGCTTTTGACCAGTTCTCACGTCATTTGCCCACATCAACAGACCTCAAGTGAATTCAACTGGACTGTCTGACTGTTTGCTCGAATGTCTCTATCTATTTACCTTTATGATTATATGCACTTGGTATTAGACATGCTGTTGGTCACTTAGTTTCAAGCTGGTATTCCAGCTCTTCTGAGCCGCTCTTTAGCACCTCAAAGGTGGCGTTTGTGTTTGCCAAGTGAAGAGTAAATATTGTGGACACATATTTATGTATTTGTATCGTACTACATATTGCACTGCCTAAATGTGCATAGCCGCAGTTAAATTCAGCTTTATTGATGCACACAAGAATGTGTTATTGAAATGTTATTTGCTTAGAATCGTTAAATACTTGGGAACATTCATTTTACTTCCTTAAGAAGGCCCTAAAGGAGAAAAAAAATTAAGTTCTTTTCCTAAAATGTTGAGATGCATACAAGACATAAGTGTGGAGAATATTGTAAAGGTACTGCAAGAGGATAAACATTATCTTCAAAACAAATATCTTTCAAACACTGAAAGAAGCTTCTATGAAAATTGTGATGATTAATATTATATTTTTTAATATGACTTATTTTTTAAATGATGTAAGCCTCTTCTATTTTAATTTTATTTTGTTATTATAAATATACATATTACTTTAATCTAAAATAACTTTTCTCACAGTGCTTTTCGTAAAAGAAGTACCTTTAAGTAGGGTCTGCAAACCCAGCAATCAATTCAGTTGTGATCGCACCTTCAAGAAGAACACTCGTGCTGTCATCCGAGATTCTTTTCGTGCCTTCTTAGAACAGGTTTCACTTGGAAAATGCTGCTGATACTGCTCACACTGACGGCTTTTGGCCTGGTCCAAACGCTGCCCATCGACGAGGTCGAAATGCCGGCGACCAGCGAAGGGCCCGATTCGGCGGGACGAGTGGTCTTCGATCAGCGGCAGACTGGCAGATTCAACATCCACGTGAGCATCAAGGATGTGGCCATCATCGAGGTGGGCCAAAACGGACTGGCCGAGGTGAGTGCTGGCCCTAAAAACCAGTTAACCAATATGCGGCTAACGAGTTGCGAGCGGGCTAAAAATAACTTTGGATCTCTCAATTAGGAGACATATAACGATGAGGAGGATTACTACTATGATGACAGTGCGTTGACCGTCAAACCGATCAAGTTAACCACAGCGGCGAGCACCACAACAACGAGCACCACATCGGTGGCCGCACCACCGGAAAGTACAATCTCCACCGTGGCAAGTTCCACTGTGGCAACCACAACAGCCAGCGATTCCCAGCTGAACAGCAGTTTTAGCTCGAATCTTTTGGCTGACATTGCGGCCAGTTTAGCGAAACCAAAATCCAGGTTAAACAACCTAATGATTGTGGAGACGCCAATCGGTGGGACACCTAAGCCCGTACAACATCCCATCCTTCATGCCAGATCCAAGGATATTCCCATTGTGGCAGCAGCTGCAGCAATTACCCCTCCCCCTCTGCCCGAGAGCATTGAGTACACTCCGCCCAAAGGTCACAACTCGCCCATTTTCAAGGTCAAGGTTCAACGATCTTCGATGCCGGCAACCAAGAAACCCGTCCGCTGCCGAAACCACCAGGTGCGAGATGCCCAGGGCAAGTGCTCCGACTCGATCTAGTAAGCCAAAATAAACAAAGTCACCATTAAGCCGCTTATCAAATTGGTAACTCTTCCCCTTTTATCATTCTATTCTCTTCCGATAGCAGAAAGCTGTACAAAATGCTGATGGGGATGAATTTCCCCTTTTTCGCAGCGGCCAATGCTGCAGAAAGCACTTGATGACTTAACAACACAAATTATGGGATACTTTACTCAAAAAAACTAAAGTGTTTAGTTGCCTCTAATTGGATCTTAGCCATAAGCGTGAAATACATTGACTGAAAATAAATTTATTGACAAGAGTATACTTTATTTGATTAATTACTTGTTGAGATGGAAAAATATTTGTGCGGTAATTTTTTTGTTGCCTTTTTGTGGACTTAATTGGTTCGGCTTGGGGCAACAAAAATTTAAAATGTGGTGAAAAAGAACTTTCAGAGTCACTTTTTTGTAAACACATTCTTTTTACAGAAGCAGCGTCAAGTTAATTATAAAGTTTAAAATTTAAAGCTGCTCCAATAAACTGCAGTTGTAAACTGTATATTTAACCAGACTTGGCTTATCAGCCTGGCTTTTTAATTCCTTTTGGTTTTAACTTTGGCCATGCACCGATTTTCCACGAAATACTCTTTCTCCGAACTATAATTTAAAACTCTACCTGAATACCAGTTAAATTGCAATTTTCACTTAATTGAAAACAATTTCCCCTTGACTTTAAAACCCTTTCAATGTTGCCTGTCAGTGGGAATTTTAATTTACAAAAGTTTTTATACACAACCCTTATTAATATGGTGTGTTTTTTTTATAAATTGCGAATGTCAGTTGATGAATTGCTTTTAATTGGTTAATGGAGAAATGAATTGCATTGCGAGAGCATACACGCTCGCATTCGATTTTCCTTGGTTTTTCCGAGTCCCATGCGTAAGCCAATTTTTCACCTTATATAACAAGGTTTTTATTGCCGCATGTGCCGCACTGGTGCACAGGTTTTGCTTTATCAATTTGAGTTTGTAATTTCCGCATGCGCTTAAAATGCAATTGCAGCTGAATCGGTATTGTTTCCCAGGTGTGTGGGTGTGCTGTGTGTGTAGGTGTGTGGGTGTGTGTGGTTGTTGGTGTAACCGTGGTTGTATTTGTGCGGAGGCATCTGTGTGCGAAGGCTGCTTAATTGCAACTGTTGCGTGTGCGGCAAATCTTTGGGGCAGGACTGTGCACACGCCGTGCTCTAATTAAATTAATTGCTTAATTTTAAGTTAATTTGCCACATGTGGCAAGTTGTCCTCGTTGACCAGACAAAGCCCGCTTACGTGTGCCCTGGATCGGATAGTCCTGCCGATGCCCATAAACTGGCTTCTATATTCCCCCAACAACTGCATTATCCCGTGTGCTTGTGCGTTGCTTTAATCAAGTTTAAACACAATGCAGCAGCATCGCCTACAATCTCAGTCAGCTAAGAGTGCACATCTCTGTATGGGGCTCTTATGTTGATTACTTGGAAGCTATCGTATATATCCTGTGGATTCCAGAATGCACTAATTTACTCAGACGTTTATTATTAAGCAGTTACCACATTATGTCTATATTCATATAACACATTTGATTAAGCACCCTATTGATTCTTCAAAGTAAAAGTGTTTGGAATTGATACTATAATATGTCTCAACAGTGTTTAAATTTGTCGAACTATTTACCCCACTTTGAGTAAAGCTTTTCAACAATCAAGCCGTAATCTAAATCAATTTAAGATTGTCATAAAAGTCCCCCTAATGAAAACCTTTATTATCCAATCTCCTGTATATACATTTTCCATTCGTGACGACAACTTATGCAATTGACAAAAAGCCCGTCCGAGACAACTTTGTGCCGGAATCTTTTTGGCAAAGTTGCCCACACTAATTACCTACATTAGGCCACCTGCACAGACTCGGCACACTCAATTAGCAACTGTAAACTGCAATTTCTATGCAGGCCAAGTGAGTCCTGGCCAGCAGCCGGTTTGCTCGAGTCCGCAACTTTGTCGTTTTCGTTGTTCGCTGGCATTATTTATGCCACCCCTTGACCTTTTGCCTTGATTCTGCTGCTGCTGCTGCTTTTCGGGGAGCGTAAATTTCGTCGGCCCTTAAAGGCGATGCTTTGTCAAATTAAAGCAGAGACAAGGAGAAACGGAAGTAGGTCCTCCCCCCCAAAAAACGCACAAAAACGCGACAACTTTTGCAGCCGGAAGTGTAGCAGACGCCCAACAACAAAAGCGGCAAAAGTGCTCGCTGGATTGGATGTTTTGGCCATAACGGATGCGGAGCGCCATCTTGCAGTTGTTCACAAACATGGCGGCAAATGCCCGGAGCCAACAAGCCACCCCCACCAGCCCCCTCACCTAAATCTCCGCCCGGAATCCTGCTATTCTGGCGCAACAATTGCATTTTATTTATTGCATAACTAGCGGCGTTTATGCGTCTGAAAGTGGGTAGCAACAACAGCGAAATGGAGCAAAAAAAAAAATGGGAAACAAGTAAGAGTGTCCAGGACCAGAAATAAAACCATTTTTAGCCCCCTTTGGAGTATGCATACCCGCAGTCCGGCATAATAATTACACTCGCCATCAGCGCCGACATTTCCCAGTGAAAAACAGCATTGGCACGCAACCTGTTGTTGGCTTCCTGCGAAGCTGGCCAACTCAACTGGGCACATGGAGAAAAAAATATGGTTCAGTAACACATTTTGTCACTACAATAGAAAAGTAACAATTTAAATTTGCATTAGAAAAGATTTGATATTGATTGTATAAACTTAATATTGACAAAACCATTAAATTCAGATCATCAAATATTTTTCTTTTATGTATAAATTCTTAGCATATTTAAATACAATTAAATTATTAATAAATAAACGTTAAGGGTGTACCATACCTTTGAGACAAAACCCCTTTAAGATTTTATTGCCTTTTATAATGTTCAATAAGAATTCCATAAATTTATATTCTACAAGAAACTTTTCCCTCTGTGGAAATCCCGATCCAATTCCCCCGGTCCAGCTAAACGCTGGCTAAAAGGAGCAGCCTGAGCAGACTGTCCAGGAAGAGGACCCTCCTTTAACAGCTCCTAACTATGCAAAGCCATAAAACGCAAGTGTCGCACGGATTATTCATGGACGGGGAATGAAGATGAAGCGGCCAGCGGGCTGCCAGTGACAGGTAAGCGGAGAGAAAGGAATCAGGAGGACCAAAGGAGGAGCCAATCTCCGAGGAAGTTGGGGATAGGACTTAAAGGTAAGCAAGATTACAAAAGGTAATTTTACATCTTCGCTGGAAATTAAATTCTTCGGTTTTATGTTACGTGGCTTTAAGAATGGAATTGCGGTTTTGATAATTGGGTTATTTATGTAGCTTTACAATAAATGTAAATTGGTATACCAAACTTGTAACATTTTTTCCTTGAAAATATTTAAAATGTCACTAATTCATTCCTTATTTGGTGGAGCGTCATCGCCAACAGATTCGGGAATAGGCTCTTCATTCTTGTTTTTTATCTCAGTTTTGTACCAATCCTTTGCGTAGTCAATATTGATTTGGGAGACCCCCTCCAAATAGGTTACATAATCCACATCGCTCTCCAAGGCCAGAATATCGCTGAAAAGCGAGTTCATTTTGATGCTCAAATGTTCCAAAGCCTCAGATGCCTCATATTCGTTGGTCTCCTTCTCGTCTAAAAAGTGAAGTGTTACTTTCTCTCTGTCAATCGTAAATCGTTGAGCAGCTCCATCCTTTTTGATCTCAGCACTTAAATCCTGGATATCCTCCTTGACCTTATGCAAAGCAGTCCTCTTCAACTGCACAGTGTCCTTTAAAATCTTGATAATATTCTTACATTGCTGCGACTTCTCCTCCAAGCGATTGGTTAAATCATCTATATTGCCATTGAAGTTTTCCGGATCGGACATGAACTCTCGCATATTTGTGATGTATGTCACCTTGGGCAAGGTTATATCAGGCGGCAAGCTATAAGAGCTAATCAAGGAAAATTCAACCACCTCTTCGGTGTTCATTATAAAAATTATTCTTTTAAAAATATATACAATTCAAGTGGTTCAAACGAAATTGTGCTGAATTTTGTTCAAAGTTTTTTGATTTTAGGTTCTCTTGTCAGCAATATTTTCAATGACAAGTTGACAAATTTTAACGTTTAAATTGCTGGTTTCAATTTATGTACACTTTTTAAACAATTTTATGCTTGTCAAGTTTGACTTTGGCGACCTGCATTCCATCAGTTATCGCTGAATTTAACGATGCATTTCTATGGATTCGTTTTCAAATTATTTGTTCAACGCATTTTTCGCGTTTTTCTCGTTTCATTTTTATTTGGCTGCGCTTTTTGCGAATTTGATATGCACTAAAAGCCAATTTATTCACTTGACTTAATTTGATTTCGACCTGCAAATCATTCAATCGAGTTTGTGTGCGGCAGTACTCCATGAAATTCGAGGGATTGTTTATTTTAAATCCTAGAGCTTACGGGATTGTTAGTAGAATGTAGGTTATAAAATTTAAATGGTTTAAAGATGATAATATTAGGTGTAAATTTTCCAATCCCATTGTTTTAAATTAAATACCAATGGAGCATAAACGTATTTACTGAATGTTCAGGTATTTTTGAAAAGTATTACTCATACGCAGAGTGGGTCGTTGATTTAAATTGAGGAAAATCAGCAGCCACAGAGGTTCGAGCCGCAATCTCAGCTGCCTCATTGTTAACCCGCACTCAATTTCGATTCCCAATATGCTCCACATAACCGAGAGTAGGGCCCGATTCTCTATGCCGGTAATCGTACGTGTGGAAAAGACGTCAGCACTGATTGCTGCATAAATGATTGAGCATGTGTGGTTGTGTGCGCCTGTCTTTCAATCCCTCAGCCATACTGCCATGTGTGTATATATATGTATTTGTGTGAGGGACGGGATGACTTGCCACAGCCGAAACCCACTCACTATCAGCATTCCTCCATGCAACAGGACCTGCATCTCATCGCAAAAGGATTCTGGAATGGGGGGGAGGGGGCGGTGCATTATATGAAAATTGATGGAAAATGCCAAAATATTTAAATCTAATTTTGCGCCAGGCTGACAGGCAGCCAACAGTCGCAGAAGCCGCAGGCAATTGCATTTGGTTTTGATTCGTCCGGTTTTTCCACCGAATTTGGCGACTCCTGCCATGTCAAGCATTTAAATATTCAATGCGATTATATTTTTAAAACGCCTGCGAGAAAGAATAAAGAATAAAATCATACTCACGTGTCAAATAAAAAGACTGGATGGAAAATGGAATTCAACTCAAAAGAGAGAGACACAAAGAAAACAATTAAATGTTCTCTTTGTTTTCGGCTTCGTTTTTCAATCACCCAGATCGGGTTTATTTTAATTTAAAATACGAAATTGGTGTAACCGTAATAAATATACTTTCGGCAGTACTGTGTGCTAAAAAAAGAGTCTTTACACCAAAGAGCGATTTATTAATTCGAGTGATATAAAAAGGTTAAGTCGCGTTTTTATTCACCAGCTTACATCGAGGGTTATTTATTTACATCGTGTTATAATAAATCCGTATACAAATGCACTTTTTAAAGTACCTGTAAGTTATTATTGTTTGTTTAAACAAAGATTGTAGTTTAAGAAAAATGTATTTAACAGATCTAAAATTTAAAGTGATTCTTCGCTGGGTAAACTATACCTATTTTGATATTGAATATTCTAATAATCCTAATGGATAATTTTCCACTTTTTTTGTTTATGCCTTGCAAAATGCTATCTTAAATTACTTGCCGTTTTGATGGGCGATGCGTTCATAGCCTTTTTGCTATCCATTTCCTTTTATTTGCTTCCTGACGCGCTTAAACAGAGCTCAAAATAAAATTTAAATAGCGGCAAATTGTCTACCTTAGAACCTGTCCGCCCGACCTGCCACGCCCCCCTCCGCACTTCCCTTCCGCCCCTTTTTGGGCCAGCCAAGCGTCCAACAATCCAGCGTCATTCGCATTTGCTATTTCCGTTTTGCACGGCCGTGTTGCTGTGTTGGCATTTCATTTAGCGCACAACTTCACATTTGCCTCAGCCGTTGTCTTTTCCCATCGCTTGCAATTGCCATTTCCGCTTCCTGAAATTTGCCATTCGTTACACACAGAAGAGCACAGACACCCACACACACACACACACACACACGTGGGAAAAATGAAAGGACTGAAACCGAAACTTAAACAGAAACAGGAGCAAAAACAGGAGCTGAAACAGAAAGAGAAACAGAAAGCCGCTCCCCACATGCACCGACATTTTCATTTCCATGCTTGGGCGCATCGCAGCGAATCAATTATTCATCATCATCGATTAAGTGGGGGGATGGGGAGGATGGGGGAGTGGGCTTTTCGGGCCCAAACGTCCAACAGCCAAGAGCCAACAGCCAAGAGCCGACAGCCACCGTCCTCCACGCCTCCGCCCTTCCGCCCTGTCACACTTTTATTGTTATGATTTCTGCCGTCTGTAATGGGCACACTTGAAGGACTCCACGAGGATGAAGGATGGAGGAGCAGAAGAAGAAGAAGCAGGCAACGGCAGCGGGATGGGGACAATGGTTGCTGGTCGGTCGGTCGCTGGTTGCTCCATTTCGCGTGAATTTTACCCTCATTTTCCCGGCTTTTCATGCGCTGTAATTGGTAGGCGTTGCGAGGTATCTAACAGAGTGGTTCGTGGATTTTCCGCACCCAAATTGCAATTAATTTTGAGGATAACCAGAATAAACATGTGCTTGATCGATAAATAAAAGCTTTTTCCAGCTCATAACGGAATAACTATCAGCGCATTTATCAGCTTTATAATATTAAAAACTATATAAAAATAATATTATTGAAAATTTAATTCTTTAGAAAATGTAATTGATTTTATTTTCAACTTTATTGTGCAAATGTTAATGTGAAAGCTTTCAAAAAGTTAAATAGTAGTATATATTTCAATTTGTATATGTTTTCTTTTTTCTTATTCCTTGCAAAAATATTTTGAAATTCAACTACATCCCAAGGTAAATAAACATTCGAACAAACTCTACCTTTTTTCTTTTGTATTTCTGTGTTATTTTAATGAGAATCACTGGGCCTTGGGTCGAAACTAAAAGCTGAGATTCGCACACACACTCGGGGATATAGCCACATATGTTATGCTGACATATCAATACGGAGGAGGGAGTGGAGTGGAGTGCCTGCATGGGATTCGAGTGTACGTACGAGGATATCTACACAAACATAATAATACATCGACAGCGGAGATGGGACGGGATGGGTCGGTCGGGAAAAGCGGAGGAAAACAGACACATGTAGCGTTGGCCATTTCTCTGCCCTGCTCCTTGCGCTTATTTTCGCCATTATCCATTAAACATTTATGAAAATTGCTTTTGCTGCAGTTTTATTCACTTTCCTGCTACACTTTGCATGCGTCGCGCGGCGAAAACCCCCACAGATCCCAAACTGAATGGCAGAAAAAGAGGGGCTGGTGAAACAATAAAGCTTAAGATTTCAATTTCCTTATGGCTTAAAGCTGACTCTTGGTCTTTTAGCCCCTTCCTTCCCCCTTGTGCGAGACTCCTGGCACATAAATCGTGGCAAGACATGTGCCTAGATAATCCAACATTATGAAAAAGCCGGGCCACAATAAATATTCGCATCAATGGCGCCATTTTTAATAGCCAAATGTTAAACGAGCTGCAAGCCGCTCTATAATGAAATATGGCTGATGTGATGACTCGTACGTATTCTTAAGTCCACTGATATAATCCAGATACTCAAGACTGTCTTTAGTTAGCTGGCTGGAAAGGAAAATTGATTGAGGCAGCATAACAACTTAAACAGGCTAATTGGGATGACCAGAAAAGTAATTTAGTTACTATATTGCCTTTTAAAACCTTTTTAAAATACCTGAAGTGGATTAAATTTACTTCTAGTGAATTTACGTTTTTATCATTTGCTAACCTTTAGCTAAATTGCATTCCCTTGTTTCCTGACTGACTTCTTGTCCTGTAAACATTTCCCGAAGACGACGGAACTTGATCCCCGGCATTCCGAGGCCAATTTCGCCACGCATTTTGCCGTTCCGACTCTTTAAGTCATCACCTCACCTTGACACCTGACGATGATTTTCCGGCTGGAGCACGTAGCAGCTATCTAAATTTCAATTAGAGTTTAAACCACCCGGACAGGACGAGCTGGGCTTCCCGTGTTCCAGCAACCAGCTAGCTGGAAATAACTCAGCTCATTAGTTGCATGTTCATGTGCGGCAGCGTTTTTTCCGAGCTTAAATCACAGGTTGCACGGCAAAGCAGTGGAAGAACCCCACTATTTCAACTGGAGTTTATTTACAATATAAATTTTTCTGCATTTTTTTCTCGTGAAAGTCTTTTGGCAACGGCGCATCATAAATTTGTTGCGAGGGATTTGGTTCGGGGTATCTGGGCAGGTTTTCCTCCTGAGTAACGATACTTAATAAACCCGCATCATTTTCCCATTTGGCGTACTCGCACTCAGACCATCGAGGTGCCACATCCACATTCCACTGCCACTGCCACTGCCACTTCCACTTCCCTTTCCTGTTGCTGCTACCAAATTACCTGTCATTTCGAAATTATGATGCCAAGGAATCGCTGCTGGCTAAGGAGCGAGTCCGCCCCCCATTTGCTGCTGCTTTCCGGGGATGCAGGAACAATTTTTATGTTTATGGCAAAAAGCGCCTCCTAATTTTATTTTCTTTGCCGCGGGGCAGAAGGCGTTGCCGGCACATATCTCAAACTAATGCCAACGACGGGCGGAATGTAAAACCTTATGCGCATTTTCCGATTGTAATCTGTGCGAGGGATGCGGGGCTGTATCATTTTGGGGAATCATCCTGCGTAAGGACGCCTGTCAGCAGGCCTTCACACATGGTTTTTTACTCAACGGAACATGACAGCCCGACGGGATTCCCTTCAAGTGGACATTTTCGGCAGGGCGACAAAGTAAGCACGGCATCCGGCAAATGGTTAATATGAGATTTACTTTTTGCCGAGAGCTGACAACTGGGATTTTGATTGGCCAAAAGGTGCGGAGTTGTCGTAAACCAAATGAAAGTCAAAAGATGATGAACAAGTAAAAAAACTAACAAATCAAAGTAAACTAAACGCTTGAATTAAATACAAATTAATTATACAAATTGGGAAAGGAAAAATGTTGATTTCAACACCACTTATTTAATTCGATGTAAACCAACAATTAATCGATGAGTTACATGGTAATCCAAGGACTGTAAATCCACTTGATATCTACTACAGTCAACTTGTTTTCTTTACCAATTTGATACGATGATGGAATGTAGGCCTACATCTCGGGAACCAAACTGCTCTCCGGCAATTTACCGTCGAGACTGCGAACCAAAAGAATACCGGCACAAAAGGCCAGGGAGCACTTGACGAATGACCAGGAGTGATAGTCCATGTAGACCGCCTTGCACCATTCCACCGGCTTCAGCTGGGACCACAGTGACATATTGAGCTTGAAAAATTTGCAGAGGAACAAAACCTAAATGGGGCGAGAGGTGTGGGGCCCAATGAATTCTGATTTAATCTGGCTGGGATTACTTACCAATTTGTGTCTTTGTACGAACACTAACGTCGGTGGATATGTATTTGGAAAAATCTGTTTTATCTGACCAGGTATATAGAGCAGAAACGAATGGCAATTTCATGACACACTTGCTCAAAAGAATTTCGGATTTTGGTTTTGCGTATACATTTTTTTTTTTTTGAGAAATGCAAATGCGAGCAAGTGGGTCAAGACAGCCAGCCAGCGGGCAGATGTGTTGATTTGGCAAGCTTGTTAATTAGCCAAGAAAATTTATTTGCGAACCATACACACTAACTTATATACGATATAGACGAATTAACTTATGCCCCGCCATGTGCATTTCACTTCACTTCACGGAGCTGCTAAAGTTCTTCTCGTTACTCAGGCACTGATTGCAAATGGTGCAGAAGATTTGCTGGAAAGGGAAAATTATTTGGTGTTGGTATTTATAAACAGTAATGCGCAGAATAGCGGAACAAAGTGGCTTATAAATACTTTCCAGAAAAGTTTTAAATACTTTTGAATAATGCATAGGGCTATTAATAAGGATTGTGGCTTTTTTCATGTCTCCCAATTAATTTTTCTAGACATATCCTTGATCGCAATAGTAAACAAATGATTTTTAATAACTCTTCGGGGATTTAAAAATAAACTGTAGTTAAAGTGCTTAATAAACATTTCCTCAAGTGATTTTAAAAATGAACATTGGATTGATTCATGGAAGCGTTCTTTGTGGATGGGTACTTTAGCTTTCAAAACCACTATAAAACTCTAAAAATAAAACTCGATCAACTTTATCAAAAATCAATCTAAAGTAAAATAACTATAAATATAGAAATAAAATATTAAAATTAGCTGTTGATTTTTAAAATTCAACGAGGTAAGGTACTTCTCAAAAGGGTGAAACTCTTAAGAACCAATACACAAAACATACATTTAAATTGGCAACTTTTCAATACAATTATTGAATTGCACATTTAAGTGATCGACTTCTTAGTGATTTTTTCACAGAAGCAGATTTGTTTTAGACACCTAGTTAACATATTTTATCCAGATGGATTCTCAAAGAAAACACTTACTGGCAGCGAGGATCTGGCATATCCTCCGCATCCGCCCTGCGAGGATCCCGTGCTCTCGAAGTGCCGCAGCCAGGACTTGATGACGTTCGTCGGCGGCGTCTGGTAAATGCTGAACTGCTTCTTGAACAGCCGCTGGGCGGTGCTGATGGAGTCGTTGCTCTTGTAGTAGGCGCGGATGACGAACGCCCGGTGCACACCCGTCCACTGGTCCATTCCGAATGCAACTGGCGCCGCCGGGAGAACGCCGTGTGCCGTGTGCCATGTGCCACTGGGATTGCCAGTTTGCCAGTCCGCCAGTTTGCCAGATTGCCAGTCGTCCGCTGGTGCGACAGCTTTCGCCTGCACTTCCGGCTCACGGCCGCCATAAAAAACGCTCGTTGAAGCGTTCGTTGATGTATAGAAAATGCCATACAAAAAATTCAAACATTCATAATTATTTGAACGAAATTAATTGGTCGTATAGAGAGGGGGGTGCGGTGGCAGAAGGCGGGGGTGGCTATATGCATAGTTGGTCTAAAATTATCCACCGACGGCTGACGCGGCGTATGAGCAATCTGAATTTCATCTTGTTAGAAATTCATTTGCAGTCGACCGTGCTTAAGTTTCAAGTGCAAATTGGGGGAGCTCCCCGTCGGCCGACCCTTCAGCCATCAATCAATCAATCGGCCGAGGCCATCATCATTATGCTTCATCAGCGCCCCAAGTAAAGTCATCAATGGGGGCGGGGCTGGAAAAGAGGGGGCGTCGGAGTTCGATGTGCGTCCAAAATCTACTTGAACTCATTTAAAGTTTGGCTACAAGTTAAATCCGCTTTGCGATTTTGGCAAGTGAGTAAGCAGTTGGCATTGCCAAAGTCTTTAAGCTGTTTTGTTGACTTCAATCGGCTCCAGATTCCCTAACATTGGGTGTTTGGGGTTTTAAATAGATTTTTAAAACATATTAAACTTTATCCAATATTCAAAAAAAAATTTATCCTTCCAAAAACACAAAGTAAAACATTGCTGTTATGTTAACATTTTTAATCACACAAAAATCTTTTTTATTGCCCAGTATAATCTTTAATTGTTCAATATTTTAAACTGGTCAAAAGTTTATGACTGCTTGATATACATTTTCTGGTAATAGTTTTTGTAAAGTACATTAAATTGTTATTGTGGTATGAGTCATTATTAAACAATATGCAAGAAGCAAAAATTTTCATTTTCATATATTTTCATATTTCATATTTTCATTTTATATTTAAATGTCTAAAAATAATACCTAATGCAATTGAAAGAACGCAGGTTTTTATTATACAAAATTAAATGTTAGCTTTAGTAAATTCAGATACAAATTCCGTTTTTAAAGTTTCTTTTCAGCGATGACATTTGTTTTAAACTCAATGATTTTCCATGCTTGCAGGCTATTTTAGGAGCTGTCTGCTGCGAAAAGTGTATTCAAGAATTTTCAAACGAAGACCCCTGCTGTTCTTGACGCTTCTTTGTTGATTTTGTTTCAGGGATTTTTTTCGCTTCGCCATTTTGCTGGACCATCGAGCACGTAACTGCAATACAATGCACGGCCATCGCTTAGATAGATATAGATATAGATACATTTATGTAGTACCCGATGCTGTTGCTGTTGTTGTCCGCCTGCCTTTGTTGCTGCTGCAGCAAAGTTAGCAAATGCTGCTGTCGCTTTGCCATTTACACAGTTAGCCGGGCCAACAGGCGGGTCGAGAGCGGGGGGCGTGGCCAAAAAGGAGGCGTCCAGGAAGGCGGCCATCCATCCATCCATCGCATGTCCAACCCACTCCACTTGTATCTGTGTGTGTCCTGTACTTCCGAGTGTGTGTGTATGTGTGTGTGTGTGTGTGCATCCTTCGTTTCCTTCTCCTTTTTTTTTTTAGCTGTCTCTGCTTGTCATTTTGACACCTTCATTTGCTCTGAACATTCAGCTCCAGTCAGGGGGCAGTGATTCTGTTTGCTTTCGTAACTTTTTTGCCTCCTGCCAGCAAAATGTGGGTGTGTAATGGTGGTGTATCTGTGTGTGGGCCGCTCGAGAGCATCGTTTTGGGTGAAAATGCTTTAAATTGGGCGGTCAGAAGGAAATGCAGCACCCTACAGCCGGATTATCAAGGAGTAAATGAATACATTGTCTGCTAATTGACGAAAAAGATGACAAAAAGGTTAAGGTGGAAATATTTTGTAAAACATTCAAAGGAATCAGTATGAGCATCAGCAAAAGGAAACAATTCAGGAAGGATGCTTTATGTTTAAATTGCACAGCATTAAATTTGAAAATTCAAATAAATAAACCTTGATTAAAGAAGAATTTTTGTTTGTCGTAAAACTATTGTTGCTTATTCTTGTCAAGTTAAACAAAATTTCAAATGTAATTTAAGCCCAAAAACTCAAACTCATATTAGTGGCATCTACGAAATGACATCCTTCCTCTCTCTGACCCTTTGAACCCAAATGCCCGAAGAAATGCCCGCATTGTCGTCCAACCCTTGATACAAAAAAGAAGACCGAAAAACGAAATCTAGAGGAAAAAGCAACAATGCCAAGACAAATGATCCAATGACTGTCTGACTGCACTTTGCCCCATATCAAGCAGGCCGAAAAAAAAAAAAAAACGAAAAAAGAAAAATAAAATAGGAGGAACGAAGGAAAAAATTTAAGGAAAATGTATCGGGTTAGCTCGAACCACCACGTAACCCCGGGTGCTGTCTCAATTTCGGTAAGCGTCCGTTTTTGCATGTAAAGTTGGTGGATTTGGCACCACCCATCCACGCTGGATGATGATGACAAAGGGCAGCGCAAAAAGCAAAAAGCAACTCCCAACTAGGTCAAGACTTCATTGTTTATCTTTTTTGGGAAGCACTAGCACTGTAGTATCTGTGTGTGGGCTAAGAGCCGGAAAAGAGGATTCCCACACATACTTGAGGCCCGTATCTGGGACTTGCATTAGATGGTTTCGAGCATTCTTCAGCCGGCAAATTAGCAGGGAGCCGACGGGCTTACGGCCAAATATATTAAATTTTGCATGGCAAATGCGCCGAAGAAGGTCAAACAACAGGGTGGCTGGGGCCACCGGACGCTTTCATAAGCGTTTCACTTTCCGGCGGGGCCGCAGATAAACACACTCACTCATTTACACGGCAACAAATATGTAAGGATAGAGTAGGAAAAAACATTCAAATACTCCAATCTTAAAACCAAGAAAGTATCAAGCGATCTTATTTAATTAATCGATACAAAATATCTTCTTAAAGTTATTTATATTTAAATACAAAACAACAATTTAGTAAAAAAGTAAACCATACTTTTAGGCAACTTTAAAGGAATAATTCATTAGGGATTCTGTGGCCTCTCCCAATATATTCACCTGATAACTTGGTAGCAAACATGCAACTGCGATTAAAATGTAAAAGTAATAAACCTTTCTTCCTGTGCAGCAGCGGAATCCAAGGAGTTCGCCTGGTTGTAAATCTGGCTAAAACAGGATAGCGAGCTCTGGCGGATGCAACGGAAGCGGATGCAGGAACCGGGAGAAAGCTGAGTGAAAGGGGGAGGGGAGAAGGCGAAGAAGCGGAGAGCTCGGGAGAGAGGGGAAAACCCATCGCCGAGACACGCGCGGATGTAAGGCGTTGATAGCGACGGCTTATCGGCTTCCAGAGAACTGGGAGCTGAGAGCTGGTACTCCCAGGATGCATCCTGCTGGGGGACACATTGCGTGCGTGGGCATTAAAGGAGCCTTAAAGGGCAAGCGGGGGAGGGGAAGGGCCAGGCATGTGGCGGGGGAGGGGCAGGAGTCGAGTGAAAGTTGGCAGCCAGAACAGGCCACTTACTTAGCGCCCTCTTAAGCAGGTTTACCTCACTTCGGGGCGCCAAAGTGCTCAAAGTGTATTTAGCGAATGAAATCTGCGAAAAGAGTTTAATTCAAAGCATGTATTTGATTTCAGCTCTAACTAAACTTCGTTAACCTTCAATACAACGCAGCTATCTGAAATCCTTTTAATATAAGAAAAAATTCAAGAAGTAGTAAAAGTTAAATAAACTTCATACGGCAGCCAATCTGCAACTTTTTACTTTCACTTTTTGTTAGCTGTACGCAAATTTGAAAAATCTGAGAAGTTCTAAAGTTAAATAGTAATATTAATTTGCACGATTTGTATTTATCAAATTAAACATTTTTTTATGTTTGTAAGATCACCGTTACATTAAATGATACCCCAAAAAGTATGCAATCATTTTATACCCAACAGGTGGCGCGTTGGTTCTTAACAGAATCTGTTAACTGACCATGAACATTTTAAATATTTTATTGAACCTTTTAACAAATGACTTAATTTAAGCTCCATTTTCTATATATTGCGAGGAGGTCACCATATGGAGATTATCTCGAGTTCATTCGAAAACTGCAACAAGTGCATACAAGGTATTCTCTGATAAGTTCAAGCACACAACGGTATGCATACCAATATACGGTTTAATCCATACTTTATGACGCAAACATTACTGAGCGTTGTGGTTATGGTCACAAGAGCATCGACTACCGTCGGTACCCATTATGCACACCCCCTCCCCCACCCTTTGAGGACCCCAAACAAACACCCACCCATTCACATAGACTAAATAGTTTATGTTGTTTACCATTCAGCTGACTCTTGTTGTTGCTGCTTTGGCAACAGCACTTTGGAGAACATGGGGCACGTCCTGGACAGTCAGAGTCATGCGTGGGTTGTGTGAAAGTGGACAGGTTCTCGAAATCGGGTGATATGGGGCTAAAGGCGAAATTTCATTAAAGGATTCAAGGCAGGTGCTGAAAGTTGTGAACCATATAAATAAAGAAATGCCAGGCCTTGACGAACAACTCATTATCCTCATATTTAACGAAACAGAAGTATTTTCAAAGATTTCTTTATAGACTTACAAAATATGTATAAAAATGTAGATGCATAGAAATCGCTTAGAATCAAAAACATGTACAATTACATTTATAAGTACAAAAGATTGACTCTGACAATTTGGTTGGCTGTGAGTACAAGTACTCTAAGAGCAAGTAAGAACACTTTTTGCTCTTCTAAATGAAACTCTCTTAAAAGGCAGCGCCAAACCTTTTGCTGCGAAAATGTAAAAAAAAATCCTTATTAAACCAATTTTGTAAAAGAAAATACAACAAAACTTTTATAAAAATATGAAAACATATAACTAAAATATATAATAATTTTTCGATTAAGTTAAACAATGTTAAAAGTAAAAGTCGTTACTTTCGGACCCACTGTGCGCTGCCGAGGGTCGCAGTCGCCCACTCCCATTACAACGGGAGAGAAAGAGCGAGAGTTCTCTTCGCACTTGCGTCTTCTGTGCATGTATGCGTGAGCGTCCGTCGCTTCTGAATCTGTGTGAGCTGCGCGCGCCTGTAAAGAGAGTATTACAAGCGCATTTACTGTTGCTGCACTGCTCACACACAATGAGTGAAATGTGCATTTGTCTCCCTCCAACAAAAGTAAAATAAAAAAATACAGCTCTCATTTTCTCATTACGACGTCAGGCAGCGCACAGTGACCACCATCTCCAACCAGGCCCGCATAAACTCTATTATATATTTTAAATAAATGATTTTAAGTCAATCTGATATCTGTTATTCACAAATAAGTGTCTTCTTATAATTTAATATCTGCTTATAATTTAATAAGTTTTATAGATAAGGTACCTTACATAAATATTTATAAAACCTAATAACCAAGTTCGTCTCAAAATATGAAAAAAATTATTTATTTTTTAAGATGAAGACTGTTATGCAATTTTGAAATTTTCGCGGAATTAAAACAAAAACCATTGAGCCGGCAAAACACCAAATATTCAAAAACCAATTCTGGATAAATATTTCGGCTGGGGTCTGTATGTTTTACCCACTATGCAGCGGCAGCGCCGTCGGCGTCAAAAGAGAGAAACGTATCCGAGTTTTGCTTTCTGTTCGGTGGACTGTCATTCGCAACCTCAAACAATCTTCGAGCTTCGAGCTGAAACTTTGTGCACGGTTGGAAATTTGCTTGCCAAGTAGTGAAAAATAACAGAGAAACAGTGGAGAAGAAGCATCAGCAGAAGTATCTGAAAGAAAAGCGACAACAACAAATACATGTGTCAGTGTGGGTGCCGTGCATTCTGCGTACACATACGCCTAAATTAAATACTTTGGCTTAATTAAATACTTCCGCGGCGTCGTTGTCGTTGTTGTTATTCTGCCTCTTCTTCACGCGCTGTCTACGGTTATCGATTGTTTGTCTCTGTCGCTCTCACTCACCGTCTCGCTCTTTCGCCCGCCGTCGTCGCGTTTTGTTTGTGTACCGAAAAGAGGCAGCAACAAAATAAAAGCTAAAAGACTGCGAAAAGCATAAATAATAAACAACGAGACAAGTGCAAAAAGCGCAGCGAAAAGGCCAGGTAAAAAGAAAAGCTGGCGCTAACGGTGAAAGTGAGCCGTTGCGAGTTTGTTTGTGTGTGTTAGTGTGGAAAAGCAGTGTGCAAAAGCAACAACAGCATTTGTTGAATAAGAACAACCGGAAGATTTTTCCTTTGCCACCCACGAAAATTCAGCACAAAAGGGCCAGGCAAAAAAGGTAGTTTTCTCTCAGGGAGAGTCTGAGAGAGAGAAAGAGAGAGAGAGTAGGAAAGAGAGGAACAGGCGCGTGGCAGTGTAAAAAAAGTGTTGCAGTTGCATTTCTCTCAATCTCTCTAATGCCCGCCTCCACTTTTTGACACCTTGCAACCCTTAGAGTTGCGCTCTCTCTGCGCCTCCCGTTACCTGACATTTCTCTTTTCGCCCCGTCTCGCTCTGGCTTTTCGCTCTCTTTTTTCGCTCGCGGGTCTCCACTTCTTGCATCTGACTGACATTCGCCAACTCGGCGTCGAAGTGGAAAAACTGAGAAAATCCGAGTCGGAAAAGCTCCTTGCGAACGGTAGAAAATTTCACTTTGTCCCACGTTATTCGCCTGCCATCATCTCGTCTTTCTATTGTGCGTGAGTGCGTGTGTTGCCAAGTTTCGGAGTTTTTTTGGAGTAAGTAGGCGACAACCAGGCAACCGATGAACTGTCATCCAGTCAGTTTTCGCTTTTGACAGGTGCCCATTCGCAAATTTTCACACTCAGAGTGCAGTTTTACCACTTAGCGGTTCTTTCGCAGCACGCTTTTTCAATCGAACAATGTGATTTGCAAAATTCGGACCATAAAACAAACACAGATCAGTGAAAGACAAAAAAGAAAAACAAAATTTGCTATATCCAAAATTGAAATTTTCCCAGTTTCATGTGTGTGCATTCAAAATTAATATTATTTGCATTGTTGTTGTTGCCGCGCTCCACCATTTTGTAAGCGAAAATGAACTGAGAAATAACAATTGCCGCCGCCGCATACGAAAACAAAATAGAAAAGCGCACGTCACAAAGTTTAGCGTTCAGTTTTGCCGTTGTTCGCCGCGTTCCATTAATGAAAAATCCACCCCCACAAACAAAACAAAGTCAGCCGTCCGTCCGTGTGTCGCTCTTTTTCCACCATGTGTGTGTGGTTGGGAGTGTGTGTGTGCGGCATTTTCCATTTTCCATAAGGGTTGTACTGAAAACGGGCCCGAAAAAGTTTTTCAAGTTTACTTCGACGCGATTTCCACAGCACTTCTTTTTTTTTTTTGATTCTCTGACAGTCCTCCAGCAGTCCTTTGTGCACCCCTCGTTCGTCCTTATTCCACTGTTTTCTTTTTCTACTTCTATTTCTTCCTTCTGACGTTTTCCTCTGCTTTTTTCATTCTCCCTGCTCCTTTTCGCTTTGTTATTTGCCGGCGCTTTTCCATGCTTTTCCATCTGTTTTTGACAACTTTCCGAGGGTTGTTCCAGAATTTTTCTTTGTTTCGTGCTTTGATTAATGCCTTCGGTTTACCTTTCCAATTAGAACGCATTATGATTGTCATCCATATAGATTTTCTGTTACGTATTTTCACGCTAGTGATTTGTATTCCCTACAAAAATATAATTGTTCTCTTTCGTCATTCTTCCTGTGAATGCCGTATAATTAACCCAATTAGATTCCGATAAGAAATTCTGTGGTCAATACTAATAGGTGGGCTCGGTAACTAAAGGTCATTCCAATAGGTGGGCTTGGTTTCCAGTTCAGTAATTTATTTAATAACTAAGAAAAAGTTTAAAATGGCAAGAATGCTTAAAAAATAGTCAAAAAACAAATTAAACCACTTTAGAAAAAAAACCTACTTTCAAAAGTTACATAGTTGAGGGGTTGGATTTTCGACAAGTACGATTTAAAATTAATTCAATTCCTCTTGATTGCCACAAAGCATTTAAATTATTTTTATGACACATTCAAGCTGCGAATCGTGTTTAAGTGGTGTCCAGGGAATGGCAGGAAATTGGAAATGCAATTTAGTGCCCAAGTTTCTCCTGCAGGTTTAATGAGCAACGAAATGTTTCCCCAATTTTGATTCGCTTTTTTATTAATAAAGACCTCACCGCTTGTTCTTTCTCTTTTATTCGTCTTGCAGCTGGTAAATCCAACTCACAAGAACAGCCAGAGGAAATCGGAAAATTTATCACGCAAATCAAAAGTGCAATAAAAAGTTGAAAGTGTTTTACACAGAGCGCCAAAGAAGGAAGTTGAAGCGAGGCGAATAGTAAATAAATAAGAAGAGCCCACAACAGCTACACCGTCATATAAACAACAACCCAAACATCCCACATCAACACCAATTACAAAGTAAACATTTACAACTCATTTCTCGCAGAAGAGATACGAGTGTAAGCCACAAAACAAAACAAAGCAAAAAAAAAAAAAAGAAAATCGCGCGCGCGTTTTGAAAGCGTTTTTCCCCCCAAAAGATCTCGAACTTCGCGCGGCTTCGTCGCACGTCACTTGAATATATTTCTCGCGCAACCACTGGGCTTAGGCCTCAAAAATCCGCCAAAATTCTACACCAACAAACTTTAATCAGCCCCGAGATTTCGCTCCAGTTCGCAACGGCGACCACAATGCCCTACAACGGCGCTAGTAATGGCAGTGGCGCCAGTGGCGCCGGCGGAGGGGGGGCGACCATAGTCGTCACCGAGGGGCCGCAGAACAAAAAGATCCGCACCGGTGTCCAACAGCCCGGCGAAAACGATGTGCACATGCATGCTAGGGTGAGTACCACTTCTGATATTTCAAATTGCAAGCTCTGGGTTCTTGAATTCAGCACTTAGAAAAAAATCAGCTCAGAATAAATCATATTATTTATATGGTATTTATAACATCAGATCTCTTTTATAACATAATTCCTGATAATTGTTAGCTCTTGCTGTCCAACATTGAATATCAAGTAATAGTTCATCACGATTTAACAACATTATATAATTGTACTTCTTAAAACTTCTCTTAATGTTTTACAAAATAGACTTAAATATCATGTAGGCATTTTCTCAGTGCAGATCCCACCTTTTCATCAGCCCACGAAGCTCTGTTGGGTGGGTGATCCACTCTAGCCACCCTTATCAGATGCGATTCCTGAATTAATGCGTGTTTTCGGGCATTCGCCCATCACCCAGCTCCCAGCACCCGTTCAATCAGCCCTCACCACCTTTTTCCCGCTTCCTGATCCCCTGTTTGTGTGTTTTTTTTTCGATGGGTGGCCTCGGACCTTCGGGGCGGCTGGCCTTGCTGATAAAAATGGGGTGGTGGTGCTGGGTGCTGGGTAGTTGCTGCGCTGATTCTGATAAAGTTTTCCAAATTGGGGGTTGAAGTGCCCGAATTGCATGGAGCTTATCGGGGAGTCGCGATTGCGAGGCTGTCTGTGATATCGTACAGTTTTATCGGGAATACCATAGTTTTTTACTAAACAATATTGCGTTAAATCAAAAGCAAGGAATAGATACAAATTATATTACAGTTTCGATATGTTTTTTTTTATTTTAGGATGAAAGCAAAGTTTGATGGATTTACTAAAAAGAAAAACACAAAATAATAAATCAATAGCAAAACGGGGAAAACCAAAATTGTATTCTGCTCACGTTTTCTGTAAAAGTTTTCTTTACGATTTCGATAATACTTAATAATGAGGAACTTAAGCAGAGTACCAAAAGCATTCTTTTTGAATTTTTATGATTTATTGTATGTACTTATTCAGCCACATACCAAAATAATATATTTCATTTTGAAATTGATGGCTTGTAATTTAAAAAATCGGTCTGAAAAAAATGGTTGGTTTAATACAACAAATTTTTCTAGAAGGATTTTTTCTGTGGTTATTTCTGACTTAGTCTTTGATTGTAAATTGAGTGCTTAAAGTCATTGTTTAACAGTACACTTCTGTTTTAACCGCACTGCAGTTTGTTTTCTTATTAGCTGGCAGCTTTCTCTGCCCGCCGGCAACCATGGTAATTTCCCATTTCCCAAAACTTGTGTTTTCACCCACGCGGCTGCAGCAGCAGCAACTTCGGAAGCAGCAACATCAGCAACAGCAATAGCAACAGCAATTGTTGCTGCTCTTGTTGTGTTTTTGGCGAGGGCTGGAAAAATCGATTTCGCCCAGTGGCAGTGGCTGGCTGGCTGGGAAACTCTCGTTTGTCTGCCGGCGACTTGCCGTCGCTTATCTGCACTCGTTTCGATAAAAACGCTGATTCCGAGCGAAGGCGGCCGAGTCAATAAAGGTCCGGACTCCGGAGAACATGATAAACAGACTGGGTTCGATGGTTTATTGATTCGCCACCGGGTGGCATCCTTGTCAGAGATATTACTTAATTTCGGCGGGCGTTTTTGCTGCTGGAAAATTCTTGTTGTGTTGCCGGCGGATAATGAGAAAATGCCGGAGAGTGCGGAGAGCGCAAAAAGCAAGCTTCACGCTCTTCTTGCGGCCGCGCAAAGTATGCAACAATTTTTCTCTTAGCCTGCGCTCAAACAACGCCTAATGGGGTGCTCATAGGGCTATATACATATATACTATACCTAAATATATATATGTACCTATATATATATATATGGGGTATATTTATCTGTTTGTGGGTGGCCTTTGAGCTGTTGCTTCCGTCTGTTGGACTGTTGATGTTGCTGCTAGTCCTGATGTTGCCACTGCTCGTCGCACACACTTGACTTGACAGCGCAATTAGCACATGAAGCAGCATCTTCTCGTCATTTGAAGAGTTTCGCTCGTCGCCTGTCCTTTTCCGTAAATTTTCGCCGGACTGGAGCCGTTTGTCGCATGCCACTTGGCATCGTTTACGCTCTCGCCGTGGATACCTGTTAGCCCATCCGTCGTCCTCCAGCGAAACTTGGACGTACTGCGTACGTGCCCAAAAGGCGGAGGAGCAGCCGCCCGCCGCCAGTTGGTTGCTCTTCCATGTGATTAAGTGCACTCGTGGGCGGATGCGCTAAATCCCATGAACGGAGCAAAGCCAAAGAACTTTGCCCCACTCGTCCTCGTCGTCGTCGTCGTGTGGCAGCAGGTTAAACGATTTAGTTCTTGCCCTTTTGGCCAAAGTAGGGTGGAAGATCAGGCAACGTGTCAGCCCTGAAGTGGGTGGCCTGGTCGGGGCGGCTTTCGAGCTCTGACCCACTAATGACGGGGTAAGCCCCTAAGCAACGAAAGGGAAATCCAATAGAATGTTAACAAGTATCTGAGAAGCATTTCAATACGGCGCTGGGTCACCGGGCTTAAAGTTCTCATTAAAACGTGAACCTGCAAAAATTGCTAAGCATTTAAAAGGCATTTAAAGCAGACACGTTTGGGGATATAAAATAGGGAAAAACTGGCTCAGATTAAGTATTTATTATACTATTGAACATACTTTAACTAATACGTTTCAAAGATCGATAAAATAACTTGTGCAAAGATTTGTCTTTTAATTTTTTTTAGTTAACAAAATTTAAACTTGACAAATAACCTGGGCATATCATTAATATCCAGAAAAAAGTCTGGTAGACTGGAAATTTTATATTTGGGTTGGGATGAGCTTTGGGTATTTCGTGTCATGTCTGAAAATTCCATATGCAAGCCACCGAAATTTCGTCTGGCGTCTGATAAAATCGTCAACATCAGCAGGCATGTCTGTCATTTGCACTTTTCCCCCAGACGCACGTTTTCCATTTTTCAAAAGGGTCAGCGGGCAATGCGTTTTGGCTTCGACATCGCCACCAAAAACGGGACTTTCACAGCCGCCGATGCGTCTGGCAGCGTGACGCATGCTGCAGGAAAAGCGACTTCCCCATCCACACTCGCCGACATGGTCATGGCAAATAAATTCTGCAACCAGACCCCGCCCAGCCAGACCGCTGTCCTCATCGCCACATCCATCCTCCCATCCGTCCACATCCATCTATCCATCCAGACAGTTATAAATAGAGCAGGCAGGCAGGCAGGCAGACTGCAGTCTGACCAGCGGACGATGCATCCTTGGCAGCCACTCCACTCCAATCCACACCACACCACTCCACTCCACTCAACTCGACTCATCTCCACTCATCTCCAGTTGCCAATGATGTATTCAAAAAATCAGAAACCATTTTTGGTGGTGCGTGTTCCGGAAACCCGAATGCAACCCCGAAATGTGTGCCCAAACCCTGGTCTAGTTTTTTAACCTGCCAGAAGGGGCAGTTCTAATGGAAAGGATGCAACGGTCAAAGTGCATTTCCATACCGAATCCAGTTCTTAATTAAATGCAATGGCTATTTTGGGGTTGGTATTTCACCTTCAATTTTGGCTTTGGTTTTTTCGGTGCTGCTTTTCCAACGAACTCTTTACCTTTTGCTAGCCAGCTGCTGCTGCTGCTGCTGGTTCGCTGGCCTTTTATTAAAGATAATTGATTTTTATTGTCTTTCATGTTGGAAGTTTTAATTGCGAAAAGTTGCCATCGATGTACCAGGGTTGGCATCAAACGAAAGGGTTGTTTGCCCTCGTTGACTGGGGTGTAATACACCCTCGACTTCTCTCCTGTTGCAGTTGTGTAATTGAACTAATTGAAATTGCTGTTTGCCAGGGACTTTAAGGTGGAGTGGCGAGTGTCCTTGGCCTATGCATCCGCTCTTCAGCCGTTTAGACGAAAAATGCACAGCTTTGGCTAACTAATTGGCTCGCTGACAGAAGAGGGATGCTAACTAAGCTCTCTTGTCTTAGTCAAAGCCAAAGTCGCCTCCCAGAAGAGCCGAGCTTTTATTTTTTGTCCTTTATAACCTCCCGACGGAAGCCTTCAAATTTAAGCAATTTATCTTTGACCTGGCGAAGCATTTTGAGCAGCATGGCCAAAACTCGAGGCTACTATTAGAAATTTCCAAATGTTGCAGCAACTTCAATTGCGGGTTCTTGCGTATCAATGGTCGATTTTGATTTTCTCTCTTGTTTCCAATTTTCGGTCATAGGAAATGAAATTCCTCGCCTGATTCGAATTCTAAATAAGACACACAGCTGTGTGCATAGTAAATAATAATGCTCGTGGTTCATATTTCGGTCAAAGCCATCACAAATGCAAATACGAATGGAAAGTCTTGTCCAGCACTCGAAAACAACTGGATACGAGTTTATGAATTCCTAAAGCGATCTAAAATATGTGCACATACATAGTTCGGATTAAAAAGTTGAGATTTTCTTTCAAACAATGCCTTGAATTATTAAATTGTTTGTTACATTCCTTGAGGTTTTCACATAGCGATTGGGAAGTTTTTCATAGTTTTTACAGATAGAATACGCAAAATAAAAAAAACATAGTTTGTTTTCATAATTGAAATTGATACTTTGCACAAGCTAACTCATGAATTACATATAATAGTTATTTATATTTACTGATTTCCATATTCAAAGTAAATTCTATTTCCATGAATATTAATTGGCCTGTAAAACTATAAATTTTGCAGTTGTTATCTCTTTTTCTTTCCTCTGCCAACATTTTCAACTCAAATTCAATGAATTGAGCAATCAAAAATCGTTCCTGAAAGAAGACATCAACCATGATGACATGATGATGATGCGGGCGATGGGAACGATAGCCTGTTAGTAGCGTTTCGAATTAACACCTTGTCATTATTTTTTCTTTGGATTTTCTTTTGAGCGTAATAAGACGATTTGGTGGCATTAAAAATACATAATCTAAGACAGCACAAAAGTGTCGCTAAAAATAAATTGTGAAGTTTGTCTTTCGTGATTCTTTTTGTTTTTTGT